TGTGTGTGTGTGAGAGAGAGAGAGAGAGAGAGAGAGAGAGAGAGAGAGAGAGAGAGAGAGACTGGGGAAATTCTGGCTACATGCTGCCAGTCAGAGGAGGGAATATAGGAGTACATTGGGGTGAGTAACTTGTGGCCTTCTAGATGGTTTGGCCTACAGTTCCTGTGATCTTTTGCCATAAGATGTGCTAATTAGGAATGATGGGAATTACAGGACAAAACATGAGGAAGGACACAATGTTTTATTTTTCTTAATGGACTAGAAGTCTGCTCAGCTGCAAGGCAACCGCCATGTTGCCTAGAATGTAAGGGGAATCACAAGGAACATTTGATGAGATCAGTCTGGGTGCATTCACCTGGGCACAAGCAGGTAGAATTTGGTATTTCTGCTGAATTTGTTCAGAAGGGTGCATTTGATTATAGTCTAAATATCGATGATCTTTTGTGCTTCTTCACAGTGGCGTTTGTTTTGTGAATCTATGAATTCCCTGTGTGTGCATGCACGCGTGCTTTTGCACTGTTCATATGTGCATGTGTGTGCACACACAGGATCTTGCATTTTGTTGTAATAAAGCATATTGAATATTAAGATGTAGTCCCAAAATACAATTCAACCAGTTTGGTTCTAATCTTGATAACATGTGGAACTTTTCACTGGCCTTTGAGCTATTAAGTAACATGGAAAAGACAAGGTGGAGCCATTTCCTCCTTCATCTTTGCATTCTGTATGAAACTTGAAGGAACAATGTTCAGTTCTGTATAATATTGTTCATATGTTCTGCCTATGATGTAAATGAATAAAAATGACATAAAATGTTTTGGGAAGTAACTAGAACCGAAAAACACTTCATATTTAAAATAGCAAGACAATAAGCGCTGCAGAATGGAACACAGATGGTGTCCTGCTAAAAAACATAAGGAAATGTGGTTCAGCAGTGCTGACAAGGATATAAAGTAAATATATTATTTCCAAATCATAGCTGGAAATCTGGGAGAAAAAAATAACTCACAGTTAGAGTGCTTCTCTGAAGTTCCATTCTTTGTGAAAACATATGTATGCAACTCATAAAAATCATATAAATATCAGAACCAGAGCTAAGAAAAGTTAGGATGTGAGACCTAAACCATAAGATTTGATTCCTTAAGAAGAAAGAAAAGCTCAGATATGGGAGCTACTGTACTCTTCTCTTTTCAAAGAAAGCAGGCCCCTAAATTTAGTGCACAATCCACATGGGATGCCCATAATCCTTGGAATTTGAAGGATTACTGTTATCCAGTGGAAGGCATATGGAGTGTGGAGATGAGGACTACCTTTGCTGTGCTCCCACCCTCCAAGAAATGACTGATTTGGGCCACCTCACACTGGCGGGCAAGGAGAGAAGCCAGAGGCCCTGCCAAACCCCCCTCTGGACAGTTGTGGCCCCCTCCTTCATGCCTCCCTCCCCACCCCCTCAAAGCTGCCTCTGAGGTTGGTCTTGCGACTTTGCAGCATCAGCCAGCATAGGGAGAAGCATGTGAAGGTAGAGGAAGGGTGCTCTGAATTCAGTCCCAGCTCTGACCTCATGGCACCTTTCTGATGCTGGTGCAGAGACAGCAGATTATCCTATGGCTGTCTAGACAGAGTCTAGTGGCTGTGGAATTGCACCCTTCTGAAATGTGTTTTGCTTGTATTTTATGTATTCAAATGCTCTTGGAGTCTGTTTTGAAACATATAAAATTACTTCAGATTTTGGAAAAGACAAAAAGGTGTGCCTGATCTCAGAGTCCTCTGACATTTTCTGTATGTAAATGCCAAGACTCAGTAAACTTGCATTCCATGTAGCACTTGGTTCTTGGAAACTGCCATGGGAGAGCATGACCTGCTGATCAAGGTAAATGCAAGAGATTTGTTGCATACAATCCCCCAGACAAGGGCAAATTCATCACAAGGTGCCTCAGGCCTTACAGCAGAGCAGCTCCAACTTGACAAGGACCATTTCTCAGCCATTTTACTGACCACATAATTAGCTGCTATGCTTTTGCTGCCTCATTTTAGCTGTTTTAGGGCATCTAAAAGGAAGAGAATCAGAGTGGGCACAATTTTATTTCTCACAAACCTCTATTCTGAGGTTTATTTGCTTGCTTGTTTTACATTTTGGGAAATTCAAAATGGCTGCTATCACAACAATGGAAGGAGGACAGAGGGAAGCCATTTTGTGGAAGGAGGAAGCCATTTTATGGAGTGGGCAGATCATTCCAACAAGAGATCATTTTACTCAGGAGGTGGAATCTTAGAAACCCCTTGAAAGAAAGAGCAGCAATTAAAGCAGACATGTTAAAATAATAAGGATAATAAGTAACAGCATGCCATTTCATGTAAGCAACTTTATTTTTTTACCTAAACTACTCTGGAAAAATGCTTTTTTTCTCATTTGGATTTCTTCCTTTTAAGCAAATAAGGAAGTATTGTGAAAAAACAATGATGCTTTTGAATAAAGCAGATCCAAAGGTTTAAAAGGTTTAAAAAATAGCGTATTTTTGTGGGGCAAAAGGAATTAGAGAAAAACAGTACAGTCTTCCATGCGTATCCAACCAGAAGTCAGCCCCATTGAGTTCAGTAGATAAAATACCATGTAAACATGCTGATGAATCAGTGGGATGATTTAGCAAAACAACATGTGTGCATGTGAAGCAGGAAGGACAATTCCACAAAACTGTTTATCCTTGAATTATTGGATGAATTTCATATTTTTTTCTTGAATCTCTTTTTCACTAGTTTACAGCATATTCTTATAATTTCTACTCAGTAATAGGACTCAGTATATGCAATAAGACTTCCTTTCAGATGGCTGTGTGGAAGATTGCCTTCTAGGTTCCTGAGGAAACAAAATTGCATTGCTGACTGATGGTGTCTTTGTAATATGTGTAGTGTATAGAATTATAGAAGCAGAACGCATTGAAAGCAAAATAGTCTTATCGAAGCAGGTACAAAACTACTGATCCCGTATCAAGGGCCAAGTATTATTTATGGCTTCTCATATGCATCCCAGTTTTATTTAATTCTTGCTAAAGCTCTTTAACACCCTACCTGTTTCTCCCTAATTTCAAACAGCATAATTTGATTCCAGACCATTCCTCTGCCTTCATCCCTAGCTGTAGGGTCTCCACTTCCAAAGAAAGAAAGAGGGAGAGAATAGCCCCATTCATCAAGGAATATAAATGTTCCTTTTTTCTATCTACTGAAGAAAGAGCACTGGTCATTTCTGACGTTTAGCAGCCATCCACTTAATAAAGGACAGCTATTCAGCATTTGTAAGTCCAAATATATCTTGTGAATTCCTTGTGGGATTATTCCATTTTGCAGTGTAGGTGAAATGATTGTGTGTTGGAAAGTTCTTCAGAAGGCTAGCACTTCATGAAGAAATTGAGACTTTAAAAAAAAGACCCTGGCATCTTTTCCTTTTGTCATGAGGATTATTTTGGCATGCAGTCCCTCATCTACAATGGAATGTTCACAAGAGATCTTCCCAGTGTCACTTTGGGAAAGGGCTTCAGCTCAGTTGCAGAGCGGATGCAGAGGTCTCCAGTTTCCTCCCTTGGCATCTCTAGGGAGGGCCCAGATCCCTGCCTGAGGCTGTGGAGAGCCACTGCCAGTCTGTGTAGACAATCCTGCATGTGGAACATAAGCTGAGCCAGGCCCTTGGTCCATCTACACCAGTATGGTCAACACTGACTGGCAGCAGCTCTCCACCACTTCAGGATTTTTTTTCAGCTCTACCTAAGGATGCTGGGGACTGAACTTAGGATGTTATGCTTGCAAAGCGTGTGCTCTGCCAGTGAGCCCTCCCTGACCTAGACAGAGCGATCCAGTGTCCCTAACTTCTCCCATCGGCTCAAAGAGCCACTGAGTAAGGAGCCATTCAATAAATGAATCTGTGGGTGGAGATCGTCTCTTAAGAGCATGTCTGGACTGCTTCAGGACTTCTTATCTCTGCAGGATGCTCCAGAGTCTGCTTGGGAAGAAGAAAAATGGTGTGTAGAACTGTGAGCAGGAAGACAAATCACTGATTCCATGATCTCACCAGAGGTGTTAAGAAAACCACTATGCAGCAATAGGAGGGAGGATGTTATAGGAATGAATGTGAAGTTTTTGCTCTGAGCATGCAGACCATTATAAAAGCTGGTGGGGGGGGGTGTTTCTAGTGATCTGCCTGCTGTAGATAAATTCATGGCCATCTTTTGCTTTATTGTAATTTAGGATTCAGAACAAGATGTCAAAGTTAGATAATGGATGCAGGTGGTCCTTGGAATGAGCATTTTAATTTATTTGCAGGGGTGCCATCCGAAGAAAAGGGCGTGGAAGGCTTGGGGTGAAAAACAGCTGCTGTAAAATTAAGTGAGCCAAATAGTTAGGCGTTGGCTGGCTATTTAGTGCCTTGGGGATTGGGGCTTCTCGCTGAGGGCCTGAGGGACAGTGGTTGATCCTCTGCCTTGCAGAAGTGCCTCTTGGCCCCTTTTCTAGAGTTCCTTTGTAGCAGTGTTAAGGAAAAATGATCCCACTTTGCATAAGCTTTGTGGTAGTCAGTATTCACTCTGTAAATTAGCTGGCAAGAAAAATCTTGCTGCTTCCTCCTTGCATTTCATCAAGACCTCATTCTGTCTTTCAGTTTCGTACCAGATCCCTGATCCGGCCCACTCAGTTTCGGGGGCAACCCTGTGGTGAGCAGCTGGTAGAGTCCCGGAGGTGCTACCCAACCAAACTTTGCAACATAGAGGAAGTAAACTGTGCAAATAAATTCCAGTGTGAGAACGGTAATCCTCACCTTTATCCTTTCCTTTTAAGATGCTTTTTATTTATTTATTTTATTTATTAAAACATTTCTATGCCGCCCCTTCCCGAAGCCTCAGGGCGGCTCACAACACAAAATAAAATACAATAAAATACAAAAATAACATGTAATGCTAATTGCATATATACCCCCCCCCTTCTCTCTCCCTCTCCCTCTCCCTCTCCCTCTCCCTCTCTCTCTCTCTCTCTCAATAAAACTCTCCTGGAATAGCCAGAGTCTTTAAAAACAATCTGATGGGCAACTATGCTGGCTGGTGGACCAGTCAGGCCAGGATAACAGTGGATTGCTAGAAAATACTTTCTGCTACAAACTGCAGAGGTTTCCTGCATCGTCAGTAGTCAGAACAACTATAACATAGTGGCAAACATCACCAGTCTCTAGTACAAAGCACTTCTTGATCTCAACAGGTGCTAGCTTTGCTCTCACCCCAGAGCAAGCTGGGCGCAGTGTCAAGGTAGCTGGCCATGTCTCCTGCTCTTCAAGGCTTGAAGTGAAGTCCTTGGGAACTTAGTAAAACTATGTGAACCTGGGTATCTTAATTCTTTTGGATTTAATGAACAGAATTCAACTACACCACCCTGCCTCATTTCATTGTCCTACTCATTTGTGCAATAGTAAGTTAGCGTTCCTGCAGCAATCGGAAATGCTGTTTCCAGAAGATGGCCCAGTGGTGCTTGCATAGGAGAGCTCTGCTGATCTGCCTCTTTCCACCTTGCGGGGGCTTCCCCAGGAAATGCCAAATCTTCCTTGTGTAAGCGGTGGCATCGACAATGGAATTGGCAGGATCCACTCCTTGAGGAAGGGAATGGGGCAGAAAGAAATTGGTGGAGGCAAATTTCTCTGTCGGATTCTGCCCCTTGTCGATGGTTTGGAATTGTCTTTTGAATATTTTAGCAAGTTGCTCGGAACAAAGGAGAGGAATCCACTTATTTTAATGAATATACAGTATTGTTTAATTTTACGCGCACAGTGCCCTTTATCTTCAAATCACAGGGCAGTGTGCAAGATACATCAAAGCAACAATTAAAAGAGTATTCAAAGAAAATCTACCAGGTTGGCGTTATAATCAAAAACACCTGTGCTTTTTTCATTCGTTTTCATACATTTTCAAAATGAAAACACATTTTCAAGACACTGGCAAGGATGGCACCTGCCACACTGCTGGGGACAGAATTCCAGAACAGGCACTTTCCGTTTGCCATCAGCTGTTCCTGAGTAGCTGATGGGGATAAGCAGGAGGACCTAATGTGTAGCACTCAGTGAGTTGGCGTGTTGATATGAGAGGAGGTGGTGACTACATCCACTATGTACAGGCTGATTATGTGAAAGCAGCGCATCTATCATTAAGCGTGAAGAAGGGGGCATTCCAGCCAGCCCTGGCGGCATGGGGGAAGGATTTTGCCTTTCTGGACTCAGAGATTGGCACAATGCCATCTACTGCTGCACTGAATGGGAACAAGACCCACATTTGCTATTTTCAGGGACAGTTGTCCATTTATCTCAATATTTAGTTTGGTCTTGTGAATCAGAAAAAAAAGTTCTTTCATTCTCCTGCACAATGATGCAAAGCAGAATGAATGAATGCAGAAACCCTGGCGGCTGGAGGGTTCCACTCTTCGTGCTCTGGCCTGAGAAGGAGCCCAGTTGGGATGCTGCTTTTCCTTCACAACAGGTCGCTGCATCAGCCGCAATTTAGAGTGCAATGGAGAGAATGACTGCGAGGACAATTCGGATGAAAGGAACTGTCGGCGTGTGCAGCCAGTGTGCAACAGAAGGCACGAGAGCATTCCTGGGGTGCATTTAATGGGCCATGGGTGAGCTACTATCATTTAATTCTTGTCCTTGGAAAAAGCAGGGGCCACGCAAAGGCCAGACTGTAATTTGGAGCACACGCTGATTATAGGACAATGATCTTGCAGAAGCATTTGCCATTTTTCTTCTCCTGGCCATAGCACTTCCGTTCCCTCCCCCATTCCCTACCTGCAACCCTAATGCTTTTGCAGTGGACTCAAATAGGTCACCACCAGGCAGTCATCTAAGTAGTAATGGGGAGCGTGGGAGGGAGTTAGAGCTGATAAAGAGGGTGCCCTTTGCCCTCCCCCCCACCTGCTACTTTCGCCCCACCAGGCTAAGCCTTTCTTCCGTATTTGTCATGCTGGGATACAAATGTACGGAGGAAAAGTGTGCAGGTAGCAATGCCAGCAAAACTTTGGATGGGACAGCTCATAAATCAAATTTGCAATGTCGATAATGTTCATATGTACCCCAAGCTTGAATGGCTATCCAACTAGCTTCATTCTTCAAACTGAGATTAATTTTAAGTGCATAAACTTCCTGGAATGTGCGTGAGATGTAGTTTGGCATGCTCGCATGTCCAGGAAGTAGCTGCTGGACTGAAATGCTATTTCTGAGGACAGCTGCACTGTTACAAGCACAGAAGGAGCTTCTCTAGAACTTTTATTATGTTAAGAAACCTCTTTTCATACATACTATATTGCAGTTGTCTTCAGACACGACATTTCATGGCATGCCAGTATTTCTTAGAATGATCATGTGACTATTCCAGGATCTATCACATGTGGTAGTCACAGGAGCATTCCAGGAAGTGCTGCTGGATTGAAACACTGAGACACAGTAACCCTGGTTTATAAGCCAATGCTGGCTAGTCTTCCAACCATCAACCCACAGTTTGCAATCCAACGACAAACCATGGATTCTTTTCATGGGTTATATATGGTTAACAAACCATGGTTTGTTAGCATAGCTGGGTTCATACAACACAGTAACCTGCATTTCAGCAACAATCCATGGTTCAATGATACTAAACTCATACTCAGGGCCAGAGTGTGAGTTATCCTGTTGTCTAAAAGCAGAGAGAAAAATTGACTAACATGAGCACATGGGAAGCAAAAGAGACTTGGTAGGACATAAGTGATCGATGATTAAGTTGAAAAGAACTATTCTCACTTTATCACCCTTGTGCCCCTTAGATGGTTTGAACTACGACTCCCATTCACCTATCCAGCATGTCCAATGGTAGTCCAAAATCACCAGTTGACACATATGTAGAATTCTATTTGTTCTTCCCAGAAGTCATCTGTCAGTCAAAGCAAGAAGCAAATCTTTCCTGTCTGAAAAATTAGTCCATGCTGCTAGTTGTGGCTGGTTAGACTTGAAATATTTTCTTTCTTTAGATTTCACCTTCTGGCAGGAGAGAACCGAGGAGAAGTCCTTGGTAATGCTTTCTATGGAGGCAAATGCACAATGATAAAAAACAATGACACAAGGAAAACATTCCGTGTTCCTGTAAACTTGGAGGCTGTCCACTTTCAGGTAATGCTCAAAGACTATTAAACACCAGAACTGATGCTCTACAGGGATTATAAGACAAATTCTTGAGTGCCTCACCTTCACAAGGGAGCACAACTTTCCACATGCATAGTATTTTGCATTGAGCTTGGAAGAATTTGAGAATGAGTATAGAATCAAGAGCATCTCAACTTTTTTTTTTAAAGAAAGTTTCTAGTCCTCATGATTGCGGAAGTATATTTATTCTGAACGTATGCAGACAAAGCCTGCAGGAAGGTCTGGTCTTTAAGAAGTGGGGAATTTACAGGATGGATAACTATATGCCTCTGTCATGAACTCTATTCTCTTTATTCCTAACCATGTAGCTTTTTTGCCTGACAGGGATCCATCCCTCTCCTGTCTTGCCACATAATGCTGCTTCTCACAAGAGAAAAAAAATCCCTGATCTGTAAAACATCAGTTGCCTCAATCGATGCAGAAGGTCTGCATAACAAGTGCCTGTGTGTCTCCCAATTCCTGTCACAGCCAGTTTGCTACGAATCAGATATGATCACCACCAGCCAGGGTCACCACATAACAGTGTTCAGAATGTGCCCAACAGAGAAAGAGTAATGATCTTTTAATATTTGCTTGCATGGTGAAGCAAATGCTCATACAGAATCTCAGTTTTCCAGACACGGCCCTGTATCTGTCTTCATCTCTCTTATTACATAAATTAGGAGAGAGAGCTGGAGCACTTTGCTGCGTGAAGCAGTAGGCTGGCATTTCCCAGGGCGTATTCTTCAGAAGTGTTGGTCTGCAGTTCTGCAGTAAGAGTTGTGGTCCAGTGTGTCTCATGGACACCTGAAGACTGCTGCAGTCTATTGGCATGATCCAACCGGGGGGCGGTGCACCCACGGGAAGTGACTTCTGCAAGCAGCATGATTTCTCCTGGCTCAGACCAACTCATGGAGTTCATTGTGAGCAACTCCATTCAGGTAAGCATGCAGAAATAGCTCTGACCACTAGTTAGAAAAGGCCCAAGTGGGCTGGACCTTCTGTGATCTCATTCCCCATCAAACAGTTGGGATTCTCTGTATCAGGGATGGACAGCTTGTGGTCTTCCATATGCTTTGGCCTCCAGCTCCTGGGATTCCTCGCTCTTGACTCTGCTGGTTAGACCCATAGGAGTTGTAGACCATAACATCTGGAGGGCCACAAGCAACCTGCCCCTGCTCTACCCGCTGCTTGTCTGACTAGAACTGTACTAGCCCACCTCCAGCTGCTGCCTGGACATGGCACTGGGACCAGGACCTACATGTTTAAATTCACAAAGATCATTTGGTTGAACTATATGGAGATGTTCCAAGATTCTTTTGGAGTACAAACTTCCTGTCAATTGTTGCCTTCAAGCTTTCATGGCCATTATCTTTGGAGAAACAGTATTTTCTTGGCAAGTAAGTTTGAAATACCATTGCATTGAGTTTCGCCAATTAAGGAAGAGAAGTTTGAATCATCCTTTGCTCAAGAATTTCCAATGCAAATTCAAGATTATTCTATAGTTAGCAAAGAGCCTAAGGGTCCAGGCATTGCTTCATTTTTATATTTTTTTGTTCTTGGGGCATAAATAAGGGGATTCAGAGGAAACCTCCAGGCCATGCCTTAAAAACAGCGAGCGGCTCTTAACCTAACTGCATGTGACCCTTTGCCTAATTTCAGCTTTGTCTGTATTGGGAGCTGAGTGCCTCCTTTGTGCAGTCAAAGTCCCAGACATCTCTTTGCAATGACCCAAACCACCCAAAATGGATCTCTGAGCATGCACAGAGCAGTTTGTCGAACCCAATCCAGTATTCACGTCCAGGAACTCTCCTTATGAATATGCCTTTGGGAGGGGCCTTCTGAAACTGAGCCTGCTTCCTTGCTGCACACCAGTCCTTGAACCAGGCTGCCCTCCTCTGCTGATGTCGCACCTAGAGTTGAGGCCACCCGGTCTGTGTCCGGGAACCTCCCCTGCTCCGAGTCCCCTCCTGCCAACCATGCATCTTTTCCCGAAGACAAGCCTGCCCACCTGGGGAGTCCGGGCATAAGTGGCTCTGCTTCTCTCACCTGAGAATCTCAGGTGGCCCACATCCCCAGCCCTGCCCCCCACTCCTCTCCCACTCTCCTTCTGGTTCGGAAACCCACCCAGCAGCCCCTGAGAATGTGTGCCCAAAGCAGTCATCTTTCTCACTCCCAACAGTCTGCAAGTGATACATCCAGAACTTTGGCAAGAGTGATTTGTCCCTCCTCTGTAGCCCCCTGGGCAGGAAGACAGAGGCGAGGAGAGGGAGAGGGAGAGAATAGGGTGTCAGAAAGGCAGAACATGTTGAGGTCCTGCCTAGTGCTGGCATACAGCCATGGACAGATTACTTCCAAAGGAGTACAGAGCTTGACCCTTACCGCTACAGGGTGGTGGAAAACACTGGCAATTGTCTTGATAGTTCCCACAGTCATGTCCCCAAGGAAAGTCCAAAAATACAGGCAGATCTGTTGATCCATATCAGCAGCTTTTATCTCTACCAGGTCTTTCATAAAGCTAATGGGTCTTAAATGCCCATTCAAGAACAAGTTGCCCCAAACTTGTCAGATAGGCCATTTAGAGATGCTGTTAAACTATGTGGTATGCAAGCATTAAGGGATGGATGGACAGATGGATGGATGGATAACTTGGCACTGCAACAGGGACTGATGCATATTACTAGCAGAACTCATCTCTGCCATGCCTCCAAGCTACTGTGAGTGTTGCATCTAAGCTCAAATAGAACCCTGATGAGAATGTGTGGCAAATGGCATTAATATTCCTGCTAACACACTGCTGGTGCAGCATCCCTCTGAATCCTGGGCCCAGTACACCACCACGCTTAGCAGAAAACATTTCCCCATGGTGGGTTTTTGTTGTTGCTCTTTGGAAGAACGTGAGAAGGCCATTCTTCTGAACACTGCTCTGGTCTTAACATTGTTTCTTCCCTTCAGACTGTGGTGCCTGCAGTTCAAGTGTCTGCCTGCATTTTACCTTTCCCTAGGTAGAGAATGAGGAGGACGATGTGGCATCTGATTTCTACAATGATTTACTTCCCTTGGAGTCCAGTGTGTCTACATCAGGTTCATCCTCCCACTCTGGAGGAAGTTCTTTTAGGATCCCATTGCTGTTCTCCAGAAAGAAAAAAGTGAGCGTCACATCCTCATCCTCCTTCAAGGAAGCTGTGAAAGCTTCATATAGCAAGGTATTCAGTTCATAACCCTATTTCATAACCCTATTTTTGTCTCCACCCAGAGCAGCGGACATCTGGCTTGAGTATCCACAAGCCAATGAATTAATCTCCACCTAATGGGAAGACATTCCTGCCCCAAACTGCCTGCATTGTAGAAGGCAGAAGATGGCCTTGAAAGCCTGAAATGTCTGTTGAAGCAGATAACTTCATGATTTAAGAGGAGGCCATTTGGTTCATTTGTGGGCAGGCCGGGGGATTAGAGACATAATGTTTCATATGTGGTTTATTGAATTCTCTTTTTAAAAGACTTCTGCTGGCTGAAATTACATTTTTCAAACCCAATGAAACCACTGGAATTCCACCTGAATAAGAGTGAGCTCCCTTTGTTCTGATGACACTATATATGCATCATGATGGAAAAATACGGCTATCATGACATTCTGGGGTATGAGTCTGCTGAAAACGCAGCTGCAGGGAGCTCAGGCTTACCGCAAATCAGTGGCTGGGTGTGATCCATCGTTCCAGGGCCTGAAGCACAAGAAGGGCTTGATTGGAAGGGGCCTGAGCTCATGGGTAGCTCCTTCAGCGTGCTTGCCAGCATGGGCACAGCTCCTGTTTCGCAGGTCAGCCAGGGCTGGCATCGAGCTAAGCTGTTGAGGGCCCGCGCTGGCAAAGGCCTGAGGGAGTTCCTCTTCACCACGGCAGCCTGCTTGTTCCTCTGCCTCTCGCCCTGGCCTTTCCGATTGCTACTGGCAATGGTGGAGGTGAGGAGGAGGAGCAGTTGATACCATTGCCCAGTTGCTCCCTGGCTCTCTACCCATCGAGCAAGCAAGCAACTGGCCATATGAGGCTGAGGGAGAAGAGCAGGGAATGGCAAGGGTGGGTGAGACTCGACTCGACTCGCTAAGGGAGGGGCCTTGTTGACACAGTCTTGCCCAAGGTCCCTAAAAAGTCCTGGAGCTGACACTGTAGCAAGGATGTGACACACACAGAGAGAAACAGAGAGTGGTGTTGGCAATCAGAGTAGGCAGGATGAAGCTTCCGTTAACTCCAGACTATGTTCCTGTCACATTTTTTACATGGGCCTGCCTTTGAATACAGTTCAAAGGCTCCACTGGATTGAAAATACAGTGGCCAGGTATTTATCTGACACTTGCAGGCTGAAGCATCTGAGTCCAATGCTGTAGCTATTCCTTAAGCTTCTTATCTGCATCCAGGCCTTGGCTATGGAGTTCAGCCAGGGGAAGAGAGTACTCAGTTTTCCATGTGACCCAACCCATGGGGCTATCTCCCCATGAAAGCCTACTTCTGAACTGATATAATCACTCCTTGATCTGGGTGCCTGCCATTCAAACATATCTGAGGATGAAAGCCAGTATGGTGTTCTACCTAGAATGTTGGCCTAGCACTCAGGAAAACTGGATTCAAATTACCATTTAGGCATGAAGGTCACTGGAAGAAGTTGGGCAAAGCATCCTCTGAACCCAGGTGAGGCTGAAAAATCATGGCCTACCCAATGGTCAGGGCTGATCTGATGAGAAATTACACAGAGTAACATGTGGATTGCCTAGACTTCCTTACAGGGAAGATAGTATATAATGGAGTACATTTTTAAAATGCGATTCTCAAAAGCATATTCTATAGGATGGGATTAATTTTTAATCATGGCACAACATCTGTGCTTTCTTTTAAATATCTGTATGTCTCCAAATCCTAAATAAATTCACAATAGCTGTTGTTGCTGTAAAAGTGTGGGTATTACAGAATATAATAAAACCTCAATTGTTTAAAAACAGTGCTCGGTAGAATTTGTTCAATAAAAGGCTAAATTTCTTTTCTCAAGTGAAATGAATATGAACATAATTGTTTTTAGCATGTGCTGTATAGAGATAAGCTTTTTCTTGACGAAAAAAAAATCCTATATTGCACGAACAATTGCCAAGATTTGTAAATGGGAAAAGTTTTAATAAGAAAGAAACTGTTAGTGTTTATGGGAACAAGTAAGCCATTTCTGAATAGCATATAAGGAATTCTGGCCAGAAGTTTTGTAATTTAAAATGAAAGGAATCAGTGCAGATTTAAAGTGAAGTCTCTCTAATCAAGTCATTCAAGTTGCAGCAAGAGTCACTAGGTTGGCTTTAAAAATGAATATGGATGGGGTGGGGGTGGGGGTGGGGGGGATCTCTTCACTTTCCATTTTGAAAATGAACCTACCTGATCGTAATATAATGTGCAACATGATTGTCCTGTTTTTTTACTTCTCGAAAATGTTCTGAGATGCACATATTAGCAGAAATGATGTAGCAAGATGCATACGACTGTTCATTCATTTGAAAATATGTTCAGAAATGCTTATATGGATTTTCAAATTTTGTTTGGAAGCTAATGGAAAAAATGGGATGGAATGAACTTGAAAAAAACTGAATTTAATACAAAAGAGAAATACAATCTAGAACATTCTGTCATGAGAAAATCTATTTCATATTAGCAACCAGAGCATTGTCTTCTGATTTCTTTCTTTCTTGCTTGCTTGCTTTCTTTCAGCACTCCAACTTTATTAGGATCCATAAGGTGATTTCCGTATTAAATTTCACCATGAAAGAGTCAGACATGCAGCTCTCTGGGGTGTTCTTACAGGCCCTTAATAGCCTCCCTTTGGAGTACAACTATCCCCTCTACAGCCGGATCTTTGATGACTTCGGGACGCATTACTACACAGCTGGTTCAATGGGGGGCATCTACGACCTTCTCTATCAATATAGTACAGAAGAAATGAAAAATTCAGGTATATTGACATTGGTATGGGAAGATGAGTCCACTCAGGGCTAAACTAAATATTTGACTAGTCATGCATCATATAGCACTGTGTGATGGTTTTTCTGAACTTTGTGTCAGCGTTGTCCCAATTCAGATCAGGACTTGCTATTGCATTGTAGTTCTCATTATTACATTGCATTTATATTGTGCCGTTTTTCGTCTTGTGAGGAACCCAAGGTGGCTTACACAGCTCCTTTTTATCGTAACAACAACAACAACTCCTGTGAGGTTGGTTAGGCTGAGAGTGAATGTCTGGCCCAAAGTTACCCAGGGAGCTTCATGGCCAAGTGGAGCCTAGAACCTGGATCTCCCACTTCCCAGTCCAACACTCCAACTGCACCAATTCTCTCAGGCAAATCTCCTGCCCCCATTTTCACCCCAAAATTACATCCCCTGCAGAGCAGAAAAGAAAATAGTTCTCCAGTCACTGCACTACAAGTTGTTTGTTCATTGTACTTTTTAAAGTTTTGAATGGATAGGTGGAAAGAAAAAGACAAAAAGGTTTAACCCCTGTTCTCAGAATAGCATGGTCCAAGCCAAACCTGGATCACATGTACTTACACAATGGTAAACAAAATTGCCATGCATACTTACTTGTGATTGAACAAACCTTTAGTGTGGCCCTCAGGTATTTTAAACAGTTGATATTCTGTCATAACTTGCAATATGGGAAAGTAGAATTTACCCTCCAACAGAAAACTTTGCTCCTTACTGTGGTCTGTCCACAGCCTTCGATTCCAAACCAATTTGGGTGGCAGCCTTGGCTATTAAACTGGGGTCAAAAGCTAATATAGTTTTGTCATGTGGATGGGAGAGAAGCAAAGTGTGAGACTATTGGAGCCTTTGGTGCACAAAGTGTGGCAGAAGGACCATTTCCTTGTCGATAGCTTTATTGTCCAGCACTTGACTTTGGACTACCTATCTTCAGAGAACCTTTCCACAAGGAATCCCTGAAGGTCTGCCATGGCTCACCTGTTGCATTGCAAACGTTCTGGCTCAGCGTGTTTGCATTAAGATATGCACTATTCCAGCCAATGTGTTGGTCAGATTTTTGGGATCTCCTAGCTGAGGCACTGATAATGGGATTCTTCTGTGGGTTGCATGGTGCGTGGGAAGGAAGATCAATGGCGGGCTAGCTGAGCTAACTTTTGGGAAGCTTGCCCAGTGTTCTGAATCTTTTCATTGTTCAGATAAGCTCCAGAGAACACTTGCTTGGACAATTTGCAAGGTGGAATCCTCACACATACTCATGCATGCACACAAATAACGGGAATTCCTGGGAACGACCACAGCATGGACAAATCACAGCAGCCTTTCTCCTTCCCCACCCTCAAATGTAGAGGATCCTGCAATTCTATACTGCCAATATTCTGACTCCAATCCATGGTGTTGAGCCTGTTTTGACCATGGAATTCAGCAGCATGGTTAGCTTTTTCTAGTTAAAACTAAAACCTGGAGTAGATCCATTGTTCTGCAGACGCTGGTGCAGGGAGCAGATCATGCATGCAAAATCTGGTTTGTGGCTTTTTAAAGTGTGCTCAGAATAACTTTCCTCCTCTAGGTTTAACAGAGACAGAATCAAAAGAGTGCGTGCGGACAGAAACAACTAGGCGTATCCTTTGGAGAAAGAAAAAAAAAGTGCATACAAGATGTGTCCACAACAGAATGAGTGAACGCCATGAAGGTGACTATAAAGGAAAATGTGTCACACAGAATATGTATGATTGTTTTCAGCAGTCCAGGATGTTTGTCTGTGTGAATGCAAGGCTTTCCATGCTGAATCCAGTGGCCAGGTCATCTCAGTATCCTGTCATTTTTCAATGGCAACTGCATATAAAGGGAGCAGAAGGAATCCTACCCTGGGTTGCATCTATTTTGTGCTAAAAAAAAGAAAAAATTATTTTCCACTAGAAAAGTTCCAGAGTTTGTTGTTGTAATTCACTTTCAGTAAGAAAGTTTGTGACATCAAAAATATATGAAAATATGTCAGCTATGGGCAGTGGGTGGAGGAGCTGTTAAACAGCAAGAGTGGGGAAGACACTCCATTACTTGGGTCCAGAAGAAAATTTCTCCCTTATGGCAGATTTGGGATACAATCCTTCCTGAGGGAATATGATATGCATTTTTTCAGGTGAATGTTAGATGCAGTAACGCACTTAGGCACAATTTGCGTCCTTCAGGCTCAGAGCACGTAAGCTTCTGAACATGGAGGCTTTTGTTCATCCAATGTGGGACATGATCTATGGCGTCCTGCACCGGCTGGGGATCAGTCGGCCTCTGCGCACAGTTGCAAAGGAACTGTGCATCTTTAAGGGTATTTCCCAAGAAGAAGAAGACTGGCGGGAGGTTTCGGACAAGTAAAAGGAAGGACTGCTTCTCACAGTATATAAGCAAACTATGGAATTTGCTGCCATGGTCGTCAATCTAGATGGCTGTAAAATGGGATTGGACAGATTTATGAGGGAGGAGACTATCCATGGCTACCTGCCTTGCTGGCCAAAAGCTACCTCCTTCATCTGCCTGCATCCACCATTGCTGAGGAGCTTGGGCAGGAGGAGGTCTTGCACCCACACCCTGCTTGAGGGATCCTGTGGGCAGCTGGCTTGCCACTGTGTGTATGGAGTGCTGGACTAGATGGACCTCTGGACTGATCCAGCAGGGCTCTTCTTGTAGTCTTGCTTCTTTGCACATGGAATAGTTAAACAATGGAATTGGCTGCCACAAGAGGCAGCCATGGCCACCCACCTGGATGGCTTTAGAAGAGGAAGAGACAAATTCATGGAGGATAAAGCAATTTATGGTGACTAGTCAGGATGCTGGGGAACCTGAGGGGGAGGGTGCTTTGCTCTCTTGCGGCTTCATCCTGTCTGAACAAACAACTGGATTAGACAGATTTTTGGCCTCATTCAGCCTGGCTCTTCTTATGGTCCCATCTGTATCAAAGCTATAATTTCAGAATAGGTACATGGGTTTAGCAAATGGTTGGGAGGGCCAGGGAAGCCTTAAGCCTTCTTGCCCATGATGGTTGCATGCAGCTAAAGTAATTCTGGCAAAGGCAGATTGGTGAGGATGCTGCTCTTTGCCAGGCTGCTCTAGAAACCTCAGAAAGGAAATGGTGTATTTGATCATGCACATGGTGGCTGATCTCATGAAAAATCACTGATTTCATATCTTCCTCAGGTTCCTTTCTGCAGGCCTCTGAAAAGTCAATCTCGTTAGTAAAAGGTGGGCGAGCTCAATATGCCGCAGCACTTGCCTGGGAACGAAAGGGAGCTTTCCCTGAACATGATGTGTATAACAATTGGCTGGAATCAGCCAAGGACAATCCAATTGTTGTTGACTATGAGGTAGGGAAACCGAAAGGAGGAAGTGTGAACAAATGTGTTGGTTTGATGTGTGAAGATATTACTATTATTAAATTATTATTTTTGAACGTCTATCCCAAATCCCTCCATTCATGATTTTGCAACTTAGCTGTGCTTGTTGTAGATGCCGAATGCAGCAGTTTCCAAATGGCACTGCAGCAACGTGTTGCACTTTTGCTCAGTGTTGCAGTGAGTCCGCTAGAGTTAATCTTAGGAAGCTGCGTCCCGTGCCCCCTTTCCTTTCCCGCAACAGGATTCTGTGGCCACTGAACATGCCCAGTCTGGTTTTTTCTGTTTTCTGTTTCTGTTTTTTCCACTGAAGTGTGTGGGTAAAGGCTTTGGGGTTCCTGAGTCAGCAGATGTAGAGGAAAAGTCTCTAATTCATAGGCTACATAATGCATAAGCAAGGAGATCTCTGAAGGCACTGGTGATGGACGGAGTCTCTCAAGTCTAGAGTGGGAAAATGATGCTAAAGGTCCATTTCACAGGCCTTACATGCTTTGCTACTTCTGTGATGCATTAAATCTAAAGTGGGTAGAAGGCAACTCCAAATTGATTGGAAGGTCTTTGGGTGACTGTCAATCACCAGTGATTTCTGACTCCCAATTGTTTTAACAATAGCAGTGACAAAGACTTCCCTCTTGTCCTAAAAATTTTATTGGAAAAGGCAGAAAGCTTGGAAAAAACTGGCACAGGTTTCTGTGCAGGACTGTGAACTCTTGTCTGTTCTGGAACTCAACAGAAATTCCTAGGCTCAGAATTCTCTCATTTTATGATATTTCATTTCTTTGTTTGTACCTGACTCCATTTGGGAGATCATGAGTTTCTAATAAAAACAATTAAAATCAGTCTTGCAAGCCTGAATCCTGTCCACCCCTACATCAAACTATTTAATGTTGAATAAGGGTCACATTTCACCCTTTGATTGTTGGTGCTACAGCCCCTCAAATGACAAAAGATGATTTATTCAGTCCCAGGTTGCTTTGCAACACTTTTGCCAGTTCCCCTGACTAAATCTTTAAATGGAATACATTTGGCTGCTAAGTTGTGTTTCTAGACTTCTAGACAGCAATCCTACACCCAGTAATGGGACTCTACTCTGAGTACGTATAGATAGGGCTAGGCTGTCGGAGTTATTCCTTCCATCATTGCAAGGCTGATGAAGGCCTTAGGGTAATAGGTCAAAGGAAAGAGAAGTCACCCATCTGACAACTTAATGTAGTAACAATAACTTGCCTTTTTCCAGAAAATGCTCTTCATAACCAGTAGAGCTAAGCACTTTTTGAGAAGAACAAGGAACTGATTTTCGGAATACCAAATCATATGCCAGATGTTTGTGTGGTAAAGCTAAGACTGTGTGGAATATCAAGCTCTCTAATTCTACCCGCTGTGTGTCCCTGTTTTAGTTGGCTCCCATTTTGGATTTGGTGAAGAACATCCCTTGCGCAGTAACAAAGCGCCGTAACCTCAGGAAAGCTCTGATCGACTACGTGGAACATTTTGACCCATGCCGGTGTGCCCCATGTCCCAACAACGGCCGGCCTGTGCTCTCTGGAATGGAGTGCCTCTGCGTGTGCCAGGCTGGCACTTACGGCGATAACTGTGAGAGACGAGCGCCTGACTACAAATCCGGTATAGTGTGCTAATTCAGTAGTCACACAAATATTTCCACTCCAGTGGTGCAACTAGACCAACACTAATTTTGAGCAGCATGCTGATCGTTAGTCACCATGGCTGCAAAGACCACCTTGTGCCTCTGATATTCCTAGCTGGCAGCAATTCAGTCAGGAGGGATGAGACATTGTGAGCTGGAGCACCTTCCACTCCAGGCCGTGGCACTTTCAGGGTCTCAGGAAGATGAGCAAGTGAGGGTGAGGAGCAAGGAAGGCACAGCTGCTACAGGCCTTTCCTGGATCCTAGATGTGGTCACAGCCTTCTTCCAAGCCCCTCTTTGTGGCGGCCCCAGATCAAGTTGGAGCACCCAAGAAGAAGCAGCGCCAGATTCCTGGGTAACCATCAGCTATTCTTATAGGTTCATCCCAGCTGGAGATATTCAGATAATATAAAATCCATTCTGTCCATGTTTCACATCAGTGGCTTTTTGTTCCATCACCCATCTGTTGATGGAATTAGATTTTGTGCAAGTGTTTATACGCATTTGCAAAAATTCAGGATTGGTGTTTTGATATTTTACACATTTTTCTACACCTGAATTTGCGTAAAACTGTGTAAAATGTAAAAAATGGTCCACAAGTCAACAGTATCAGCAAAGGCCAGTCCTCTGCAGTCTGCAGAGATGATTCTTAGAAATTAATTGGAGCTGTTGCAGATTTTTCCAGTATCCCTAATGATCCCTTAGATGCTGCATTCAATAATGTATTTGTGAACAATCTGGAAGAGTCTTTCTTCTGCATTCACCTCTCCTAGAAGGCACTGCAACGTATCATGGTAAAGTTCTGGGGAATCCAAATTATCCACTCTTTTGGATATCCCTAATGACCTATATTCCCCAGAACTTTACCATGATACGTTGCAGTGCCTTCTAGGAGAGGTGAATGCAGAAGAAAGACTCTTCCAAATGGTCCTATATTTGAAGGGCTGCTAGAGGACCATCCACTGGTGAAAAAACTTCTCTGTTTGAAGGGCAGTTAAAATTCCAGTTAAACAGATAAAGAACCATAAGAATTGTTGCCTGTCAACAGTTATTACCTGGTCAGCAGACTGAGCATATGGTCACAGCCTTCCATACTAAGATGAGATGTACAACGTTTCTAATTAAACTCTAAGAATTATTTCTAAATTTGCACCTACACATATAAATTAGCATATGCAAAAATATGCAAATACCAGCCTCTTTTGCTGAAGCATTTCCCTTTTGGGTGGGCAGGATTCATAAGTGGCTACCCAAAAAAGAGTGAAAAGTCTGGAATGGAGACAATTAGATGCCAATCCAGATGAATATTGACAATGAAAGATGCCCACTGGATGTTTTAGGTAGTATCTAAAGAGCCAGTGTGGTGTAGTGGTTAAGAGCATGGGACAGGGACTCAGACGATCCGGGTTCTAGTCCCTGCTCAGCCATGGAGCCAGCTGGGTGGCTTTGGGCCAGTCACAGACTCTCAGCCCAACCTACCTCACAGGGTGGTTGTTGTGGGGATAAGATGGAGGAGGAGATGTAAGCTGCCTTGAGCCCTTTGCAGGAAAAAGGCAGGATATAAATCGAAAAATAAAAAATAAATAAAACTTGGGAGAATGCGAAAACAAGATGTGTTCTTTTGTGCTTGGGCAACATGATCATGAAAGTATAGTATTACTCTTTTGTAATGATACCATGCAAGTCATTTAAATAGGAACTGATGCAGATACAACATTTCACTTTATGGAGAGGGAACAGTCATTAAGGGGCAGTTCAAGAAAAATGTCGTACATCTGGGGCATGCTTGGATTTATAGGCCTTTTTGCTGTCTAAGCACGTATAGGATTGTGCCTTGAGCCCTTTCAAGATGCTCCAATTTTGAGAGGTTTTGAGAGATGCTCCAATATGCAGAGGAGGACAGGACACATTCCAATGAAGCCAAGCTCAGGGAACCAAGGTTCAATTTGGATGCCAGGAAGCACTTCCTGACAGTCAGGACCCCGAGGGTGTGGAATGGGCTTCCACGGGTGGTGATTGAAGCCCCATTGGTGAGGGTGTTCAAAGATAGGCTGGACATGCATATGGTAGGCATGTCATGAGTGGAGCCGGCTGGAGCCAGGGGTCAGACTAGATGGCCTGGGAGACCCCTTCTGACTCGCTCTGTTTCTCTGTTTCTATATCTGGCATGACATTGCAAAAAGCGCCATAGTTATTCCAGACTGGTTCCAATCCTGTTTCAGATGCTGTGGATGGTTACTGGAGCTGCTGGTCTGCGTGGAGCAATTGTGATGGCTCCCATAAGAGGCAGAGGAGGCGTGTCTGTAACAATCCCTCCCCTCTCAATGGGGGAAAGCCATGTGAAGGTGAACAGGAGCAAGAGGAAGAGTGCTACTTCTCCATATTTGCTGATAAGTAAGTGTGAAAAAGAAGGACTGGCTGAGTTAAGGGCCGTGGCTGAGCCAAGATTGCAGCCTGACTGTCAAATGGCATTACAGACAGACATTCCCAAGTTCAGTTCTGGCATCTCCAGATAAGGCTGGGAAAGACAGGATCCTTTCGGACGCTCGGGATGGCTTCTGCCAGTCAGTGCAGACAATACTAAGGCAAATGGACCAGTAGTCTGGCTGAGTGCAAGGCAGCTTCCTAGGGCAGCCTTGGGCAGGCTTGCAGCCCAGATGTGGGGGGGCACTGAGAACTGCACCCTCTTGTACAGCTGGAGGGTATCTCATCAGGGAAGGCTGCCCTAAGTCTTTCCCAGAGAAAGAAGGACTCACAAACCTTTTGTAAAAGTCACAACAATTGCCTTCTTCAGGCATTCCTTTTTCAGCCTCCCTCAGTCTGGTCCCCTCCAGAAGTTTCATCCCAGGTGACACCTGAACTTTGCAGCCAAAGAGGTGGGTGAACACATGCAGTACTGACGTGGTGATGTGGACTAAGAAACAGTCTAAACCTGGAAGATTTTTGCATGCCAGTGGTAGGTTGTGCTCTATCACTGGTCCCTCCACTAGGGTTGAAAAGGATGGACCTCTTAATGCCTTCCAATTCTATGCTTCTATTTTTTCAGGGGGGCTTTGTGTATAAACGATGATGACATCATCAAAGAAAGGGACATTTTTGTTGGCCAGCCTGAGTCTGGATGTTTTAAGCCAGTCCCGCCAGAAAACGCATTCATCAGGGTAAGTGTTGGACTTCTCGGCATGCTTTTAAAGATGTGAAAGTCCAGAAGACAAACAGGAAAAAAATCAGGAAAAACAAAACCAGGGGGTTGGGGGGGGGGGCACATTTTCCTCAGTTTTCCCCCTTTTCCTTTTTCCTCCCTGGGCCTTCACAACTCTATGGGTATAGCTTTAGTCCCTGGTGTAAAAAAAAAAAAAAAATTAAAGGCACACAACTGTGCCAAAACTAGCAGCTTGGGTTTATTCTGCCTGGGTGTAGCAGCAAGGGCCAAAGGAGGCATCACTTTGAATACAAGTCTAGCAGCAGCCATTTTGGTTCATTTTTATTCTATAGTAGATTATGGGGCTCTTTTCTGTACCAGGAATGTAGCATGGGAGGCGGGAGGACTTTCCGAGGCCTGACCGGAGTTTCAGTAAAGGATATGGAGCCTTGGCATTCAAAGATGGTAGAGCTCTGGGACTGGGTGCTGCTCAAAGGCGGTTGTTCCCCTCATGTTGTGGCCACGGGGTGCTTCCTGACTGGCCGCTGCTAGTCTGAATCTACCTTGGGCCTGTTAGCAAACCCAGGTGGAGGGCAGAGGGAGGACAGTGGCCCACACATCTGGGGGTTTTCCTGGATGCTGCCAGCCTCTTAAATTAAGTTGGAGCTGGAGAAGAGCTCTGTGGAAAGAAACAGGACAGAGCTGTGCAGGAGCATGCAATTTTGGGGAGGTCCAAGGACCATTTTTGGCTGCTTTGGAGGTCACTGTTTGTGGTGGTGACCTGATTTGTGCTTTTTCTGGAAAACAAGGTCCTCTGGAGCTGGTAAGGTTCATGAAAAGGGGAAAGTATAGCTTACTTGCATGCTAAATCTGACCCTATTGACACTCTATAGCAGCTATCAGCAGTCTTCCCTCTTCTTTTAATGGGCTGCCCCAAATTTGGTAGGGTTGGGTTGACCGTGGGGGCCTCACAGACTTAACTTTGCCATTGCATTCTGCACTTTGAGCCATTTTTACTGGCTTTTGGATAAAGGACGTGACAGGACTGAGAGCCAATGTAGAGCAGCAGTTAGAATATCAGGCAAGGATCAAGGAAATCGAGGTTCAAACCTCAGTTCAGCCATGGGCCTCCCTCATGGCCTTTGCTGTAGTCACCATCTCTTTCAGCATAAATTACTTCACGGGCTTGTTGTGAGGGCAGAAGAAGTGGGAAGAGAGATTTGTTAGCAACCCTGTGGGCACATTTGCTGAACATGGGATAAGATGTACATAAATAAATGAGGAAGGTCCAGCGATGTCTTGAGGCAGAGTTCTGTGGAAAACCACCGAGTTCTTACACAAACCTCAGCTCTTGTCTCTCAAAGGTTCCTTTGTAGTTTCTGGGTGCCTGTGAGTTCTGTCTGCAGGTGGATGATTTCCCAATCTTGTTTTCAGAATGAAAAGAACCATTACGCCGTTGGGGAAAATGCTGAAGTTGTATGTTTGAGTGGATATGAACTTGTCGGGTATCCGTTTATTCGCTGTCTACCAGATCAAACATGGGCTCAACAGCCTGTTGAATGCCAGCGTAAGAGCCAAAACGATCACTTGGAATAAAACTGGTAACCTGAAAAAAGCTAATAATAATAATAGAGACTGGTGATGACTTGAGGCCTGTGGGCATATTGGCCATGGGTGCAAATCCTGGTGCAGAAGCACCAAAACAGAGGGTGAAACAAACCCAAGGACTCCCAGTACATTTGGAGCAACTGGCCAAGGATCCCGCTGGGTTCACTTGTGCCAACCTTCTTTGCAGCCCCCTGGTGTTCTTAAAGGAGTGCAACTAGGTGACAAGCTTGTTTGCCTTATTTATTTATTTTTGCATTTATATGCCACTTCCGACTCCTAATGGAGTCTGGCTTTGCTCAGCATCTGCTAAATCTGCTCAGATTTAATGCTAAATCTGCATTAGCATGACCCACAAAGAGGGCACCACCTTGCAAACCTCTCCCTTTTCACCCCCAAAGTGGATCTGGATGCAGACAGGGTAGAAGATGTGTTAGATGTGTTTAGAAACAAGTACAGAATGGAAAAGGGTTGGTCAGATGCAGAGCACAAAGCAATAAGCAGTTTACAGTGGCAATCCAGAGCCAAAGGACAAATAAAATGGATAATACCATCTAGCAGGCACGGCCCTGCACTAAGCGGCCGAGCAGGTCCTTTGATTTCCACTTCCATCACCTGATGCCTGCATCATGTCTTCATCCTCCATTAGGAAAACCTACACCCTAGCACCAGCACTGGGGAAAATCTGCCCTGGGCCTGAATCCCCCTTCCTGTTCTTTGCACTGGTGGCAGGAGAGAAAGGCCCACAACCTCCTCTCCATCTCCTTTGCTGTTCCACACTTTCCTGCCGGGAGATCAGAAGAATCTCTTGGTTTTTGTTTGCCGAGTGTCCAGCAGTGGTTCACCCCCATTTCTCAGAAGATGCTTCATTGCTGAGACATCAGTGAACTTCTCAGCTGGTTTGCTCAGTAGCGGTGCTTGGCCTTGAGATGACCTCCGCCAGGGCATCTGCACTGCAATGCCAGCATCTAAAGACAGTTGGATACCTTGTGCCCTGCCTGATCTAAATGAAGCGACTCCTGCTGGCCTGGCTAGGTAAAGCCCCTACCATGCCCCCCATACTGCCCTGGGTCCACTCCATTCTTCCATGCGGAGGGCTGCCCCACTGCAAGGGGAGGAGGCAGCCATATAACTCCATCTCTGAGATGGTTCCTTCCTGACTTCATGCTGAGTCAGCTGCATTGCCCCCTACTGACTGAATGTGATACCACAGGCATTTATTTGTTTGTTCATTCATTTCATTGCTATACTGCCCAGTAGCCAAGGCTCTCCAGGTGATTAGCAAAAGTTAAAAAAGACACAAATGTAAAAGAACAAACCTATAACTGCATTCAAATTGATTTAAAGCATGTCCAAAACCAAAGAACCTCACCATGAAAACCCCTCATAAACATGGAACACTTCATATATTTATATTCCTGGTCATGGTGCTGTGATGCAGAAAAGACAGGGGAAAAAAACCTCCTCATTTATGTATTTGGAATGCCCTCCAGGGGATATTATGATCATTCTTGTTATCACCAAATTAAAATGCTCCTGCTTTCCCAGGCATTTTAAGGCAAGTTTAGAAGTTTCTAAACACAGTCTATTTTTTAATTAATTGATTGGCAGCTCCTTTATTTGTTGGATGTATAATTTGCATGTCTCTGTTTAATATTTGTTATCTGTTTAATAACTCTGCTTTATATCATTTTATATATTCCACCTTGCGCTAACCTGTAGTGACAAAGAAGCTGTATAGAAATACTTAAAATAATAATACAAAACTAAATGTTACCTTTTGAGGGTGCGAACACATTCTGTTTAGTCAGCTCTCTTGCATAAGAATAGTCTATGTCCATTTTCAAAATGCATTTTTAAAAAGTGAACAAAGTTTCAGCCACAAAGTAATAACAAAATATTTTAGTCCTTTGTAAGGTGCAATCCTATGCATGTTTAGGCAGGGCAAAAATCTGGCAACTTCTAGCATTCCCCAGCTGGACTTGTAGGACTGTTCTGCTTAAACCCACGTGGGATTGCACCCTTAACCTGTGTTTAACTTGCAGGCTGTTTGCTGTAATGTGTGAATTTGAGCTTGTTTTCCACTTCAGCTTCTGCTTGCCCCAGACCATCTGCCTCTCATGATGTTGCTATTACACCATTTAAAAATGAATACCAGATCGGAGAAACCATCCAGCTAAGTTGCCTCCCAAGCTTTGTCCTAAATGGCCCCACACAAACCACTTGTGGGAAAGGTCCATCTTGGAAGCCTCCTGTTTTGAGACTGCTTGCTTGCCAGAAAGGTGAATAGAATTGAAGGGGTCCATGTGATGTGGGGGGCAGGCTGTTGAACTCGGGAGACCTGGGCTGGAATTCTCCCTTGGCCATGAAGTGTCATGGAATCAGTGAGACTCTCTCAGCCTAACCTTCCTTGTGGGGCTGCCACAAAGCTGCAATTAGAGGCCAACTCCAGCTCCATGGAAGGATGGGCTACAAACAAAATGAAAAAGCTGATAAACGGGGGTCCACAAAAACTCCTTTCTAGCATCATGCCTGACTGGGACTTATCATGTGGCTCAGTCATTTCTGTTTCAGTGTCTCTCAAACACATCTCATTGCTTCCTCTTGCAGCTGCTCATGCCCAAGCGCAAGGGACTTGCAACCCAGGCCAAAAACAGGCCGGATCCCAGTGTGTGTGCATGTCCCCGGCAGAGGATTGTGGGTAAGCTATACAGCAAAAAGCCTCACTCTTGGCACGCTTTCTTCAAAGGTCCCCCTGAATGTGTGAAGGCGCAATATTGGAGTGGCTGCAGCTGCCCGTGTTGGCTCTGTCTGGGGGCCCCCAGCAAAGATAAGCATGGGTGGCCCCTGCCGAGAGTCCACATCCCAGGAGGGCCCAGTGGCCCTGGGGTTGTTCCTGCTCTTTACCGCTGCAACCATCCAACTCACCCTCCTCTTCCTCTGGGAGTAAGACGGTGGAGGAGCGGGAGTTGCCACTGCCCCCCTTGCTCACTGGCTCTTTGCCCATCAAGTGCGGCATGGATGTGGAGGTCAACGAGCAAGAGCACCTCATGGCAATAACTGAGAGGTGCAAGGCTTAACCAAGGGCGTGGGCCCGTTAGGGGTGTTTTGCCCGACAGCCCAAGCTAGCATTGCTCCGTCTCAGCTTCCACGGGCCAGCGAACTGGCCCCCTCAGATCCCCAGCCCTGCCAGGCTGTGCAGCAGTGCCTGATGGCCTCTTAATCACGAGAGAGAATCTCTTTCTTTGTCCTGTCACGTTCTTTCCCGGTCCAATGCTTAGCCTGCAGCATTCAGGAGAATGTATGAGGAGTGTTTGACTGCAGGAACTTTCAATGAACTTTCAAGACTTCTCGAATATCCCACACCTATGTCAACAGAGACTGGGAACAGACCATAGATGCACACATGCTTGATGGAGGTGACCCCAGAAGGGGTGCGCTACAGACACACTGCTTTATCCCTTGATCATCTCTGGCTTTCCAAACATGACCAAGTATTTGCCGCCTCAACCGGTTTGACTAAAGGCATCTGTGGAATGAAGATGTCCCATGAGTCTCTGCCTCTGTCTTGTGAGCAGAAGGCTTGCTTCTAATGCATGGCTTTCAACATTCCGAAAAGCTAACTCTTCTCTCTTATCTGGGTCCCACAAAGTACCTAGGCAGCTTAGTGCCATTCGGTTCCCTAGGTTTTGAAGAAGTCCTCCCCCCTTCAAGCATGTCCAATAGAGCCAGGCAGACTGCTGAACATTTGCAGTCCCCGCGTCTGGCAGGATGCAGATTGCTCCTTCCTGCCAATCAACCGTATTGATGTTTACCATCACTGCCCCATTCCAAGAGGCTTCCCTCAAGCTTTTCTTCCCCCAGGATCTTACCTGGGAGGTGGCCACCACCCACGGAGAGCCCTAAAACTGTGTAGAGCCTTCCTTCACCCCTGCCCTTCACTTTGGAGTTCTTCGGTTGGGATTCAAGTGGTCATGCTCAGAACATGTGCTCACTTCAGTAAAGGAAAGGAAAGTCTCCAGTAGCCATTTGCCTTGGAGGGGGAGCTTTTATCCTTTTATAATATGTGGTTTACCCCCTCCTTGCCCTGTACTTGTTTTTCTGCTTATACACCGAGAATGAGGTTGATTTGTTTAGTCTGGAAGTAAATGTGCACAATTCTTGCAATTGCCTTAATGCCACCTCTGCAAATTCAGTCCTATTGTTTTGTAACTGATGGAGGCTGAAGCAATCTGGAATGCCTTCATTCGGCTTGCAGGATCGAGGTCAACAGCCTCGGATACAAAGTTGAGGGTTCCTGACATTGTAAACAAAGCTGGGGAGCTGTTCCTTGTGGGTGGCTCCTTTCATCCCTGGATTACCCAGTAAGGGTTTTCTTTGTCCTTTGGCAGCCACTACTCTGAAGACGTCTGTGTACTGGATACAGCTTCTCAACAACCCCTTACAAAGCCCAGCTGCCAATTCCTGGCAGAAAAATGCCTGGGGGAGAACTCCCTCCATTTCCTGCATGCTGGGCCCTGCAGCAGGGACACTGACTTGGCCTGGGCCCTGGAAAGGGTCCAAATCACCACAGGAAGCATAAAGCGCGAACCCTGTGGCTACGACACATGTTACGACTGGGAGAAATGCTCCGGTACGTATGAGCCCTGGATCCTGCAATTGCTCTGCCGTAAGGCACGCTCTAACATTTAACACTTTCTTGTAGCAATTAGGACTGCAACATTAATCAGTTTGTGACCTATACACCAGAGATTGACACCCCCCTCCACACACACAAACACACTTTCAGAAATCCCGGAATTTCAATTCGTGAGGAGGAAATAAAACTCGGGTTCGTGGGAAAGATCAAGCGTCCAGACCATCTGTGGCTTTATTGTTTGGCCCAGGTTCCCACGGTAGACTCACAATAATGCATTCCTGGGCAGGCAGAGGTGAACTCGCTGCAAAGTTTCAATACAACTACAGGGTATTTTATACCCTCCTGGTCACATACACAGGTACGGAGGAATTGATGGCAGAATGCAGGGATTACAATAAGGTTCTGAGGTCATCACATAAAGAACAGATAAAGGAATGTCAGTCAATCATACAGTGACAATGAGATTACAATATTTCTAATTGCAGTGTATTGACACTTTAGATGAGTAACTTGAACCCATTTCCAGGTCTGCTTAGACATGTCAATTCAAGCTACTGAGAAACTATTCATGAACTCATAAGCTCATCTAGACTCAGACCCTAAGTATTGCATCCACATCATTCTGATTGGTCAGGGTGCATGGAGCGCTCTGGGCTAGCAAAATAGATACTTCCTGGTAAACTGTGAATTCCAACAAGGATTATTTAGTCATTGTGAAGGCATATATTTGGACTGAAATGTGGCTTACAGCTAAAGGTGAGAAAAAGGAGCAGGGGAGGAATGCCATTTTAAACTGTGACTTAGTTTGGAAAGCTGGTGCTTTTGAGAAGGAGTGCAGGATTGATTCCACAATGCAAAAGACACAGAAGCAATGTTTTTCTGCCAGGATTTATCCAAATTTTCCCAACAACACACAAGGCCTGTCTACCTGGCCCTCAGACCTCCAGGGATAAAAAAGCAAAATTACCCTAGAAATGGGCTCTATGGATCCTGCCATAAAAGCCTTGTTCCTAAATCATCCTCAGAGCATCCCAGGAAGCTTGGAGGCTTCTGCTGGGTTCTGAGGATACTCTAGAATGGATATTCTACGTATACTGGGTACCATGGAACCTGCTTCTGGAGCACTTTCCTTCCCATTTTTTTCCTTGAAAAATTTCAAGGTAAGGAAGTTTGGGATGCTGCTATCCTTTGGCAGAAGAGTGGGTAAGCGAAGGCATCAGCTGGCTCAGCACCAGGGTTCCTGAATGGCTGGTTAGTTTGAGAGCTGAGGTCAGAATATGCCCCAGGCAACCTGCCCTTGAACATGTGAAAAAGGATGGATACCCTGACAGGAAAAAGAGAGGTGTGAATCAGGGACCCCATGGCTTTGCCCCAGAAGCTGTTTTGAGTTGTATGACTCAGTCTTTGAGCATGCAACCTAGTGAGGAGAGAGCACCTCTGAGCCTATTTTGCACGTGTTCCTCCTGTTGGGTAACTGTGATCGCAAACTGCCCTGGATAAGACAGGAGAGAGGGAGCAGCTAGAACACCTTGCTATTCAGACAGGAGCATTTCCAGGCTGAACTGATCTGCAGCCCTTCACACTTGAGGAAGGGCCTGTTGTCAGTTCTCCAGGTACCCTTGGCAATTTCAATATGCTCCTGTCTTCCCCTACTGCGTCCAAAGTCCATCTTGTGCAAGCAGCTGTAAACAGGGGGTGTTTTCTATTTATAAAAAGGCTGCAATTTGTATGGGAGTGGGGGAATGCATGTGCTAAGAAGAAAACTCCCCATGAGAGCATTTGTGCAACCATTCTTGTGCAATTCGGGAAATGTTCATAGTTTTTCCCGTAAGGTTATGAAATATTTGCTGCCTGGCACAGTGCACAGAACAGTCCTGCCAACTTTTTTAAAAAAAGAGACAGGAACAGCTAAAGCTCAGTGAGAACAGAGGTCAGGAGGAGGAAGATGATGTGGGAAAGAAATGTCATTGGAATTAAACGTAATGCCCCCCCCCACTCTGAGATCAGCCAGTATTCAGTGTACAGTTTCTCAGTTGGTAAGTTGAACTTCAATAACTACCTGATACCTGGTTTGTGACTTGGAAACTCTCATGTAGTGCATTATCCTGTTGTCTGAATCCAGCCAAGGTTAAAACAAACAAAACATGATGATGTGTTGTGGGATCCTGACTATGCAAGGATCCAGGATGCATGGGGAAAGCCTGTGGACACACAGGGAAGGTTTGTGGGAGCATTGTGCAATTTCAAGAAGAGCAAGAGGTTCTCCTACTCATAATGCCCATGCACGAAGGAGTCTATCTTCTTCATTTCTCAATATTTCCAGCCCTTCTAAAGTATGCCCCTGGATGCCTTTGGACTAAAACCAAAGCATGTTTTTCTTCTGTAGAGTCCCGTGCCCAGTGCTTCTGCCTGCTGCCCAACCAGTGCCCACAAGGTGGTGAGGAACATCTTTTCTGCATCCAAGTTCGGTCAAAAAAGAAGACAGTCAATCTCTGTATGTTGGGGGCAATGAAATGCTCCAATATGAACATTGCAGTGGTACATGAAGGAAGATGTTCAGAGGAAGAGTCAAAAAGGTCCCTGGGGAACCCTTTACAGATTTAGTTGATAATTTCTTCTGGACCTCTGCAGATGGTTCCGATTTCAGGGATCAAGCATCCCTTTCTAACACTTTATCCCTGCAAGCTAAATGTACGTGGAATTTAGGACTGTGCCAATCCACCTTCTCTTCATCTGAATGCCTCTGGAGCATGTTCTGAGCATCTACTGTTTGAAGGAAACCAACTTCTAACCCAAAGAGCCTGAGGAACTCCCTCTGTGCTTGTGCAAAAAGCCTTTTCTTGCATGGGAAACTTCATTAGAAAAACCAAAGGCAGTGCCTCTGAGCAGAAGCAAAGTATGAAAATATAGAAAGTACAGCTACAACAGAAAATGCCCGACAATCAAAGTTGAAGCCAGGTGGCAGCACCAAGTATTTTGCTGCCTGAAATGGATCCCACCCCTGGCAGAGCTAGTGGTCTAGAATATTTTGCAGCACCATTCAGACACTTATTCTGGTCTTCATCTCTCCCCCAACACCTCATGGTGCTCCCCAAAGCAAGTCATGCTGGGCTGCCACATGATAGGGCAGGGCTCATCCCATCACCATTGTAGCCCAGACAGCTAATGTTGGCCTCCAGCCTGCCTTTTCGCATGCCACAGAGCTGCTGTCCTAACTAAATTCCCAAAAAGAGGACAAAAGAGGATGGTGATTTGCATGACATGCATCTGCTAATGGACACGCACAGATTCACATTTAGAAAAATATTATAATTTACATAGAAACAAAAAACATCTCACTGCACTGTGGAAGACCACTTGCATATCTGCCTGTTCAACCTGCTATCCAGGTGCAGCTGCTCTTGGGCAACAGTTCTTATGGCTCATGAACTTAAACTGGAATTGCACAGAGCAGCCCTTCAGCTTGAAAATGCCTTTGAATAGGAGATGGTCTTCGGATTGAGGACTGTAAAAGAAGAGCTGAATGGAGCTGTCATGGACAGGACATTTTGGAAGGCTTTCATTCATTAGATTGCCATAGGCTAAGGAAGATTTGATGGCATGTAACACCCACAAAAAGAGGACTCCTGCCCACCTTAACTCATAGCTAGGGCTACAGTCCATAAGGAAGGCTGAGTGCCGAAGAACTGAGGCCTTTGAATAGTGGTGCTGGAGGAGACTCCTGCGAGTCCCTTGGACCACAAGGCGATCAAACCGGTCAGTCTTAGAAGATGCAACCCTGACTGCTCTTTAGAAGGCCAGATACTGAAGATGAAACTCAAAGATGATGATACTTTGGCCACCTAATGAGAAGGAAGGACTCCCTGGAAGAGCCAAATTCTGGGAGCAATAGATGGCAAAAGAAGAAGGGGACGGCAGAGAATTAGGTGGCTGGATGGAGTCACTGAAGCAGCTGGTGGGAGCTTGAGTGGACTCCAGGGGATGGTGGAGGACAGGAAGGCCTGGAGGAATGTTAGACCTCGTGACTAACAACAACAACAGGGCTACAGTTCCACGGCAGAACATGGTGGGTGCTCTGGCTGGATACCCACTAACTCCAGGAAGAAGAATCTCAGGAAGAAGGGCAGGGTGGGGACCTCATTCTTAGAAAATGGAAAGCCATCACCCATTGACACAAGTAAAATTCAGCTTCATGGACCAGTGGTGTGACTCAAGATAGGCAGCTTCATATGGCTGAAGTCTTTGCCTGGTGCACCACCCATGAGTGCAGGAGGCTGTAATCCAGGTGTGTCAGGAGTGAAGAAGATGGCTGGTTTGGATGCACATTCTCAAGGGTTGCTGGCTGGTCTCCAGAAGAATCAACATTAGAAGGATAAGGGGGAGGGGGTGGGAATGTGGGCCATGCTGAGATCACAGGGATCTCAAGGCCAGACTCCCCAGCTGGGCAGATAGTCTCTGGGAATAACCAAGATGTGCAGTTGGCAGGAGGAGACTTGGAACAGGGGAGTTTCTCAGGCACAGACAAGGTGACCCTGACTCTTAATCCCATGATGGATCATCAACACAGGAAGGCAGTGCAATTAGAGAATTGGTGTGAAGCGAGGGGGCATGCTCATTTTCAGAAAGCCCCTCCCAAAGGTATGGTGGCCAGGAATGCTCATAAGAAGAGTTCCTGGAGGTGAATACTAGATTGGCTTCAACAAACCACTCTGTGCATGCTCAGAGATTCATTCTGGGTGCTTTGTGCTTTTGGTCAATAAAGAATGCTTTGCAATGAAAAGACCTGTGACTTTGAATGCACGAAGGAGGAACTTCAGCTCCCAACAAGGTATGTCCTACAATTGCAGGCTTCCCCCACTTCAGATCTCTCACTAGCAAGAGTAGGCCCAATAGCTAGCTGGTTTTGCAAAAGGGCAGAGAAACCCCTTTCAAGATCATGTTCTAAGGCAGTATTTTTAAAGTCTTCTCCGCATCTCCTGAGAAGTTAACTCCACTCAGTTTGGTGAGACGTGCTCCCCTGCAGGTCTGTCCTGACCAAGAAACAGAATGGGTTAGTTGCCTCTGGTGGCAGATATGGAGGATCATTAAAGGGCAGCAAAGTGTTAGTATTACTATATTCCTATAGTCATGGATGGGGAGAGCAGCTTACAGGATTTTCTGGAAAAAATGGCTGATTTTGGATATGCTGCACCTTTATTTGGGTGGCTAATATTCTGCAAAACTGCTGGCCTGATTACCTGATTCTGTTTTCCAAGACAGGTTCTTGCACATTGTATTGCTTGGAATGCATAGTTTAAAATCCTGAGTAGGACATCTGACTTCAATATTATGGTTTAGATTTGCCCCAGCATAAGATAGTAGCCTGCCTGCTCAGCAATATGCATTTGATGCTATTGTTACCTGATCTTATTTATTTTTTATTTTATTTTATTTTATTTTTCTATACCACCCAACAGCCTAAGCTCTCTGAGCAGTTCACAGCACCTAGGGTCCATTTGGCTTATGTGTCTGGAACTAAGTTTCTATTAAGTTAAAAATTAACTAATATAGATGTTTGATCAGAAAGGCCAATTCTATTTATTATTTTCATGGATTACGTTAAAAACTGCACTTGTTAAGAGTAGGCAGTAGGCTGATGTTTCAAGCAGCTCATATGCCATGCAATTTGCTGTAGAATCAACCAGACCTGGCATTTTGTGGCTCCTCTCACATGGTTTTCAGTCCACCCAGGTAAGTCTCCCTTCTTTTGCAGATGTTAATTCATATTTAAGTTGGGCTGTATGTGCACTAATAAACAAGCATAAGAATTACCTTGCTGGATCACACCAGGGTTTATCTAATTCAGCAACCTAAAAAAGGCTATCTAGATGGCTCAGGAAAGTTCTCAAGCAGGGCATGAACGTTCCCTTCCCCTGTCCTTTGTCCCAGCAGCTCTTGTTTAGTGAGATAACGTCTGAACACAGAGATCCACTTTAGGTACAACTCTCTCTAATACTGAGCTCAGCTGGAGAATTCCAACAGAAATAGATCCAAAACAGGGCTATGGAGAAAAGAGTGGGAACAACTGACGTGTTAATGGGAATCATGAGGTTTGCATGAGTACAACTAAAACACACATATGTGTGCACGCGCTTGCACCCCTCCCCCCCACAAGGTACTCTTCCTCCACTGAACAGCCCAGAGAGAACAGAGACTGCTCAGTAGCCACTGCCTATTCTTGGGAGCCAGGCCCTGGCTCCTTTGTAGTCCAGCCACCAAGTCCCATGTCCAGTCCATTACTTCTGTATGCAAACTGTAGCATTTCTTCAGGCTACAGACAGCAGCCTTCTGCAACCAAAAGAGACAGATCTTGTAGACAAGCTTTGCATGACATAGCACCTCATTAGCTTCAGTTAGTTCTCTAGGTTAGAGCACCATGAAATAGAGTTGCTTCAAAACTGGCCAACCCCCCTCAGACTGAATAGATTTTTTAAGTCTTTGCATCCCTGCTAGATTTTAGTTTGGGCTTTGCTTCTATTCGGTATTGTAGTTTTAAACTTTTAAACCAGTATAGCATGTGTTACCTTGTATTTTAAGATTTTAATTGTCACGACCTGCCCACAGAGCTTTGGCTATTGTGTGGTATAGAAATGTAATAAAAAATAAATAAACAGACCCTTCAGTTTCAAAGGGTCTGTTAGTCAAAAGAAAGCTGTTTCAGAAAGAAAATGTTATTGGAAGGTTGTGTTATGCTTGACATCAGAATATAGAGATGCACTTACAACAGGAAATTCAAAGGGTGAAATAAAGGGAAGCCAAATATTAAAGAAGTGCTCTGATTTACATGACACAACAAACCCCAATGGTTGTCACTGAGGGTTTGTTTTGGGGTAACTTGTCATGACATCCATGTAGATACTAGGTCCACTTCTCCTATAGTACAGCATTCCAGGGTAGTTACCTCAAATTCTGAAAATGAACTGGAAGAATTCAGGAGAGAACATTGGTAAGTCGATCAGTTCCAAGTTCATGCTAATTTAAACTAGCAAACCAGTGGAGTAGCCCCTGTGGTTCCTTTCATCTGGCCCATAAGCCTCAGGAACCTCCCTAAGGGTAGAACTAACTCTGATTGGGAAAGAAGGAAAAGGGTTCAGATTGGAATGAATTTCTTGGCATGAGTGGTATTTCCTTAATTAACTGGCTTCCTAACTTGACTGAAGATGCTGATGCTGATGCTTCTCTACACTGCTCTTTTATTTCCTAAAGCCAGCCTGATTGGCCCACTTTAGCATAATAAAGACTGTTGTTAGAAGCCTCTGTCTTGATGGACTTGGAAGGAGAAAGGTGTGGAGGGAAAGATAAGCCTCTGACTGTCCAAGACTGGAGCTATTTTTTATCATGGATTATTTTCTATGAACAAGCCACTGTGAGAACCTGTGGTTCTGGCTAGCTTATTGTCACATCTGAACTTTGCAGTGTGGCTTTAGGATGCTGAACAGTGCTAGAAAGCTGCTGGACAAGAGCAATGGAAACCACACCTGCTCCGCATTCTCACTGGTGAACATTGTGGTCACCATCCTCCCTCAATCTTGCCACATTCTTCTGCCACATGCTTCTAAAACTTGAGAAGAAATACATCTCCATGTGTGACCTTCCCCTCCCTTTTTTTGAGTCTTGCACAAGTGCACAGATTCCAAGTGCTGCTATGAAATTGGCAAACAGTTTCCCCTCGGCTGTGCCATGCAGAGAAATCGGTTCTGGGTGGGAGCTGCACCAGGTTCCCTGGTTTCAGCTTCCCAGACTCCAGTCCACTTTGCAGCAGCCTAGAGTCCAAGTTCCTAGTGTTACCCAACTCAGCCAGTCAACAGCTTGGGCAAACCCGGGTGGACCCCAGACCCGAGTCAAAAGGAGCCTGAGATGAGACTTAGAGCCAAAACCAGCTCTATTCTAGAACACTATAGAGTAAAGGGAGACAAAAGGGGACATTTGGCCCAAAGCAGTGTCTCAAAAGTTGCACCCCGGTACATGCATTTTATACCCTAGGTAACCATTTAGGTCACCTAATACACAACTAATGCATCGATACATCAATGTATACACCCCCTCCTGTGCTGGAGAAAGAGTCCTTTCTTCTGTCAAGGACCAGACATTTCCCAAGTCTATTTTTTATCTGCTCGAGATTCACACAGGCTTGCCATGTTCTTACTCCCTGCACATTTGCAACTTTCATGGCAGCTAGAACCAGTTTCCACTGTCCCTTTGATTACTGTGTTCAAGGTCAGGCTAGCATGTTAGCTGTGGGCTACACAAAGTTCATTTTGTTCTTATCCACCCACCCTTTGGGACAGTATAACTGTGGTGTTTTTACTATGTGGTCTTCCTCTGGCCAACTACTTTTGGGGCCTTCCTCTGGCCAATTACTTTGGGGTGTTTTGGGCTGCTGCAATTGGCAACACTAGCAAGCCCACCCACGGTTCACAGGGTGCTACCCAGGAACTGAGCCCAGGCACTGTGCAAGACTGACATCTGGGGAAGGTTGCTGGTGGCACAACTGGGAGTCCAGAAGTGTTTCCAGACTTCCACTTGGCTTGGCTCATTTTGCAGAACCAGGCTGAGCACAAGAAGAAGTTTGTGGATTCTGGAGGGACTGATTCTGAAAGGGGTTCCAAAAACTCTGATATTGGCATATTTTTGCCAGGGTCCCCCACTACTCTGCTTGAGATGTGCGAATCCTTGCCACTTCCCCTTGCTACTCTGCCTTGAAATTTGCATTATCATTACTGATTCACTGAACCCCTCCATAACCTGTATTATATCTGACCGCTAACCATGGAGACTGGTGACAAACTTGGGGAGAGCTGAAAGCAACTGATGGCTTCAGGAGAAATTGGTTTGGGGTGGGTGCCCTTCCTCAAGTGGCATGTGAAGCAGCCTTTTGAAAGAAGGATTCACAGAAGGGGAGGATCAAATTGATGAGGTTGGTACGTAATGAATGCTAAATAATGGGCAAAGGACCCTTGCAGTCCTGCGCACTTGTGCAAGGCTCTCCTTAAAAAGGGAAAGAAAATGCCCTCTGTGCACATGCTACTGCATGCATAAGGTCTCAGAAACCAAGTGCATTCTTGCAATCCGGCTCAGTGGTGGAAGTCACCTTGTGCGCTAGCCACACTGCAAAACCAACTGCAGCAAAGGTACCGGCGCAGGAAGCAAGGAGCTCTGCCGGAAAGGACAGATGTCAGGCACAGGAGGGAGGACTGAGGGGGAAGCATTCATGCACCTTGTCTGTTGGGAGTCAAGTGAATCTCCAGTAAAACAACCACCCCGTGGCTCTTCCTTGGGGCAGCTTAGCGGGGCGTGTGAGCTCACCCGTTACCTGTGATACCAAGTTTCATGCTGCCATCAGCTTCCACACCCTGTTCATGAGTGAGAGTGCCATCTTGCCACCAATGACTTGCCCACACACCTTTACCTGTTGGAACACTTCCAGAGAAAGGTTTTCTTGTGCCATTGCCCTGCCTCATTCTCAGAATCGTTCAGCAGATCCAAACATCGTTATCTCCCACACCTGACTCTCCCGTGCTTTCCAACCGCTTGGTCCATCTCACTGCAGAAGAACCATGAAGGAGCGAAAGAGGGTTAACAGCCTGATGCTTCCCCATCGGAAGCATCCGACGTACCCCTGGAGTGCAGTCCTGTGTGGATCTACTCATAAGTAAGTCTTGCTGTGCTCCAGGGGACGGACTGACAGGGAAGTGTGCATAAGCTTGTAGCCTAGGAGAAAAGAAAAGAGCGGGTGTTTATTTATTTACTTATTTAAAACGTTAGTATGCTGCCCAATTGTGCAACAGCACCTCTGGGTGGCTCACAACCACAAGATAAAAACACAAGAAACCATAACACATTAAAAACAACAGTAAAATACAGCAAAAAATACAAAACAAAGGTCATATGGCAATTAGTTATTAATTTTTTTTAAAGGAAGGTCTTTGCCTGGTGCTGAAAAGAAAGTAAGGAAGGTGCCAGGCGAATCTCTGTGGGGAGAGTATTATAAATATGGGGAGCAGCTGCAGAGAAGGCCCTCCTCCTAGCGGCCGTCCCTCTCTCCTCCCTAAGGGATGGATCACACATTTATCAGCTGCAAATATCTCTTTATTTGTAAATATTGAAATTATACAAATATATTTTTAAATACAGAGAAACCCATATATATTTGCAAATATCTCTTGAAAGCCAGTGCGGTGTGGTGGTGGGAGTGTTAAACTGGGGACTGGGGAAGTTCAAATTGCAGTGGCCACCTACCCATGAAGCTCACCAGGTGACTTTGGGCCAGTCACTCAATCTCAGCCTGATCTACCTCACGAGGGCGGCGTTGTGAGGATAAAATGGAGTGGAAGAAGATTACATAAGCTGCCTGGGTTCCACACAAGAGGAAAAAAGGCCGAATATACAAGCAGTGTAATGGTGGTGGTAGTAATAATATCCTTTGATCATTTTAGGCTTGAGTCTCCAGCTATGGCAAGACTATGCTTGGTGTTTCTCCTCCTCCTGAACATCTCAGTCAAGACAAGCCACGGATGCCTCTGTGACCGCTACCCGTGGAGCTCTTGGTCCAGCTGCTCAAAGACTTGCAACCATGGAACGCAAAGCAGATCACGGTTGGTATAAGCAATTGCGATATATATCTTTTCTGGGTACTTCCAGAATGACAGAAATTTCACCACAGATAAAGAAAAAACACTTTAAGCTGAAATGGCAGACAGCCTGTGACATAAAAATATATAACTGTCCTTGTATTTTCTTGACAAGCAGAAAGGGGACGAGAAAGATATGGAAGAAACAGAAACCTTCCTCCATCAGCTGCTACAGTTAATAATCAACACTGGAGCCAGTGCCAGGTTCGATAGGGCACTGGGTAAGGGGCCCTCTGGGCCCCCAAGCTCCATACTGGTGCCCCCTCTTTTGAATTTACCAGAGGACAGGGAAGTGGGCAGATTTGGGCTCAGGTACTGACTTATCTTCATACAGCTCTTCTGTACAAGAGGGATCTGGATTTGCTGGGATGCCCCGCACATTCTCTGTGCACAAATGTTGCTTTATTGTGCCAGCGAGCTTTGAGACCGCAGTGCCCGTTGGCAGCAGGGCAAGCAGCTGGCCCCCACGTCCCCCCTCGCCCTTTGGATGAATGCGCAATGTGGGTCATGCGTATCCTCCCCTGTGTCTCTGGAATAAATGCAGTGGTGAGCTGGATGTGGCCAGTGAACTGAAGCTGAGTCCCCATAAGACGGAGGCACTATGGGTGAGCTCCAGGAATTATTATTGTTATTTTTGTTATCATTATTATTACATTGGATTTATATGCCTCTTTTCCTCTTGCGAGGAACCCAAGTGGCTTGCATAGCTCCATTTTACCCTCACAACAACATCCCTGTGAGGTAAGTTGGGCCAAGAGTCTGTGACTGTCCCAAAGTCGTCTAATGAGCTTCATGGCTGAGTGGAGACTAGAACATGGATCTCCCAGGTCAGTGGGGTTGGATTAGAGACCTAAAGGAACAAGATCACAGTTTTGGGGTACACCTGAGTCCATTGCTGTTACAGGGGCCTTCTGTGGTCAGTGGTACTTACTACAAGCTTACAATAGGTAATTAATGAATTGCACCTTTTCCTGGACCACAGTGGCCTGACCACTGTGATCAACATGCTGGAATTCAGGACAACTACCTCAGTAGAATTCAGGACAACTACCTCAAGGAGCATCTCCCCCTGTACCAACTTTTCAGGCTGCTGTGATCTTCAGAAGAGGTCCTGTTGTCCATGTTTCCATTTGATGGGGGTACAAGATGAGCCTTCTTTGTGACTGTGCCCACCCATGCAATTATTGCCCCTCTGAGATGCCCCAGGCCTCCATGCTGGTGTGTTTTGGGCATGTATTGAGAACTAATCTGTTTTTGTTGACTTTTTCCCAGCCATGAACTATTTTTCAGTCAACCTCACGATATTATTGAGGGTGTGCATGAGGTTTTATTTGTTGGCTTTGGCTTTTCTTAATTCTTCCACAAACCATTTTGAGATTTGTTTCGCTGAGAAGCAGGGTATCAATATTGCTAATAAGCCATTAAAATAGCACTAAATGAAAATATCTTCATTTTGCAGGGCAAGATACCAGGATGAGTATTATGTTAAAAATTCTTGTGAGACATTTTGCTCATGGAGAGAATCTCGGGCATGTAACCAGCACATCTGCCCTACCAATTGCCAGCTCAGTGACTGGGGCAACTGGTCAGAATGTTCTCCGTGTGTTAAAAAGCAAGTAAGTTCATCACAGGGTGCACCAGCAAAGAGGAAACATGCAGGTTGCCTTTGTGTTTGGAGTCTGCATGTACAATTCAGAAAATAGAACAAGATGAACTGGAAGTATTCCAAGAAATTTCCCGTGTGGTTCTTGAACTGTTTGCTACTAAAAGCTTATAATAACAGGCAATTCAATGATTTATCTTCTGCTGCAGGCAGATACCACCCAAGGCATTTATCGTGGGCTTGTGATTCCATACTCATGGTTGTTTACGGGTTCTTTGCACAATGCTACGATGCTCCAGTTTGCTTCTGTTTTTAAAGAGCACTTTCCCAGGTTTTTTCAGGGTGGGGAAATCTAGTATTATTTCTGGAAGCTAAAGAAAAGGCATGTTCCTATTTGTATAACTGTGGCATTCTACCATAGCACAGCGCTACCTAGGGGTTATATAGCAGAAAGCAGGAAAGGAAATGCTCTTTCTCCAGTGCTCCAATAGGATGAAACTGCAGGTTGGTACATGGGGTGGCAACCTCATACAGAAAAGCCCACTGTCACATCCAAGGAGGTGGTTTTTTGCCCAGTTCTCTGTGCAAATGGTGCACATGTAGTCAGGCATTCTGGAAGAAGTTACTACAACGCAGAGCTGAAGTCACCCTAAGCAGCATTTGGCCACTTAAATGTAGTTGATTCTGGCGCTCAGAGGATTGGTGGCACTTCGAAATCTCTCTGCAGTCCTTCTCTTCCTCTTCCTCTTTCTCTTCCTGCCCTGTCTTGGAAACCTTCATGCCACAGATATTGGAAAGCATATTCATCTCCAGATTTTAGAAAAGACAATCCTTTCAAGTCTAAGCAGTGTGCTATATGATCCAACTGTTCATTCTTGCAGTTAGAATTTGCAAGCATTCTTTATAAACATCTGCATGTTTTTGGTCTGAATATGTTTAAATGGCCAGAATTAAAATTTGTCCTAGCTTTCTTTCCAGTTATGGTGTAGTGTTGTGGCTAAGATGGGAGCTCTAAGCCAAGACCTTCACCCAGTTCAAACCTTGGCCCAGCCATGCATTCTTGTCCTGCCTTACATGCCAGTGAGCCTCAGGAGTAGCCCAGTCCCAGACTAACCTGCTGAAGATCACAAGGAAAGGCCTTTCTCCATATCCCACTAGGACTAGAGGTAACAAGAGGTACACGGCCTTCTCAGTGGTTGAACCAACACTGTGAGACACTTTGCCCATGGCATTCAGTTTATCAGATAGCCTCTTCCCAGAATAACTTTTGCTGGCTAGGAAAGTGACTTCTGTTTATGAATGGTGTGATGTTAATTAGTTAGTGATTTTCCCCCCTATAGAACATATTTATGTTTTTATATCTATTATCTACCTATCTATCCAGTGTATTTTTGTTGCATGACTCATTCTGCATGCTATAGCAATTCTGCCTGTTGTAAGCATTCCTGAGTAGAGCACAGTCTAATGGCAGTCTTACAGCAGAGTAGAAAATTCACTATAAACAAATGAACTATCCATCTAAATATGGGATAATATTGCAGGTTTACTTCAAAAGGTGGTGACAAAGGCAGTGACAGAGACCACCTGCACCAGAGTGGACAACTTCAGGGAGCCCAGGAGCCAAATTTCACCCCACAAGCCAGATGCCCACTGCCCGACCACCCCATCTCAGCAGCATGGAGGTGGGGCCATACTAGAGGATGGGGCTGCATTCAGTCCAGGGTCATGTACTGCCTATACCTGATTAGTCCAAAATACTTTCAATATGAAGCACACATGTTCTGATAACTATTGGAAGGGATACCACCCAAAATCCTATGAAGGTTTTTGTGACTTGCGACATTTTATCAGGCCACCTGCAGCCCTTTCTAAGTTTAATCTTCTCACTTGCTTGGGCTTATTGGTGTGTTGCCATTGTTGTTTTTTAAGGGAAGTGATCTGAGGTCCAAATTTTACATTTTTACGAATTAGTTGCAGATTCATGAACCTTGCAGAACTGAGTTTCTGGGAACAGCATGGAAGTGAGGAGACCTACAATGAGAAAAATACTCCACACCCTTCTCGTCTTCACACCAATTTTCCTCTTTCAGTTCCGAGTCAGAACCCTACTGCAGCCATCTCAGTTTGGAGGTCAAGCCTGTACAGAGCGCTTGGTAGATTTCCGACAATGCTTTCCAAGAAAACAGTGCAACATAGAGGAAGTCAACTGTCGGAATAAGTTCCATTGTGAGAATGGTAATTTTTGTTTTCTAATCTCATGAACCACAATTGATATGCACATATAAAAAATAGGCTGTTTTTTAAACCATACACAAGCCTTGTTCTGCTATGTTTCCAAAACATGTTAACCACTCTACATTTAGAGAGTTTCTCCACTGGTGAACAATAAAAACAGGAATAGACATTGAAAATAAAAATATTTAAAATCAAGTTATTACCCCTTCCCCAAAATTCAAGAAATAGGATGAAATAATTAATTTTATTGTTGAAAGAAAAATGACAGGAATTGGAAACAAAACGACATCCGTGCATGTCTGACGTCAGCTGGCAAGGAGTTCCACAAGAGGAAACCACACCCTTAAAAGCTCAGCTCTGAATGGACTCTAAATGGACCTCAGGTCCAAGAGAAGCCACTATGTTGGGGCCATTGCTTTGCATGCAGAAGGTCCCAGATTCTGTCCATGATGTCTCTGCATCAGGCTGGGAAAAATACCTGCCTGAAACCCTGGAGAGCCACAGTCAGTTCCTGCAGACCAGCCACCCAAACCGGCAACCTTCCCACAGCTCCCACTATTCCCATGGCAGGAAGCTCAAAATGGTACGATCCCAACTGGAGAACAGACACAGTTGTAGCGCAAACAAAGCAGGACATGAGGTCAACCATACGGAGCTAGAGGAACCACTGGTATAGGGAAGGCATATTGCCAAATTTGTCTGTCTGAATGTGCACCTCCGGAGATGCAACCTTCACGCAATAGCCTTGGGCATGAAACATTTCCAAAAATTGGCACTCTGGGGGCTGAAGGGTTAGGATTCAAGGACACTGTTGTTTATCAGATAATTGATTCTTTAAGGGTGCCAGCCTAAGATCTCCTGACATTTTCTGTTGGAGCAAAGGATAGGTCGGTGTCCCAGCTGTGACCTCCAAAAAGCACTCTGAGGGTGAACAAGGGATTTTGGCCTCTGAGAGCTGTCCTGCCTTCACAGCCAGCATGACAATTCCCATGCCAGCAGGGCTCCAAAGACAGAAGACCATCTTTGAAGCTGGCATGGAGTTGAGGAAGGGGGCAGGGAGAAGCAAGACATCACCACCTGCTGAGGAACCCTGGTGCCTCTGCCTCTCCTCCCTGCAAGGAGAAACATCCCGATGGCTGAAATTGGTTGTCTAGATATTTGAGTGGCAAGGGACACAGTCCTAGTCTCCATGCTCATCTCAGCTGGATTCCTGGAATCCTCTAAGTTCTAAGGGTTACAGACAGCTACATTGGATGGCAACCCAAGAAGAAGGAAATAGCACCAGGGCTGTGAGGCAGAGAGAAGCTGGGAACAAAGCTGCACATGAGAGAGGGGTTTTGAAGTTGCCCATCCAGAGCACACCGTCCAGGCACGGAACACCCCTAGTGACTCCCTTACCCCATCATGCTGAGATATATTCTGTTTCTAATTAAAGTATAATAAGGGGGGTTTGCACCTATGCATTTATGATTGCAACTCTGCAGTTATAGTTGCACAGGTGGTCTGCGGTCCACTTTTGCTTGCTTTTGATGGTGCTGAACTGGCCGACCCAATGGAAATTTTGTATCAGAAACTAATTGGGCTACTGATGTCCCCACCACAGGGCGCTGCGTGGACAGAAAACTAAAATGTAATGGAGAAAATGACTGTGGAGACAATTCGGATGAAAGGAATTGCCTGAGCATAAAAAACGTGTGCAACAAACGAGCCAAGAGCCTACCCAGTGTGCAACTCATGGGCCTCGGGTATGTTGTCCGTACTGGGCCCCTGTGGGTTGCTTAGACCAGGTGGACAGAAGGTCAGTTGGGAGCTCCTGGTAGGTCCTTCACACCCAGCAAGAATTCCTGACTCCATCCTTTAACAGCAACAACAAAATTTATTTTTCCCCACCTAAATTAGGCTGCTGAAATGAGTGACCTGAGAGTAACCAGGGGAGGGCTTTTGTGTGAAAGGGTTGTGGCTGACACACTTGGGCATCTGTTGAGAGTCTGCAGCCCAGCAGGAACCACAGACAAGATCCTTTGGAGATGGTCCTCCTCTTCATGCTCGCATCCTGCTTTTTCGTTTACCTTTTGCTCCCGCCCAGAGGATGGGACTGGTGAGGAGGAGGAGCAACAGAGGACACTGTGCACTTGCCCCACTAGGCCTGCCTTTGATGCCAGATCTGCATGTATTGTCAGAAAATCTAAGTGTTGCACACAGTATCAGCTGTGGCTGAGCAGGCTAAATACCCCTCCCTCAGCACCGGAAAAGTAGCTTGCCCAGGAACCTCACTACATGGATGTGGTAAGGTGCAACTTCCAAAAAACAAAAATGTCCTTTTGAGCACAAGGAAAGGCAGTGCTAGAGGACAACACTTGGTTTTGCAGCAGGACAGACTCCTGGCTAATTTTATTGGCCAGTTCCTGCAGGGCTAGGGGCCCCTAACGAGTGGCCAACTATGCCTACCTTGATTAATTTTTAAAATCTTAAGAAATAAAGTAAAAAACCAGGAGGAGAGGGTATTCTTCGTGTGTGCTTAATAATTCTTGATTTAATTACTCCTTTTTTTCTAGATACCATATTATGGAAGGAGAAAGCCGTGGAGAAGTCCTTGATAATTCTTTCAATGGAGGGAATTGTGTGCTGATTAAGAGCGAAGACAGAAGGAGTACATTTCGTGTGCCTGCAAATCTTGAGTCCGTCGCATTTCAGGTGATTGACAAGGCCTTCTGCGGGATTGGCAAGTCCATTGGCCAGCGAGCCAATTCAAGTTCTTTCCTTACGTTCTTTAACTAGGAACGCTCTGAGGAAGAGGAACTGGGGTGAGGCATGCAATACTTTTCTGAGAGAAGGACCTCAGCGCCTTTGATATGACTTATTGGCATAAGTCATGTGCCGCCACTCTAGGTAGCGAACCTTAATATTTGCACAGTACTTTTGAGCACTGAAAGTAACAAATGTATAAGCCTGGAGTGGGCAACATGAACCCTCGTGGCCACCTGTGTGGTCTCATTGCCTCATGCCTCCTGTATTTGGGGATAACAAAAAATAGTTGTGCTTTTTAAAAACTAGCAGACAAAAAGCAATCAGAAAAGTTACACAGTGTCAAAATGGTCAGAACCAGAGCCTTTGAGGCTCATTTTGACTCTTGGGGCTCCCAGTGGCATTTCCAGGTGCCATTTTGTTTTTAATTTTCCCCCTTCTGCTTTTGGCACCCCTATGTGCTTGAGGTGTGCGTGTTATGGGTTCTGGGCCTTATGAAGTGGCCTTCTCCTGCCGTAAGGGCTGGTTCTGAAGGAGACAGTGTTGTCCAGGGCCACTTGCTGAATTCATGGCACAGGCAAGTGGAATTCAGTCTAGAGGCTTGCAGATTCCTGGCTCAGTCTCCGATGCACAGCAGTACACCAACCTTTCTGTACGAGAGGGATGGGCAACCTTTTTGTGACAGTGGCTACTTTCCCTCACGGGTAGCCCATGGGGCACAGATCTTAGCACTATGTTGACCCTAGCGGTGGGTGGACAGGGCCTATGACACAGGTAGATTATACCAGTAAGGTGAACAATAACTGCCTTTATTTCTTGGTCTCCCTTCATACAGTTCTCAGGCTGGCAAACGGCTTGGAACCACTCCCAAAAGCACAGAGCTGAGACATGTTCTGTTCCAACTTTTCCCAAGAAACACAGTTGCCTTTTGACAACTAGGTGGCAACAGCATAACCATCTCTTACAGAACCACAGCCAGAGGAGGATGAATCAGCCCCTCTCGTTTTCTCCTTCTGATGCCTCCTTTCTCTCTCTCTCCCTCTTCCTTCCCTCCTAGCAGGCTGCCAAAGAAAGAAGCGGGTGCCCTTGGCAGAGAGCTGGACCAATGGCACCCTGAGAGCTGTTGAGATTAGGCTGAGGGCGACAGGATGCAATCTCCTAATATATGAAGCCACACGAAGGCACAATCCTATACATATTTAGACTAGGGTTGTGATGATCCCATGCCTTCTCCTGTTCATTGGGCCTCTTGGCTGGGCACCAGGAAGTCCAGGGAGCTGAGCTGAGGGAATCTGATGAATTCCCTTCCCCAAAGAGGACTCTTCATACATCCCTAATTTAGGCACTTTTAGTAGGCCTTCAGCCCCGGTATGCCCTTGCCAGCTGGGCTACGTAGAAAATGCTGGGAGTTGTGGAATTCTTTCTGTTTAAATATATGCAAGATTGTGGGTTAAAGTACAGTCTTTTACAATATATAAACTTTTTGAGTAGCAATGATTCGTATGTATTCCCCTTTGAAGGCCATTTTGATTTTCCTTCCTTTGGTAAATTGAAGGCCCTTTAAAAAATAGGACTTTTTCACAATGCGTGCTGTATATTTAAAGTGATTTGGCAAAAGGTGTTTGATCCCATTGACTTTTAATTGGACAGTTCCCTCTATCCTAAACATATTTATTTGGTTCTATGGGGACAGGTGAAAAACCAAGAAGACGATGTGAAAACACAGTTCTACACGGACTTAACATCCATGATACGTTCTCATAGAAAAGCAACATCTTCTGAAGGAACCAGGAGATATTCCTCAGGAATACCGTATTTTTGGGGCTCCATAAAAAATACAGTTTCTACATCATCTTCTGCCTTCCAGGAAGTCATTAAATCATCTCATGAAATGGTAAGAATTTGTTGGCTGCCTTCACACTAGAGTTCTGTGGTATCTCCAAGGTCTTACTTTTCTACAATAAGCAAGAATCAGAATTAAAATGGTCCACAAGCCCTATATCAGCAGAGTTCATCTCAACAATCAGGATCCTTTCCACATGTCTACTCATGAGTACATTGCATTCGGCAAATTTCCTTTTCTAATACTGAAGCTTACTGTATCGCATTCACCCTGTTTTATTGCTTTCTGGCTCAACGTAACTGGGAATAATGCTGATTTGCCACTGATTCAGGGCCAAACTAGATATGACGTATTGCAGGCCTTGCCTGGCTACTTTGTCACTTCATTTTTTAAGAAAATAAATATCAGGCACCAATTTTGAGTTTTCCTCCCATTGCAGTTAGGAAGTGTGGATTGTCTTGAGTTTGGGCTACAGGGTGGTACAAAAATGAAACAAACAAACAAACTCTTTGTTGAGGCCAAGGGTAGATTTCTATCACAGCCTTGATTCCTTCACACTTCAAGACCCCTTCATTCTCTCTCTCGTTTGGGTTGGCTCAACTCGCCTTTTCTTTCCACCTGACTTACATGGAGTTATCACTTAGGCCTGAATTCCCCACTTCCCACTTTTAAGCAAAAATTGGAGCATATCCTATGACAGCTGAGCCATTGCAGCATACCTGCCTTTTCTCCTAAATCTTCCTCCCCTCTCTGCAGTTCCAGCACCAATAAAGTAGCTGGCGGACAAGTCCATAAACATGTTTCTCTTCAGAGCCTTGTACCTTAAACACCGTGCTTCCATTATGGGGGGAAAGTGGCAGACTTAACAAAATCTAGGGTGACCAGGTGGCCCTTTTTATAGAGGACCGTCCTCTATAGGAAGGCAGTCTCTGTTGGAAGGGCTGTCCTGCCCAAGTCCAACTTAAAAAGCACAAGCCATAAAAACTGTTGCCCACCAGCAGTTAGGATCTGGACAACAGGCTGAAGAGGCCTCCTGGTCACAGTCTTCCGCAGCATGATGAGAAAACCTGTATTTCCATTTAAATGATTGCTATTGGTTATAAGTTTGTACCTATATATAAAAACTAGCATATAGAAATGTTATGCCAATCAGTGTCACTTTTTTCTGGTGATGCCTTATCTATTTTGGGGGCTCCTTGCCCATCCCAGCAATTTTAGCTACATGATGGACTGCCACATGTTCTCAAAACAGTACGAAAAAGGAAATCAGAAGAGGTAGGAGCCAGTTCCTGCTCTCTGGCTGGGCCCACCTCCTCACCAATGTCACCAGGGCACACTGGCCTAGCACAGTGCTTAGTCTGCACCTCAACCCAGAAAGGCAGGGCAACGGGAGGCTATTTCTGCAGCTTCTCCTTGTGCGCGTGCTTGGAGAGGTTGGGTGAAGGGCAGGGCTGTGGGATTTGAGAGATTTGCAGTGGGGTGCCTGCTGGGGAGTGACCTCAACAGCTGTCCAGTGAGGGGGACATCTGGGGCAGGCTCTTCCAGGTGCTTCACTGATCCAAGCACTCCTTGGATGGTTGAGTGGATGAGACAGGACTGTCTGCTGTGGCTCTTAGAAGAGACTGCTTGGGGAAAAGAGAGGGCAAATGCAATAATAATGACTTATTTTTCTCATTTTGTTTGCAAGAATTCCAACTTTATTAGGGTCCACAAGGTGATTTCAGTTTCAAACTTCACAATAAAACCGTCGGGTTTGCAGCTTTCTGGAGTGTTCTCACAGGCGCTCAACAGCCTGCCTCTGGAGTACAACTATCCTCTCTACAGCCAGATCTTTGATGACTTTGGGACTCATTATTACACTTCCGGTTCTTTGGGAGGCAAATATGACCTTCTTTACCAGTATAATGAACAGCAGACCAAAAACTCAGGTGTGTCTGTCTAAATCTTAAGATGAAAATGGGTGACGTTTAGTAAACAGAAAGATCCTCTATTCTATTTCTGTATCCAGGGATTATGAGACCTGCTTAGAAATTAAGATATTAAAGAATTAGATAATTTCTGGAAAGTACACCTCTCATTTGTTAGTAGCCATAATATCAAGGGGGAGGAGAGGGAACATCCATGCTTAGACACAATTTAGCCTTCATTATGAAATGCTTGAAATAAGCAACAGCAAAGTACTTGGTCTATCGTGTCTCTCATGCAGGTAATCCCAGGGCCATTCTTGTCAGATATAGGGTGCTGAGGTAAGTTGTCTGACAATATCACAGCTGTGACCCAGAAAACAAAGCCATGTATATGTCCTTATTTGAAAATGTAAAGGGCTGGAACTAATCTTTGTATTCCATGGATATATGAGCAACTTCCATCCACTGGCGGCTTTTGATTCAGTGCACGTGGAATGGGACCATTATTCCTATAGTAAAAGATTTCAAGGCTCGTGGAAACAAACCCTGAATCAGAGGAGGAGGAGGGGTTAGAATCCCCAGCTGAAATGCCAAGGCCCGGGACCCAGAGAAAAACCAGGAAGTTGCTGAGAATTACATAGTTGGGACAATGGGGAAAGTCTGGTGAGCAAGGCGATGTGGAGGCAAAGAGGCAGCCCAGCTGATGCTCCAAATGATTAGCCCTTAAGTAGGAGGATCCACCTTTAAGGTATGATTTGGCCATTTCTGTTTGGAAGGGCACAGAAGTATTTAGTTCAGAATTAGCTTCTTAGCATTAAGTTGCATTTGTCTTATCAATAATATAACTTCCTTGTTCATTTTGTTATTGACTTCCAAGCTTGGATCGGGGAATTCCAACTATCCAGTGGCCCCTCAGATGCTGTCTAGGGGCCAAAGAATTGCTCCTAACTTTCTGATGCTACAATGATTGACGTCTAGGATGATCAAACCTTGACACTTCATTTGCTATTTTTACTCTTCACTGGCATCTAGGTTTAACAAAAGATCAAATGGAGCACTGTGTGCTAACAGAAACAAGGTCATACGTGTTCTTCTTTGAGTCAGTGGACTATCATGAGACATGTTCCAGGAACAAAATGACGGAGCACTATGAAGGTAGCACCCCTGTTCCCACACCCTCCCCCGCCCCAGTGCTTTGCCTTCCAGATTCCTAAATTTTGATTCCTTGCACATCCCTAACTTGACATCGCTCAGGCCAGTACTGAAGCCTAGAAAGCAGCCTTGCCCAAAGAAGGTCCAGCACATCGACAGCATGAGAAGCAAGGCACAAAAAGCTTTCTGCTAGAATTCAAGACCACATCACTTCACCACCTTGCACAGTGTATGTTGATGTATTTGCTTTTACAGCTCTGACCTGTAACTCTGCCTTAGGTTCTATGCTGAAGTCATCTGAGCGGTCTATTTCCCTGGTGAAAGGTGGACGGGCAGAGCATGCTGCAGCCCTCGCTTGGGAGAAAAAAGGCTCTTTCCCAGGACAAATGGTCTTTAACAACTGGCTGGAATCGACCAAAGAAAACCCAGTGGTGGTTGAGTTTGAGGTAAGAGGCAGAGAGTGAAATAGGAATAGAAATGAGAGAAATGGAGCTTATTGCCTCTCCCAAATGGGAAGAAATGAGGCCATCAAGCATTAGTATATATGCTAATTTATTTACACTTATTAGCAGTTGTAGAAATGCTTATTCCTCCTATTTGCAAAGTTGCTGGTTAGTAGTTCTGTATTTGGGCAGGTGGAACCCTTCTCCCAATATCAGAATTGTATAATTGTCCTGCTCGTTAGGGATCTGTGAGGAATAGAAACATAGAGCGAGTCAGAAGGGGTCTCCCGGGCCATCTAGTCTAACCCCCGGCTCTAGACGGCTCCGCTCAAGACATGCCCACCATGTGGACGTCCAGCCTATCCTTGAACACCCTCACTGATGGGGCCTCAACGACCTCTCGTGGAAGCCCATTCCACACCCTCGGGGTCCTAACTGTCAGGAAGTGCTTCCCAGCATCCAAATGGAACCTTGGCTCCCTGAGCTTTGCTCTGTGGGAGCACATCCTGCCTTCCTCTGCAGGGGAGAACAGGTCTCTACCCACCTCTGTGTGACACCCCCTCACGTACCTGTATGTCCCCAACAGATCCCCTCAGAATTTCCTCTTCTTCAGGCTGAAAAGACCCAGTTCCCTCAGTCTTGCCTCACACAGCTTTCCCTGCAATCTGGCCACCATCCTTGTGGCCCCGTTGGGATCTGTTAGAAGTGGGAATCCACTGGATTCCCTGGCTTTGGCTCCCCAGATGCTAGTCTGCTTCACTGCAGCCCAGACTCTGAGTTCCTGACAAGCACACCCAGCATTTGCAGGGAGTCCTGTGCACTGTGCAAGCTCTTTTCCAGGGCTAAGTACAGCTACCTTTGGGACTGCTGCAGCTGCAGCTGAAGCTGAAGAAGGTTGCTGGCTGTGCATGGACTTCATGGACTTCCTCTCAGCTCAGCTCACTTTGGAAGCCTGGACCAAACACAAGAGGAAGCTTGCAAATGCTTGGAAGGATGGGTTCCAAAAGGCTTTGCCCCGTCCCTTGAAAACAGCATTGGCCTCCTTTTGTCCTGCTTGCTTATGGAAAGTCTAAATAGACATTTTCTTGACTCAGGGAGGCTGAGCATGTGAAACTGATGCAATCCATTTTTAGGTGGCCCCCATTTTGGATCTGGTGAAGAACTTCCCTTGTGCTGTGACAAAGCGCATTAATCTCAAGAAAGCTTTTCAAGAATATATGAGCCGATACGACCCCTGTCATTGTGCCCCATGTCCCAACAACGGCCGGCCTGTGCTATCCGGAACGGAGTGCCTCTGCGTGTGCCAGGCCGGCACTTATGGCGATAACTGTGAGAGACGAGCACCAGACCACACCTCAGGTATGCATGCTCACAGTCTAGGTATGTCCCCTTGGATCTCACTGCACCGTTCTATGCGATGGTCCAAAGTTTGTACACCTCTGTCACTCTTGTGCTATAATCCAGCCTTTAAGTGCTATAGAAATACGTTTGCTGGGAAATCCAGAATCCAAATTGCATCTTGGCCACAAACTGGGATAGCCACAAGAGCCCTTCACTCAACCTCCTCACTCAGTCCAACCATCAACAATATTGGTAAAACACACTGCAGATCCACTAGAAGAGCTGTAGAGATTTATGTGATAATGTACGTGGACTGAGTGCTCAGAAAGAACAACATAAATGCTGGGTTGGACCCAAATTTAATCATGTTTTGAGTCCTCCACTGAAATCAAGAGTTGGTTAACAGTTGTATGCCTCTCTCTCTCTCTCTCTCTCACACACACACACACAAACACTGGGGAAAAAGAAGAATTTCTGGCCGGGGTGGCGGGGGGTGGGGGAACTTAGAAAAGTTATTTACATTTTGTTAGATTTCTCTCTGCATATGCAGTCAATGTAAAATCACAATATTCAAAGAACCAAACCAAAAGCAAATAAATCAATAGCAGAATCATTCAGGACTTCTCTACATGAGACACTCATGATCTCTCACTCACTGAAGCTTGTGGGGCTTTTACAAAACATTGCCATCCTTCCAAGGCCTCTCCTGACTTTTCCAGCCATTTTCCTGAATGCCACCATGATTTGCTACAGACACCTGGGGTATTTTCACAATCCTATTCCACATCACAGCACTACCTTGTGTTGTGTAGTAGAACATAGAGAAAGGCAGAATGGAACACTTTTTTTGTTTAGTCGCAAAGTTGTGCCCGACCCATCATGACCCCATGGACAACATTCCTCTAGCCTCTCCTGTCGTCCACCATCCTTTGGAACTGTCCATGGGGTTTTCACAGCAAGGATACTGGAGTGGGTTGCCATTTCCTTCTCCAGTGGATCAGCTTTTGTCAGAGCTCTCTGCTATGACCTGTCTGTCTTGGGTGCCCCTGCACGGCATGGCTCATAGCTTCATTGTACTACGCAAATCCATTCGCCATGGCAAGAAAGTGATCCTTGTCATGGTGCCTGCCCCTCTTAAGAGGTACCTGCCCCTCTTAAGGAGGTGGTAGTCAGGCTGGTCCTAAAGAAGGCATCCCTGGATCCAGAGATGGCCACCGATTATAGACTGGTGGCCAACATCCCATTTCTGGGCCAGGTGTTGGAATAGGTGGTGGCGGGACAACTCCAAGCACTCTTGGATGAGACGGATTATCTGGACCCATTTCAGTCCGGCTTCAGACCCTAGAATGGTACTGAATCTGCCTTGTTCACCCTTTTGATGACCTGTGCAGGGAGAGAGACAGGGGGAGTGCGTCCCTGTTGGTTCTCCTGGACCACTCAGCAGCTTTCGATACCATTGACCATGGTATCCTTCTGGATAGGCTAGCAGGACTGGGAGTAGGAGGCACTGCTTTGCAGTGGTTCCGCTCCTACCTCCACGGCCAATTTCAGAAGGTGGTGCTGGGGGACTGTGGCTCTGCGCCATGGCAGTTATGCCATGGAGTTCCGCCGGGGTCCATTTTGTCCCCCTTGTTATTCAACACCTACATGAAACCACTGGGAGAGGTCATCAGGAGGTGTGGGCTACAGAATCATCAGTATGCTGATGATACCCAACTCTACCTCCCTTTTTCAACCAATCAAGGTGAGGTAGTGGCTGTACTGAACCAGTGCCTGGCTGAGGTAATGGGCTGGATGAGAGCCAATAAACTGAAGCTCAATCCAGACAAGACGGAGGTCCTGTGGGTGGGTGGTTCGGACTCCTGGGTAGGTGACTTGGACCTTGTCCTGAATGGGGTTGCTCTCCCTCTAAAAGACAGGGTCCACAGCTTGGGAGTGCTCCTCAACCCAGAACTGTCTTTGGAAGCTCAAGTGACTGCGGTGGTGAGAAGCGCTTTCCTTCAGCTTCGGCTAATCCATCAGCTGCGTCCCCACCTGGAGGACGATTGCCTAGCGACAGTGACACATGCATTGGTTACTTCCCGATTGGACTTCTATAATGCACTCTACATGGGGCTGCCCTTGAAGACAGTCCAGATACCTCAGATGGTGCAAAATAGAGCAGCCAGGTTGCTGACGAGGACTGGGCATTACTCTCACATAACTCCAGTCCTCTACCAGCTTCACTGGCTCCCCATTGAAGTTCAGGCTCAATTCAAGCTGCTGGTCATCACCTACAAAGCTCTTAACGGCTTGGGACCTGGATACCTAAAGGAACGCCTGCTTCCATATTTGCCCTCCTGCCCCCTGAGATCGGCGGCAGAGGGCCTCCTCTGGGAACCCTCTGTGAAACACATTAGGAGACTAAGTACCTGGAGGAGGGCTTTCTCTGCAGTGGCGCCCCACCTTTGGAATGCGCTCCCCAGAGAGGTCCGCCTGGCACCATCATTATTTGTTTTTCGGCACCAGGCCAGGACCTTTTTATTTAAACAATATTTTAACAACTGTTAATATTATTTATTGGTTTTCATTTTACAGCCAGGGTGAATCCGGATTTTAAGTACTATTATGTACTATTTATATGATTTGTTTATTTATTGTATGGAAGCCATCCCGAGGCTCATGCAAATGGGATGGCATACAAAAACTCCAAATAAATAAATAAATAAATCCATGAAGGAGAAAAAGGAACCCTGCTGGGCGTGAAAAAACTTGTGCAAAAAGTTTTATTCCCTCCAGCAAAGAAATCAGAAGCAGCTTCAGGAACACTCCAGATTAAGTGTACAGATGTCCTTAGTACAGAGGGGAAAGGAAAACCCCCAGGAAAAAACCGAATGTGAAGGGATGCTCTAATCCTCTGCATAGAAAAAGAAGCCTCACTGAGGCACCTGGCTCTATTCCTCAGGCAGAGAAGCCGTAAAAGTCCTGCAAAAATGCAAGCACATTTGCAACATTTTAATGGTATGCATCACATATACCGGTGGTTTCATTATCATTTGCATGAGCATTAGCAGAACGAGGCTGCCTCTTGTGCTTTTACAGCCAGCTTTGCATTGGGTGAAATCCCTTTTTATTTTCTTAGTCCTTTTAAAATCCAACAGAAAAAAGGCCTACAACTCCTGGTATGCCCCACCCAGTTACCTGTAAGCCGTTTGCTTCTGTTTAAACAAGCACAGAACTGTGCCCTTGGACTTTAAAAATCTAATATTTGCACCATGTTGTGGTTTTCATGTGGTTGCCCTTGCTCTGTGGAATCCATCCTTTTGGGAGAAATATTTGATTCTTGCTGTGAAGTTTTTCTTTCGATCTCTGCTTGGGAATGGTTTGTTCTTGCAGCTGTTTTATTGATTTTTCTATTGGCAGTACTCTGCTTTTTTGCAGTCAGTCCTTTCCAGGTCTGCTCAGATGTAAGCCCCACTGAGTTCAGTGGGACTTACTTTCAAGTGTATCCTACTTTTTCTGCCTAAACATTCAGAGCACTGCATTCGTCAACCTCAGCAGAATTGGCAATGGGTGAACAATTGAATTAACTGCACAAGATGCTGTGATAACCACCAGCTCCAGTGGTTCTCCAGTGGGGTTAGAGGTCAGGTCTAGATTATTGCAATGACAGTAACAGAAGTGCCACTCCCTGCCCCATCTTTCCAAGGCACCTTCTCCTGCCTGCTGAAGATGCTAAACAGAGGGCCAAGAGGCTCTGCTGAATGGGGTTTCCTGCCCTTCCTGACTGGTGGAACCCCCCAAATCAGGTGGTGAGACCTTGCATGAATGGAACCCTTTTTTCATGGATGGGTCCTTCCTCTTGTGGAAGACAGATTTTGGATCCAACCCTAAGTAGGTTGATGGCATGTGACATCCAAAAGCAGGAGCAACAACCAAAAAGAACGTGAGTGAATGCTTCTAAACATGGTGGATGAGACCCCAAAAACAGCTTGACTTTTTGGGTCCTAGTTGCCGTAGATGGCTACTGGAGTTGCTGGTCTGCGTGGAGCTCATGTGATGCATCATTGAAGAGGCAGAGGAGACGGTTATGTAACAACCCACCACCCATGAATGAAGGCAAGCCTTGTGAAGGCGATGGAGAAGAGGAAGAAAGCTGTGATGTCTCACTGTTTGCAGATAAGTAAGAATGATCTTGCAGGTATAGGGCCACCCATGGAGGTGAAGACCCTGAATTCAAGGTCAAGCTGCACCACAGAGAGAGGGAGCTTCCAGAGGTCTGGGGGCTGCATCCTCCCTCCCTTGGAACCAACTGGGAGCTGCCATGGTGGCAGGAAAGAAGGGGTGCGTCAGGATGAGGCAAGGCATGTTCCCGGGAAGCTCTCCACAAACACAGCAGCCTCTTGCTGCCCAGTGCCCACCCCGAGAGACAGCAGGCACTGCCTGTGACCTCTTGCTGCACCACCACCTGTGATGTTAATTGCTGATACCAAGCAGGGGATGCATGCTGTGGGGTGGGATCTGCACTGGGCGAACATCTTTGCCCCCTTCAAATCCTCCATGTAGACGCAACCTCAACAGTGCTGGTACTAGGAGTCTGGAGGCCTTTAAGGAAGGCATGTCTTGACCTGGAGGATCTAAGCAGGATGATCTCGCTGTGAGTTTTCAGAGGGTAGTAACTTCAAAGGTGGTGATTGTTGGATTTGGAGCACCTCGGGAACCTGACCAGATTCTGCATTATTTCAATGCGCTGGTTCTTTGTAACTATCATTTGTTCATAGTTTTTCCTAATGAGTTCTTAACTAGAAAACAAAACTTGCTTTCCAGGGGGACCCCTTGTGTAAACGATGATGAAGGGGTCAGAGAGGCAGATCTGTATGAACCTGAATCTGAAGACGGATGCTTGGCTCCTATTCCACCGGAAAATGGATTCATCAGGGTGAGGTGTATTTACCAAGATACAAAAAGAATTGAGACAGGAGTCTTGGGCACCCAACATCCATCTGAAGCACCCTTTTGTGCTCTTGGGATTCCTATTTCAAAATAACTTTGCAAGCATGTACAGACTAAATTAATAAGTCTGAACCAGTTAGCTCTGCATCTGCCCCTGAAATGAGTCTTCCTAAGCACAAGGGCCGCAACAGACGATACTCTGAATCTGTGTCTAACTATTGCATCTTTCTTTTTTCATTGTTACTCTAGAGTAGGTGCTAGGCCCTGGATGAGAAGCTGAAAAGCCCTCTCTAGCTACCTCTCCACCCATTTTAGTCTCCCAGTCTAGGTCAAGCCACCTCCACGTACCTTTGAGTAAAAATTATTTTTAAAAAAGACACTGCTGCTAGAAACAGATTGAAGATGATTGCTGTCTTGGCCCCAGGAGAACTTTAGGAATTTGTTCATGGCTCTGAAAGCATAATTCCAATCCACGTTTCTATATCATGTACTCATAGGACTACTTTTTAAAAACAACAGTCCTGTTTGTTATAAATGGGAACAACTATGATTGCCACTGAAAAAACAAATTCAAAATGAAATTAGTAATTCTGCACCATTATGGGCAAGAGGCAGATGTGAATCTCTACATGGTTTCAGACCCTTGCCTTACCTGAACATTTGTTCATATCACCTGCCTTGTGCAGCATCATGAATTTCCTTGTTCAGCCAACTAGAGGTCCCCTGAGGCAGCAGAACTGTAACTGAAGTGCGTCTCTCGGACCAAAATTGCTCTGTAGACAAGAAGCAATGGCAGCTCAAACAGGCCAGAAAAGAAACCATGGTTTGTTGTTGCAGTATAAACTGTGGGCTGTTTGTAGCTAACAAACCATAGTTTGTTAGCACAGCTGGGTTCAGACAGCATGATTAATTCACATTTCAACAATCCACAATTCAGTGACCACCCACATTCAGTGTTTGAGAGTGGGCTCTTGAGATGTTTGAACATAGTTTCCGTGTAGCAGTGGTGACCCCTCGCAACTAAATCCAGCCAGAGCGAAGCTGCCTGCCTGAGTTCCCTGTTGCCAGCCCTCTGCTGTGTGTCTCAGGAAATGACTTGAACTGTGTTTGTCTGTTTCCTTCACACTTTCATGGCTGGAAACCCTTTCAGGCAGAATAATGGCAGAGGTGTGTGTGGATAGCAGGTTGAATAGGAAGAATGAGAGCCAGCTGGCTGGTAGACTAGTGCAGTTGATGCAGGTTGGACTTTTGTTCTCCTGCACATTTCTAGATCTGTTCAAAGTACCTCCAAATTCTTTGACAGCTTGTAGAAGAGGACCCATTCCACACATACACCTTCCTACAAGCATTAATCTATTTAGATGCACAAAAACAGAGGCTGGTTTTAGTCTTGGTCATACTTAGAGTCATCCCATTACAGTAGAAATCAATGTAATGAGTCCCACTGATCCAACAAATTTGCTCATGAAGTATAACTAATGGATCCAGTTGTGGCTTGACTTCATAATGATGCCCTTTCTCCTTCCTAGAAACTGGGGAATTTTTTTAACACAGTCAGTTCTTTATTCTGACCTGCTTAGTTTTCCTGAAGAATCTTGTCCACTGCTCAGACCAATTTTCAAAAGCATCATTCAGTTGATAGGTTTGGATGGCATCTTGACCTCCTGGCATCTTCTGGTCCTGCAATAACAACCAAAATGATTCTCTCTCTCCAAACATGACACCTCTGAGTCACTCAGCCTTAGCTCATGTCGATGAATGTCCCACTTACTGGATTCTTTCAAATCTACTTGCAGAATGAAAAAACATACTATTCTGTTGGAGAAGAAGCTGAAGTCATTTGCCTGAGTAGCTATAATCTTGTAGGATATCCGTTTCTCAGGTGCCTGCCAGACAAAACCTGGATTCAACAGACATTAGAGTGCCAACGTAAGAAGCAGAAGAAATGCTTGGATGTCTAGAAGATGTGTGTGTGGGGGGGGAGTATTTATTATCTGCCATAGCCTTGCCCAACCTGGTGCCTTCTAGATATGCTGATCTACAAAATATACCAATATACATTCAGTGGAGAGAGTAAACAGGCTGTGAACATATGCTGGGTTTTTGCTTTGGTTGGATTGTTTCAGAGAAGACTCATCTTATGGAATGGATTTCATTTTACCACTTCCAACTTCCCCAGCAATTCTGGTTAGAGGAGATGGGTGATGTATTTCAACACATTTGAAGAACATCAGAATGGGAAAGGCTGAACTATGCAAATAAATGGGAAGGGGGTTGGAATTACAAAACATTGGCACTTGACTGTTTACCACTGAATTATTGCCAGATTAACTTCATGTCATGGGTCTTCAGGTGCTTTTTCCAGTCTATTATTAAGCATTTCAGCTTTGAGTTTCCGACTTCCTTCTTTGGGAGGCATAAAGTGGTTACCATGATACAATTACACAGCTGTCCTTCCCTCAAGTGAGGGGAGGTTGTATGTCAGCTCAGCTTTGCTCCTGCTCATCCAACATGGCAGCTTAGAAAAATGTTGGACAACCTGAGTTTGCACATCTCATTTTCAGACTCCCATAATCTCCCCTTTCCATTCTGGTCATTAGCAAGACCAAGTAGTGAGAAGACTGTTTAGGAGATGGTCTTTTCCATACAACTGTCCTGTTTGATAAGTAGCTTCCCCCAAGAGGCTCACCTCATAGCTACATTCTGTTCATTTCCTTAAGATAATCAGTTTTGAAATAAGCAGTTTTTATCTTTAGCACTAAGATCTGCTGTTGGTTTTGTTCTGGTCTTTACTGTGCTGTTGTTTCCATTAGTCTTCAGCTTGTATTTTTATATTGTACAGTATCTGATATTTTTATGCTACCTAGAGAATGTTAGACAATGGACAATCTAAAAATGCAGTACATAAACCTAAATTGATCAATAGATTCTACCTGGTTTTCCCAGATTAATTTTATTTAATATGTTTGCTATTGGTTTTAATCTCTTGTAAACTGCCCAACACCTATGACAATGGGACAGTATATAAAAATCAAATGCCATCCATCCATCAATGGTTTGCATTCAGAAAAGCAAATGTATCTCTCTTCAATTCCAGCATCGTCTTGCTCCAGACCATCTGTCTCCACAGACATTGAGATCTCCCCATTTAAATTGCAGTACAGGATTGGGGAGATCATCCAGCTGAACTGCCCAGAAGGTCATGCTGTTGCCGGCCAAAAGAGCTACACCTGTGGGCACGATCTCTCCTGGGTGCCTCCTATTCTGGGATCACTTACTTGCAAGAAACGTATGTACCTTCAGATGCCAGTTTCTGTTCTCATGGCATTATGTCTGCTGTGCAGTTTCTAGCTATGTTTTTCTTCTGTTTTCTTTCATGCCTTCCCAATGTTCAGAGCTCCATGGTGGGTAAGACACCTTGTTCATCCCAAGGGCTGAGTTCCATTTGGAGATTGGGAAATACATTCTGGTACTGGCAGAAAGGATGGGGCCCAAAACCCAATGACAGCATGTTTGAACATAAAGCTCTCACTGCCAGTAACTGAGCTGTAGGAGAGAGATTTTATCTTTTAGAAGTGGGAAATAGGCAGGAAACCCCCAAAATATTGGTGGTTGGGGGAATGGTATGGGAATTGAAATGGCAGTGTTACGTGGTGGCCAAGAGGGTGAACACCACCCTTGGATGCATAGCCAGAAGCATGGCTTCTATATTGAGAGAGGTATTACTGCCACTCTATACGATTCTGGTACACTCGCAGCTGGAGTATTGTGTTCAGTTCTGGGCCCCTCATTACAAGGGGGATATAGCAAGGTTGGAATCAGTGCAGCGAAGGGCCACTAGGATGGTGGCTGGTTTGCAGGGAAAGCCATTTGAGGAGAAACTGAGGGAGCTGGGTCTTTTCAGCCTTGAGAAGAGGAGACTCAGAGGGGACCTGTTAGCGACGTACAGGTACACGAGGGGGTGCCACACAGAGGTGAGTCATGATCTTTTCTCCTCTTCAGTGGAGGGCAGGACACATTCCAATGGAGCAAAGCTCAGGGAACCAAGATTTAGGGTGGATGCCAGGAAGAGAACCAGTGTGGTGTAGTGGTTAAGAGCATGGGACTGGGACTCAGGCGATCTGGGTTCTAGTCCCCGCTCAGCCAAGGAGCCAACTGGGTGACTTTGGGCCAGTCACAGACTCTCAGCCCAACCTACCTCACAGGGCTGTTGTTGTGGGGATAAGATGGAGGAGGAGATGTAAGCTGCCTTGAGCCTTTTGTAGGAAAAAAGGCAGGATATAAAGCAAATAAATAAATAAATTCTTCCTGATGGTTAGGACCCTGAGGGTATGGAATGGGCTTCCATGGAAGGTCGTTGAGGCCCCATTGGTGAGGGTGTTCAAGGATAGGCTGGACGTGCACATGGTGGGCCTGTCGTGAGTGGAGCTGGCTGGAGCTGGGGGTCAGACTAGATGGCCCAGGAGGCCCCTTCTGATGCACTCTGTTTCTGTGTCTCTATGTTTCTATATGGGAAAGGAGGCATAGTCACACTGGAACCACTGGAACCAGAATCAGCCCCAGGGCCTATGGGCCTGCATCCCTTTACTAAGGAAAGCATGTATAACATGCCAGCCAGTAAATTCAGTGCCAACCACCAGCAAGGACTGAGCCCCAGGGTTTCAATGAACCCACCTTGCTACCTGCCTGGGATTGCAAACAAGTGTGTGTCCAGTGTCAGTTACACAATGCTGGTAGGTTTGCCCTCCACTCAATGGGCTACAAGTCATGAAATTCCGTTCAATTTGGGGAAAACAGAAAAAGCTTAATCTGCAAATAATTGTTTCATCCTAGAGTAGAGATTCTTTCAAGCATCCCTGAATTCTACTTAGCTTCTGGATAAGCAAAGAGAATAAAACTTAATGCACTTGCTTGTCAGCCCACCGTCAAGGCTGTTTTGTGAACTGCCACTGTGTAATTTGTACTAATCTGTCTAATTCCAGATGTGCAGGTTCAGTCCGGAGGCAATTGCAGGCTTGGGCAAAAAGAGGTGGCTTCGCAGTGCGTCTGTCTGTCCCCTGAGGAAGACTGCGAGTAAGTGAGAAGAATGGGTGGGAATTTTGTTCCAGCTTGGCTGCCACCCTCCTTTTTCTGGTGGGTTGCTCACCTTTATCATCTACCTGGTGGGCGTGTGCAATGTGGACCTCTCCATGCTGGGCATTTATCGTGCATATAATTCTTCACACTGTGCAGTGCGTGAGGAATTGGGCTGTGCCCCACTTATAGATCTCTGGGTGTTTGGGCTGTGGTCCTAATCAGATGCCTGTGAGCCCCTAAACTTGGAGACTTACCAGCCTCCTCTGCACAGCAGGAGTAGCAGCAGAGGCCCTCTTTGCCTCTTCATCCTCCCACCCCACATTTTCTGCTCCCTGGGCTTTTCTCCCAGCCAGCTGGAGCTTCTTAGTGCGGGGGTGAAGGAGGCTGCAGCAGCTGCAGGGTCCCTGGTGTTCTGGCTTTCCCAGTCTCTTCCCCTCCCTGCACCCTAAAATGCCTCCTTTTCCTCCTTTGTGAGGTTACTTTTCTGACTTTGGTGATCGGCCAGCCCGGCTCTTTCCTCACTGGCAGTAAAAAGGCAGAGAGAGGGTTGTGTGGTGCAGGATGGGGGAGTTCAGATTCCGCAGTGCAAGGCTGACTTCTCTGACCTCTGATCTAGAATTCCGAATTATTCCATGCCCCCTAGGATGCTGTCTAGGGGAGATAAAGCATGAAGAAGAAAAGAAAGCAAACAAAGCACCCAATAAACATGGGTGACAATTGCCCTCTGGGAAGGGTGGATCCCTTTAAATATTTTCCATTGCAGAAAAGCACATGGGGCAGGCTCCTGCACCACCGAGGGATGCCCATTGCTCTAGCACAGCACTTCTCGGGGACCCCTTTGATCCCTCACTGGTATGCACCCCTGTCCATCTGCTCTCCTGTGGCTGGGGAAACCCAGCCCAGCTGAACTCTCATCCCTGGCTGTTGGACATGGGGACAGAATCATGCACCTGCTGCCCCACTTTCCCCACACCTCCCGCTTGCCTTCTCTTCCCCCCACCCTGGTGGCTGGGCTGGGCGGACCCTCAGGTAGCAGTGGGCTACTGTGTGCAGCATTGATGGAACACCGGGCGAGAGCAAGGGAGAGAACTCAGGGGTAGTGGAGAGACATGCTGGCAGGGTTCAGACAACACGATAACCCAGACTTAATGAGTGTGAGCGGTCATTGAACTGTAGTGTGTCACTGAACCATGGGTTATCATGTTCCCTGAATGCAGCTGAGATAACAAACTATGTCTAACAAGTTCGTTGTTATGACCCAACAACAAACCATGGGTACTTTTCATGGGTTGTTTGTGGTTAACAAGTCATGGCTTGTTAGCACTGTTGGATTCACACAGCCCCATGTTTCAGCAAGAAACCATGATTCATTGGCAACCCACATTCAACCCGTACTGAACCTCTGTGTGGTGGTTATTGTGTTATCTGAACCCAGCTGCAGCAAGCAAGTGGCTTTCATGGAAGAAGAAAACAGAGAGCGTAAGTGCCCAATAACAAGTGGGGGTTGCCTGGATCCCTTCAAGCATAGATATGACCTGCTGTTTATGAAAATATGTATAGCCTTATGCTTAGGGCCAGCAAGTTATTACAAAGAGCTAATAGAAGAGGGATACCAAAATAATATAAAAATATTAAGAACAAACTGTGAATCATGCGAAAACAATTAAATAGCAAACCAGCAAAGACATTTAGCAGAAGAAAATTATGAATGCAAAAGAGCCAGGAGGAAAGCCCTCTCATATTCAAAAAGGCATTCTGAAGTGTTGGTACCACTACTGAAAAGGCTGTGCTCCAAATGATCCGTGTGTGAACACACACACACAAAACTGAAATGTCTTACAAACCATGTATGGGATTGTCTACTTGAGATAAGCCCCAGGAGGTCTTGTTTCCAGGTAAGAGCAATGGGCTGCAGCTGTAATAAACCTCTGGTGACAGATAACCAGTGAAAATGCCGGGTCCTCTTTATAGGGTGTCTATGCTGATGCTGAAGATCCCATCTGGACCAGGCATGAGGTCTGAGTATGGCGATCTGTACAGGCATCGTTGCATATCACGCACACACTGGTTGCTGAAAAGGACTGGAATGTCAAGTATTTTAAAAATCGTGCAAGAGTGAATGCCTGGGTGATGGAAAGGCACCTGGATAAGCAAGGAAACAGTGGGGCTGCATTGACTTCAAATCAAAACTTTTATCTCTTGATAGTCCTGGCATGGAAGACTTCTGTGTACTGGATGCAGCATCAAAACAAGCCCTTACAAAATCAAGCTGTCACTACTTGGCTGAAAGGTGCAGCGGTGAGGAACGCTTCCATTTCCTGTATTCTGGACCATGCCACAATAACACCAGCTTGAGCTGGGCCATTGAGAGGGCAAATCTTTCAACAACCAGCACCAAGAAGGAACCCTGCGGATACGATGTCTGTTATGACTGGGAAAGTTGTTCAGGTAGGTCTCCTGTGTATTGAAATCTTTGATCTGGAAAGGTGAATATTTTTCAAAGTTTAATGTATGCACAAAAACAGAATTTTGTATTTAGAAAGACACCTAATTTCAACTAATGCTATTAAGATATGAATCAATATAAAATAGGTATTGTTGCTGTTGTTACAAATAAATCAACAAAAGAGAGGTAGTAATAGCAATTTCTGGAGAAATGAAATCTATTTGTAGAATAAGGGAACAATAATTTTCAAGGTTCAATTCCAGTTGCATTAATCTTTGTGAATACTGGTGAATTTTATTTTACTTGGATGGCATTAGGATTTTTTTTTCCTTAGCTGGCTCTACATTTATTTATTTATTGCTTACATATTTATCCTGCCTTTTTCCTGCAAGGAACCCAAGGTGACTTACATCAAGCTCCTCTTTCTCTTTATTTAATCATAAAATCATTTAGTTGAAAGCTGCCAGAGGGTGTTTAGGTCCAACCCCTGCTCAGCGCAGGACATCCAGTTAAACCATCCTTCTCAGATGACTGTCCAGTCACATCTTGAATGCCCCTAGCATGGGAGGGCCCGAAACCTCCCTAGATGATTTGTTCCAATGTTGTACTGCTCCAGCAAACAGGATTTTTTCCCTGATACCTAGCTGGAATCTGGCTTTCTGTAACTCGAGCCTGTTATTCCAAGTCCTGCACTTTGGGATAATTGAGAAGAGACCCTTTGAAAGTCTTTCAAGTGTACTTAAAGAGTGCAATCACCTCTCCCCTCAGTCTTCTCTTCTTGAGGCTAAACATGTCCAGTTCTTTCAATCTCTCCTCACAAGGCTTTGTTCCAGTCGCTGGGTCATCCGTGTTGCCCTCCTCTGAGCTCTTCCCAGCTTGTCTGCACCTTTCTTAAACTGTGGTGCCCAGAACTGGACACAGCACTCCAGATGAGGCCTAATCAGTGCTAAGCAGAGAGAACTAGTACTTCATGTGATTTGGAAAGGATACTTCTATTAATGCAGCTTAAAATAACATGTGCCTTCTTTGCAGCCACATCACATTTATACTCACCAGAGCAGTAGGTTAGGTTAGGAATCAGTGCTACCTTAGCTTCTGGATGATGAAGATGCGTGTACATAATATCCAACGAAAAAGCCCTACATGAGATCCAGATTTATTTAGCTTTGGTTGAGGAGAAGGCTTTTGGGTGGTTCAGTCTCTAAAAAAATGAAACTCGGCATCGGTGCTTGTTATGCTATGTGTTGCTCACTGCATCACAGGGTGATACAAATTGGGGGTTTTCTCATATATGGCCTTGGCTGAGAACACAGGAATAAACTTTCTGCCAGGAAAAGGCAGCTTGTCTGGTTCCGTTCCACAGTTCCCTCTGTTTTAGCCAAAAGTGTGAGAGAACTGGTGTTAGATGTTTTCATACCTGAAGGAAACAGTCCAGTGTGCTCTCTCACTCCCTTGCTCGCTCTCTCTCGCACATGCACACACCTTTCTTTTCAATCAAGCTGCATGAAAACTGGAGAACCGGTGTACAAAACAGCACAAAGCACTGGTGCAGTGGAGAGTATTGTCCTATTGCCAGTGTTGGGGCAAAGATCATCTGCCAGTCCAGGCAAGTCCACTCTTGTCCAGTCTAGTCAACTTTTATTTATGGCGTGGCAAGAGGAAGGAGCCATGTATACATGGTGTGGTGAGAGGGAGCCCCCCAGGTTCTGCTCCAGGTTTCTGAGGGCTCCTGGGCAAGGCACTGCCTCCCTCCTCCTCCTCACTGTTGTCACCAGCTGCTACTGCTCCTCCCCATCACCGCTGGTCACTTGCTTGATGGACGGAGAGCCAGTGACCTGGACGCCTGTGCCATCTCCTGCACTTCCTTCTCACCACGACCATCCTCTGGGCCAGGGCCGGAGGAGCATGATGAGGCAGGTTGCAAGGGTGACAAAGGGCCCTGCTGGGTGTGGGCCCATGGCAGATGCCCAGCTGCACTGACCCTTGGTGCTGCCTCTGTCTTCTCCTCAGGCGTGATGATGTCTTGGTCCACCCCTGAGTCGGAGTGTTCCAGGGAAGGCTGCTCGAGGTGGGAGATTCTGTCTCAGTATTGTCATTGTGCCGTTTCACGGAGGGAAGCAGCTTCTAGGTTTCATGGTGGTTGTTTGGGTGTGGGGGAGTATATTGCTACAGAATAGTGTTTGAAAATACTGGTAGGGTGGTGGCAATTAAGTGATTAACAGCAACTAAAATAGTCATCACTTAGAACCAGAAGAAATGTGCTGCATTTACACCAGGGCTAGCACCAGACTCTTGTGTCTCTGGGCCACCAACATTCCCCCACACTTTTCTCTCTGCTTCACCCCTGATCCATCCGGCCCCTTTACTAGCTTTCCCCCTCCAGTAACTCTGAACACAGGAACAACAGCAAGCGCAGTGGACAGTAGTTCTTGAGACATCAACCCAAAAAACTACCTCAACCATCTGCTTCCAGAATAGGATGTCTCAGCAGAGCTTCCTTCCATGGCCTCCATTGACTTGTGTTGTTTCAGAAATGGTAGCTTCTGGTTGTGCTAACTTTTGATCATTCCTATTAGTGCAGTGGTGTCCTTGGATACTTCCCCCTGAAATTTACAGTTGAAAAGGATCTTGGAGGTCCCCCAGTCCAGCCCTTGGTCCAGTATAAGAAGCATGTGAACACAGCATCCTGGATAGACTGTCCATTCAACCTCTCCTTAAATGGCCCCAGTGAAAGAGAGTTCACCCTATTTTCAGTAAGATCATTCTGCTGTTGAACAGCCCTTACTATATGAGCCTGCTTAGCTGAAACCTGCTTCCTTGCAATTTCCTGTTCTAGTCCTGGCCTCTGAGCAATAGAGAATATGTCTCCTCCATCTACTGCTGGGCCACTCTTCAGATAGTTGAAGACCACTATCATGTCTCCCCTTAATCTTCTCTTCTCCAGGCTAAACCTTCCCAGATATTTCAACTTTTCCTTCTATGACTTGGTTTCAAGAACCCTAACCCACCGATCTTGCTATTGGAAGCCAAAACCAATCATTCTCAAATGATTCCAAATCTTTTTCTATTCACAGAAACAGAATCACGGTGTACCTGTTTGCTGCCATACCAGTGCCCAAAAGATGAGGGTCAGTCCTACTGCATTCAGATGAGATCTGGGAGACGAAAGAGGACATCTACCCTTTGTGCACTGGGGGCAATGAAATGTGCCAGAATGGCAGTTGAGCTCTTACATCCTGGGAAATGTTTGCCTTAAGTGTGGTGACAAATCCATCTATCCCGATGGAATGAAATTCAGACAGTCACATTCCAAATATCATTAAGTGTTAATATTTTATTTTCAGTTTCATTGAGATGAAGAAATCAGGACCAGGGCCGTCTTAATGCATGGGCATGATGGGCACTCACCTGTGGGCCCCATACAGATTAGTCTATGTTAACCCTTGGAAAATTGGAAAACTTCCAAAATTAACGGTAGTTGTAGTTGTCATAGGGGCCCCTGTACACACTGCTTTGCCCAGGGCCCATAATGCTGTTAAGACGGCCCTGATCAGGACCTCCATGTTGAGTCAAGTATTTCCCATGTACATTTACTGGCAACTAGGGAGAGGCGCTTTTTGATTTGTGGCACCCCATTTTTGGAATTTTAGCCCCACCGTTGCTGCAGTATGACAAGCACCAAACTCTGATGCATGTGGCCTGATGTATATATTCACTGGTTAATATAATGATGTATTTACCGGTGAACACTAGCTGTTTCTTCCTGTTCTAAAGTTCTAAAGGTTTTTAACTTGTTCCTAACTTTCCTGAGTGGTGAGATACTGAAATGACAGCGCAACCAGGCAGTGCTTGCTTTGGGCGAGAGCACACTTGACATTTCAGAGGTCTTTCTAATGCTAGCTGTATTTCCAAGTTTACACACAATTCTTAAGTGGACAGAAACTGGCATTGTGATGAGGTCACAGATCTACCGCTGCAAACAACTCCCCATCAAAAGGTCCAGTCCCAAGGCACTTTTCTTTGAGCTGGCTCAGAACACTTTATAACTCAGTTTATATAATACAGTGAGAAATCATGGTTTAATTTACCCAAGAGTTGCTTGGATTATGTGCCACTATACAATGTGCAATAATAGTGGTGCGTGTTGTGTTGTGCTGTGTTTTGTTTTGTTTTTAAAAGGAACCAGAGTTCTGACAGCTAACAAATCACCACTTCCCTTTGAAAGAGAGTGACTCATCCTTTCCATGTTCCTGAACATTTAGAGTCTCGGGAATAAGCAGAAAAGTGAGGGTACCCTGGACTTGGGGAAGCCACCTCACTGCCAAGAAGAAAAACTTGCCCCAAGGCCAGTATAAGTTGCCACTGCTTCCCTTTTTTAGTGCTACCCAATTGACAACTAAGCAGCTGACCCCAACAACTGTGTAAAGATTAGCTTTTCCGCATCCTCATCTTGTCAATTACCATACATGTATGCTTTGATACTCCCTTTGACAGGCGAAACTGATGAGACAATTGATCAGACAAGGCTAATGGTGATATTATCAGGAACAGGAAAACTACCCTGGGGCAGATCTAGCTAGTTCCCACAAAGTTGTGCCATTCCTCTCTGGGGAAGTACTACATCGGAAAGACACCAGTCTAATAGGGTGGCCACTTATGAATCACTCAAAAAGAAGGCACAGGAAGACAGATTTACATAAAACTTGTATTTTCATTTGATTTTTTTATTTTAATTTCACCAGGATGAGACAAAATCTAAATAAAATAAAAGCAAAAAAATCTGTGTGTGTGTAAGTATTCATTTAAGAGCAGAAATTTAAATATATCTTTTATTTATAAGCTTCAAAAAAAGCTTCTTGAAAGGCAGAGCAAATATCCCTATATTTGGGGATAAGCGTCAAGAAAAGGCAGAGCAAATATCCCTATATTTGAGAGTGATGTCTGTATGTCATCTGCTCAAATATTGAAAACATCACTGAGGTTTTGAGCCATGGCAATAGCAGGTGTGACCTTTTATATTTTCAGGGTAGCAGTATCAGTCTTTGAGATGTCAGAAAGCACAGAATGTTCATCTGCATTAATCATTTCCAAGAAATAGGTAGATCATTTTAGGAAAATGTATATCAAGAATATTGATGAGAAAATGAAGCTATACATTCATAGCTTCCAAAACCTATTTTCCAAACATATGATTAAAGGAAGTATTAGTGGTATAACACCTGCATCAGTTAGCTGACTTGGCCACCTCTCATCAAAGATATTGTGACACTGAATAAACACAGTACACAAGTATTTGTTGAATACGATGTAACCTGAGGTCCACTGAAACATCACATATGAACACTAAAGTGACATTCCACTGCTTGGACTGAATCACACATTTCAATTCTCTATTTCATTCCTATATTAGATCCAATGAATCATATTTATTTACCAGTAGTAAAAATTTATAAACATGGAGTATGGGTCACTATAGCCAATCAATCTCAATAAATGTTTCCAGTAGCTGCCAATGCTGCAGCACCACATTTGCTACTAAGCATGCACATATATACTTTTAAAATAATTATTTTAATTTAAATATACATGTTTGCCATCATGGGGAAGACCATAACCGGGCGCTTCAAGTGCTTTGCTCTGTCCGATTTCAGCTGCTGATGAGCAAATTCAAGGCCCCTCCATCTTTGGGTTCTTTATTTGTAATGGACGGGACTCCACTTCAAACGGAGCAATGCCTTCCATAAAAGGGGACAGATGGCAGCCCCAACCCTCGGTCTCTCTATTCAGTGTGTTCACTGGCAAGCTTCTCTTGCTATAAACCATCAACTTCTTGAAACACATCCAATAATTCACAGGTTAGAAGGAACATTCAAAGGGAAACTTCTCCTTGATTAATTCCCTGGAAAGCCAGATTTGCTGTTTACCCTTGTGTAACAGGCAGACATTCGTTATGCAGCAAAGCTTTCTACCTACCCAAAATGTTCTGTCTAGTGAAACCCCGTGATGCTTCCTGCAGTATTAGTTCTGCACCAAAGATATTTTTCTTCGCTCACCAAAGTGCAAGGCAAGTACTTTGCATTTATCTTTTGGCCCCTTTCTCCAGCATCGGGAATTTCCCCAGTGGCTGCCTTGATCAACAGCCCTTCCAAAGTGAAGGAAAATTGGCAAACACATTTATCAAAGTGAAGTCAAGATTTGAGTTATGTGGGGAAAAACTGCGAGCGAAAGACTCTGACTGGTGTTGGCTTTGCTTGACCGAAAATCCTATGGTTTTTCTTCCAGGTAGAAGGGCAATGGGCTTTGAAGCCAGAATACATTTTGCTGATGCAAAGACAATCTACCCTTTGCATCAGCTAATCTTGTGGCTTCTGTGCATGACTCTTGTTCCCAGAGATCTATGGCCCCACATGGCACAATTTCCTAGGTGCTTCATAACTGCAGCTTCCCTTTTTCAAATAGTACTCCTTCAGGGTTAGGGTTATTTATGGCCAGTAATGGAGGGAACAAAGGACTAGTTACATTCCCAAACACGAGGTAGTTGTGCGCAGTTCTGTGTTGGGACCAGTCTGAGGCATCCACATCAAAGACCATGCATCTCCAAAGGAGGAAAACACATTGCAGGCTGTTTGCATGGGCAAAATTAGGATTGAGCAGCATGTCAGTAGCTTCCCCTAACACTAACACACACACACGCACAGGCAAATTCAGGAATTATTTGAAAGAAGAGAGCTTGCCTAGAGTTAGCTCTGTATCAGGGTGAGGAAGCTTTCTCACTTGAAGGCTGCATGCCAGGGGTGGCAAGGCAAAGCCTCCACACACTTGAACTAAGCACCCAAGATGCCACCATAGATGTGTAAGGCTTTAAAAAGATCTATTGAGTCCACCTGGGGCTGCAAAGCCCTCATTGCAGTACTGATGGGGATACTGCACACAGGAAGGACTAAGCTTTCATTCTCCAGCTGCAATCATCCCTCCAAAAAAACAAATCCCCCCCTCACAAGTTGCAATCATGCTTGGAGAACAGCCTCCCATTGGTTTCAGTGGAAGACTTTTTTGACATCTGTTGCGGGAAGGGCTGGACTAATGTTCAACTAACAATATCAGGTTTGGAGTTTGAAAGGCATATCACAGTGAACGGTACTCAAAACAAGACTATTTAGGAACAGGAATTGTATTGCTGATTTTTATTTTTTAAAAGAACATTATTTATTGATATGAAATACATATTGTCATCTTGGAGTGTCAGGATTGCTGAAAATGTCTAGCATGATACAGTCCTCTCTTTTGTTTGATAAGTTGATGGGAGATAAATGGTTTACTGCACGCCTATGCAGCTAATGACCCACCAAGCAAAATGCAGCTCACTGAATATGCACAGAGGCCTGCTAGTTCCAAGCAGGGAGCAAACACGGGGCATTTTCTAACTCCTTGCATGTGTTTGGCTTGGCAGGTCAGCAAGTGGCCTAGGCCTCACTTATTCCATTCATAATCCCTTCCCTTTGCCCTCCCATCCCCTCTCGGCCCATTATAGTCCTATACAGAGGTCACCCTTCCACTCTCCACTGCACCATTGGCAGACATTATCCTCACATTGGTTGTTATTCTTTGGAATGTGCACACACTAGCCAAAGGGACTCCCATTCATTTCACCAGGAGAGACCGAAACACATTCCTACTTCCCTCTCTGAAATCAAAATGGCAGCTCGGGTTAGGCCATGCCTTTGGGGGGGGGGGGAGTTTAAAAGTAGACACAACGCTGGCAACAGGCCTGCTTATGCCTTCTTGATTGCAGAGAAGACTAAAGATACACAGTGTCGTCTGGAGCTTTGTCAGTTATACATCCTGATGTGAAGAGAGAGTTCAAATCACGTCACATGCTGAGACCTCCAGCTAAGTCTCCGATGAGACTTGATGAGGCCATGATGAGAACTTCAGAACAACCCTGCTGGATCAGATGAAAGGCCCGTCGCATCCAGCATTGCGTTCCTACAGTGGCCAACCGGATGTCCCAACAGGAACCCAGGAACAGGACATGAGCCCAGTGGCCCCCAGCAAGTGGAATACAGGGGCATGCCATGTAGAAGGGCCACATCATTGCCTACAGCCAGTCCAGCCTGGTGAGTTAAAGGGCTTAAAGGGGCAGCCCTGGCAGACCCTGATCTCGTCTGGTGCCAGGGGAAGAAGCTCCTTCTTCTGCACAAGCATCAGAGGTGTGGGAGACCAACCTCCTTTGCATCCAGGTACCTGAGTGGCCACATGCTGTCACACTCTACCAGAGTTGTCTTCAACTTCTGCAGACCACCTTCAGCCCCTACAGCATGAGCACCACTTGTCCTGGGTCTTACAATCATCTGCACCACGGGGCCCTCCTATTCAAGCTAGAGATGTTCACCTGCCTGTCAACTCTCTCCCTTTCTCTTTGCCTCCCTTGTCTTCCCCCATCCTCACCGTTTCTCTTTGCTTTTCTCTGTCTCTCTCTGTTCCTTCTTTTAGAAGACAGCAACTCTTTAAAAAATAAGACAAGCAGATAGCTGTGGCATCACTGTTATGATCCACCTTAGGTTATTGGACTTTATCCAAGATTTAAAGACCAAATGCTCTTATGTGCTCGAGAAGCAGAATTCAATATAAACCCAGGAAATAGAAGGGGGATTCTGACTTTCAATGGGTGAGATGAGCAAGTGCAAAGAGCATGTGACTAACATCCTACCAGAGAGGCTGGCAATTCCTCTGTGTGTGTGTGTGCGCGCGCGCGTGCACGCGCGTGTGTGTGGTGGGGGTGCTTATCCATTGCAGTACTTATTCCCAGCTGTATATGTGCCATCCATGGTACTCCATAATGGTGAGCTTACTAAAAGGTTACAGTTCAGCACCATGGATAGGTCTAATACAGCTCAGAATAAATGCTGCCTGTAGATAAGAACATAGGTGTCACAATCCCTGATATGTTGCTAACATTCCCAAATGTACTCCTTTACTTTCTTCCGTAGAAATGAAAGTTTGCCATTCTTTTTCCTTGGGAAAACATGCAGTGCCAACACTTGGGATCACAGTTGCAATATGGATGTAATCTATCCTGCATCTAATATGGAGTATCCTTCCCCTCTTTGACATGTCTGGGGAGAGGGGAATGCACCCTCCTAGGGAAATATACCCTGAGAGGCTGCGTTCCCCACGCCCCAGATACATATCCAAAGGGTCCTTTGATATACAAGACTTCTCTCTCCATATCACATCTAGAGTGATGCTCATCTCAGTTTGCTGGTTTTGATCATTCCTGTGTCCCCGTTCTCTGGTCTTCTTCATTGCACCACATGTTGTAAAACCTGCCCTCCTACAGGTGTATCCAGGGGACTTTGTCCGCCACAGGGACGTATGCTAACAACAGTGAAGCTCAATCCCTGGCACTTGAGAATGGCTGCCTCACATTCCGTCATAGTCTGGTGGCCAGAGCTGCCTTCCACATCAACACAAATGCTTATGCCTGCACTGCTGCACCCTCCAGGTTCTCCGCATGTGCACCGGTTGGTTTGACCTAAAGGACAGCCAGAAATGCGCACGTTAGTCCACTGAAAAGGGAAATTAGACCAGGAGTTAATTGAACAACCTGAACAAACTAGCAAGTGCAGAAAGACCAACTCTTGCATATTGCCCAGAAAGTTTCAGCCACTGGACAGTAAAGAAAGTAAATGAAAGAACGACCGAATGAGCAAACAAGTGAGCAACCAGATGGACGGGTGAACAAAGGGCCTTTAAAGAGGCATGTTTAAAGGCTGGAGGGCTGGGCACACGCAGCAATTGGCCATTGTATCCATTCGGGACAGTACAATTGGCTATAAGTTTACACCGCAGTTGAAGAAACTCTTTCAGTCCAAGAACAACAGTCAGTTTCAGTTTTCTGTTCAGTGGAAAGCAGAGGAGGCAGATTCTAGTAGTTGATGAAACCAAAACCATATGAGGTGGAAAGACAAGTTTTTCTTAAAGTGCTTCTTCCGGATAAGTGAACAAAGCCTCATAAAAGTCATTTCAACCTTTAGAATGGAAAAACTGTCCAAAACCCAAGACACCAGCAAAAGATAAGTGGTCACGTGCCAGGGGAAGGGGGAAGGGGCATGGCCATCTGGGAAATGAACCCTGGAGACCCAAACAGACCAAATTTGTCCTGCAGACCTGAAGTTCAACACCTGTGGTGTTAACTATACAAGAAGGTGACTTAGAAAGATTGCAACACTTAAACAGTGCACCAGTAGAACAAATTGAGTTAGGAGAGTCTCTTTCCTGCAAGGTTCTTCTGAAACGACAGAAGCATAAATATAGAAGGGACTCAACTCTTTATGGCCCATCAGAGCACCCATAATATGGTGCAGGACATCACTGAGAAATACTGAGCAAAGCTGCAAAGGCATTCTACAGTTCATGAAGGTGCAAAGGTATTCCATCCTCGCAATAGCAGAAATAGTAATGTCTTTGTAGCCACACCTTGGCCAGAGAGAAATCCCCTGCCATGAGGTAGGGCTACTAGTAGACCACTAGTCTACACAAGCCAGACTACATCGTTGCAAAAGCAGTGTTGCAGTGATAAATTTCAAAGCATGGTAAATTTCAAGCATGTGTCAGCATGGAAGTCCCGTAGTTATGTCCCCACAGAAAGTAAAAAAAATCCAGGCAGTGGGAGGAGGGGGGGGGAGTGTGGGAACATGTATGCATGGCTGTATCTTTCAGGTGTTTAAATTCTCAGTGTCAGGGAGAAGTATTTTATCTCAAACAGGGGAAAAGGAAAGGGAAGGGGAAGGGGAAGGAAAGGTTCTAGCAGGTGGAAGAACAAATATTCTGTAAAGCTGATAGGTCTTAATTGTGCATTCCACATAAAGCCATCCCAAATACTTTGCGGTACAACAGGGTTAGCTCTCAATTAGTCATTTCTCCCCAGCTGCTGTGAGATTGCAGCTAAGCTCAGAGGAAACCAGGAAGCCCAAAGAGGAAGGTGGCACATGATTTCATTGCCCCTGGGGCAAAACTGGCTAGCACTTTGCTCCTGTAAGTCCTGGCTTCACTACACCACTGGCTAAAAGCAGAATACAAAGGTTGTTCTATTTCCCTGTAGAGTTAATATGACATGAATAAGAGAGCTGAATCATACTGTTTGACACTGTTTTTTTCTGGGAAAGGAATTTCTCTATTCCTAAAGAACAGCTTAAGAGTTTTAAAGTGAGTTAACAGACATCATTGGTTAGCCCTGAGAGCAATGCTGGTCCTTTCCCCTCCTGGTTTTCAAGACATGTTCTGAAGAACCACTGGCAATATTGCTGGTGCATACCTTGAAGAAAATCAGGATCATTATTGTCCTTCTCTGCAATGCAGGAAGGCCAAAAAGGATCTTTTTAGATGCATGTTTACTTTGCTTTAATCAATGGCAAAGCTAAACAAGGCTTGGACAGCATCCTTTCTAGAGCGAGAATGCATCTTAGACCACTCTCCATTGGTATTCCTCAACAGGAATTGTTCATTTTCCTTGGCAAAGTCATATGAAAAGCATCCCCGAAGGATAGTAAGTTTGAAAATCACAGCAGGATGCTTCCTTCTCATTTCTGCTAATGATTTGCCATCCTTAAGGTTCTGAAGTACACATCAAGGAATAGGGGAAATGCATTCAGGCAAAGCTGGATACGTTTTCCCCTAGGCTAATTCTACATCATACCCAGGAAGCCAGTGTGACGTTTGCTCATGCTAGTTCTGTGTAATTCCCAGAAAACTTCAGGGACTCCTGTAGCACCTGCAACCACACTTGCTGGGTAGGATGGAAGGAAAAGCACTTACGATCGCAGGTCTCCCACATCTGACACGAGCCACAAGTTCTCTCAGCTGCAGCAGGAGTTCTGCAATTCTCCCTTCCAGCCAAAGTGTACTGCCTGCCCATGCACTCCAGGGCATGTAGCTTACAGACTGTCAGCAATGTGCTTTTCTTGGTTCTTTGGTCTGTAGCACAGAGTTCCAAGGAAGAACTGAAAACAGGCAATCACACTGTTAACATGAGCCGCACAGATGGACTAGGGCCCCAGGAGGCCTTCCCCACATCCCTTGGCCCTCTTTGATGTTACAGACCATCTCTTTGCAAGGTCTGTTCATCAAGTCAAGTCCCATCTCTGCTAACACCAGATGACAACTTTTTCAAGACAGGTCAAATGAGGAGGAGACAGGGTAAAGTGGCCAGAGCTGGGTTGGAAGGGAGACTGAGTTGCTTTTTATGGACAATGAAGCTCAAAGTTAGTTTTCCAGATCTCTCTCTTCACTCCTGGGCTTCTGCCCTTCCAGGTTTTGAAGAGAAATGAGAAACTTTTTTCAGCTTACCCACATTCATACGGCATCTTACACACACATCTAGTCTCCTGAACTTTCTCCCATGGTTGGCATTCGATCCTTGTGGGTTCAGTAGCTGAAATGACATCTGAGAAGGAAGGAGAAATACAAGCTCTAGAAAAGGATGGAAAGGTAAAGAGAGGATGCTTCACATCTCCTCCAGAATATTCTTACTGGCTTGAGTGGGATATCCACAGAGCCATTTTGGCATTGTGCACTGAGGGTTTACTGTGCAGAGTTGCAGGTAACCTCAGATCCTTGTGGGGACTGAATCCCAGATGGCCACACTCCCATCCCTGGCCCTCCCCCTTCCCCCAACCACCAACTGTTTGGTTATTTCCTGGCTTTTTCTATCCTACTCCCCATTACTAAAAACTTGAGATGCTTAGCTACTGGCAGTAAGACTTTTAAGCGATAATTTGCTGGTATGCTTTATTTTGGCTGTGTCCTCTTGGCTTTGGCCCTGCCACTCCCAACACAAAGCATAACCAAGTCTCAGCAACACACACTTCTGGTTATGCTGCTTTCAATGACCTGGTCTCTTTATCTTGTTTGATTATTATTATTATTATTATTATTATTATTATTATTATTATTATAGCATTTCTATGCCGCCCCTTGCCGAAACCTCGGGGCGGCTTACAACATGATAAAATACATTGAAATACAATAGTACATAATAAATTACCATTAAATATAAAAATGCAAAAAATACATTGATTTACAAAAATAAAATTAAAATTATCAGTATAAAATATGGAGGGTGCCAATTTTCCTTGCCATCACAGTGCCCAAGGAGATGCCATTCCTTCCACCCCTGGTCTGGAATCAGAATTACCACAGCTGCTTCCCTCCCCATTCCCTGTTGATGCTGCAGTTCAGCTTTAAAAAATAAGCCTCCATTGGCAACAACGGGAGCTTAATTTTCTAGGGGGGGGGGGGAGGAGATTTTTCTTTTTGCATTTCAACCACAATGGGGGAGGGAAGGGCTAAAAAAATTACTTTCAACCTTTTAGAATGGAGGGGAGGAAATGCCCAAAGCCACAAATAACCAGCAAACATGCACACATCTGCTCGTGCAATTAAAGAAAGCCACACCAACACTCTGGGTAGAAATGTTGTTATGTGGCTAAAATAGAGCACAAAATGTTCAATGCTTCAGGGAGAGCATGTCCTGGAGGACCACAGAAGTACTGAATTTTTGGAAGGAAGCATAGGATATAAGTTTAACTTATATCTCTAATTCTCCTCCTTCAAGTGCCTATGGGAAGGTTGCTATTTCACCCCTAGTTAGACCCAAGACTCATTATGGGGCATACCTCTTCTCCTGCACTGAATGTCATTGCTATTAGGAGACCATCTCAGGGTAGGTTCACACAAAAGGAGAGCTGCTCCTTCCAGCTGCATGCTATCTGGGCACGACAGGTGTATTTTCTCTCCAATCTGATATGAGGGTTTCAGTGGGTCTGCAATGAGTCCTCCTCCCAACACAGGTAAGACACAAGCTGTTTCTATAAATGACAAGTAAAGACAAATATTTTCTTTTTCTGTACAAATTGCTCTTTTCTCTCCCTTCTAGAAGGATTGAATTTCTTATGTGAGTGGTCTTCAACCTTTAAAGACCCAGGAGTCACATTTTACATCAGCCGGAAGCCACAAGAGTCATGCTTAGTATTTTTTTCTCTACCTATGTCCATTCCATCTCTTCTTTTCTATTTTTCCCTCTCTGTTTTTGTCCTATTCCCTATATATGTTTCATTTGTTCTTTCAAAGTGTAAAGAAATAAACAAAAGAAGGTCCATAAAATAATTGGTGGAATAAGCCATTGGCTTCTTTTAGGTATGACCCACCAGTTGAAGTTGTTGATTTTCTTATACATACTCTGGCATCTTATCTGCCCCATGGTCCACTTGAAGCCTTCACTGCATGTAGCAATCTGGTTTCCCACAAGAGCATATCCATTATTGCAGGTGTAGCTGATGCTTTTCCCCACAGGATATGATGAATCTGCATCCTAAGAGGATAAGAAAAGCCACGCCAGATGAGACCAAAATCCAGCTAGTCCAGGGTTTTGTTCAAACATTGGCAAACCTGCTCCCCACAGGATCTCACAAGCAGGACATGAGTGCAACAGTCCCCTCAGACCCATGTTCCCCAGCAGCTTGTGTGCACAGGTATCCTGCCTCAGGTACTGGAGGCAGCATACAGTTATCAAGACTAGAAGCCACTGGTAGCTGCTTCTTCCTGAAAATAAGGCATCTTGGACATCACTGAAGGTGAAGGTGACCCCTCCAAAATCCTTACACACTGGAATAAGTCTAATGGAATTCATTGAAAAATACAACGTTATGGATTTTCTTGCATTTTTATGCATAAATGTCACAGCCCTGGACCTAGTCATTTTTCTTTCAAGGGAAGAGTTCTCAGCCATGGAGACACCTGGTCATGGAGAAGAACTCCTGAGACACCAACACCACTTACCAGCACTCAACCAGCACGGTGATATTTTCTTGAATGAAAAAGAACCCCACGAAAGCGCCCCAGGGCCATTTTTGCAGCACCCCATCCCCCTCATCCCCCCCCCCCGGTGCCAAATCTGCCACGGCAATGGCAGCAAAAAAGCAGCCATTTTGCTAGAAAACAAGGCACAGGGAGAGAAAAATAAATGTGGAAGGAGAGAGGGAGGGAGGGAGGGAGGGAGGGAGGGAGGGAGGGAAAAGCTGCAATTATATGTTAAAACATGGTTTTATCCAGCATAATAAAATCAGACATCATGCTCAAGTAAAAGCTAATAGTGCAATTGTAGTAAATTAACAATGCAATCCTCTACATACCTACTCAGAAGTCCCCCATTGAAACCACTGGGGCCTATGCTTGAGTTGATGGGTTGAAAACTGCACTCTAACATCCTACTGCACTTACACATAGAAGCTGGACCAGGAAAACATTCTTTTATGCTTCACCTACTTGAACATATCCATTTTCCAAGGGTGGAGGTGGTGGGCAGGACTCTGTGGCAAATGCAGACATGTCAAAGCAGTGTGGCTCTATGGAACTATAAAGAAAACATTTCAAGGCTGTTGTTACTATTGCCTTTGTGTCTGTTCAAGATACTTCCCTGTTCGTTTCAAAATGCTTCCATACTTAAGGTGGTCAGTATTGCAAGGCCTTTACATTTCAGTCAGAGGAAAAGGATTCTCATCTAGACGATGGGAGTGAGGAACCCAGCACAAAAACAAGAGCTGTGTGGTGCTTGCGAACTTGTCTTTCTCGCCTCCCTTGCCCTTTTCTTATTCTGCTTCACAGAAAATGTTGCAGACCTTTGAACTTCATATAAAAGTGTTCCTCTGAACAAGCCAAACCCAAATCCAAAGTCAACCTTGCCACATGGACAATTTGAATTAATTCTATCTGTGGGTATATGTACTTAGAGAATGGACCTACTTTGCAGAGGCTGAAGAGCCCTTCATTTAGTTCAGTGAAGATTTCAACAAAACTTAGTAGCCAGGACATGTTATGCCCCCCACACATCAAGCCCACCGACCAACGTAGGCATGGCCTCTGCCATGGTGCATCCCTATAGCCTCCTTCAGGAAGGGGCTGTCTTTATCTTGCTGGGGGCAGAGGAGGAGCCTCCCCCCAGCAGGAAGGAGAGGCAAGCATATCACTGTCCCTCAGTCCACTAATCTCCTGTCCCTCAAAATCGTAAGGACTCGGGTTAGCCTGCCCCTGGGGCTGAAGGTGTTCCTACAGGCTTAAGCTCCATGGACACATTTAAATTTATTACAATGAACTGATGTGTTTTAAAAACAGAATAGTCCAGGGTGCAAAGCCCTAAGGATGGCTCACTGTGCGTGCAGAGTTTCAGAGGAATAGGTTGCATGGCCTTGGTGCTAATGGACAGATGTGCAGGGAGGTGCACATCTTCGTTTACTGCATTGTGACATAGCGGTGAGTGTTGACTGGGACTTAGGAGATCCTTGCACTAGTCCTCACTCAGCCATGAAACTTTGGGCCAGTCACTGATTGGCAGCTCAATCTACCTCACAGGGTTGTTGTGAGGATAAAATGGAGAGGAGGTGGACTATGAAAGTCTTTATGAGTGGAAAAATGCAGAATATAAAAGCAATACAATAAATAACAGTTGTTGCAGTAGTATAAGTAACAACTCCTCCCCTGTCCCCCCACTATCCCAACAGTAACCCTACCGGAAATACTGCAACTCCTCATCCTCACACTGCCGGTTTTGAACTGCTTCTCCAATGCAGGACCTTCCGCCACCACTAGGAGATGGGTTATTACAGCTTCGCTGCCTTGATTTCCTTCCTGCTGTACAAGGACTCCAAGAGGACCAGCAGCTCCAGCTTCCATCAATGACCCCTGCATCACAGCAGGAGGCAGAAAGGGTCACTCATCATGGAAGGATAGATTTGGAAGGGATCTCAGAGTTTAAGGACCCTGCTCAATGCCAGAACTGTACAGCTGCAATATACCTGATTGACCAGACCTGTTGAAAGACCTCCGGTGAAGGAGAGCCTGCTGAAGCAGTCTTCCCCACTGTTGAACAGCACTTCCTATTACGACATTCTTCCTAATGCTCAGCTGAAATCTCCCTTGGAATTTCCATCCATTGGTTCCAGTCCTGCTCCCTGGAGCAGCGGAGAACGGTTCTGTTCCATGGTCACTGTGATAGCCCTTCAGATATTTGATGACCACTATCTTGTCTTCCTTTAATCCTCTCTTCCCAAGACCAAGCATACTCAACTCTTTCAACCATTTCTCAGAGGATGTGGCTTATGAATCCCTCACCATCCTGGTCACTCTCCTCTTGAAGCCTACCAGATTGTCAGCAAAGTAGGGCAACTGGTGTGAAGTGCTCCTCTCTTACGCATTCAATGAACAATCAGGAAAAAGGTGTACTGCCTTATTTTCCCTAATGGAAAACTAATGGAAAGTGCTGTTTACAAAGGGAAGCAAAATTGGAGGCTCACACCATTACCTACAAGTAGGGAGTAACAGGCACACAACAATATCGAAAAGCCCCTGGTCCGTTTTAATGTTGTGTGTGAAGACTCCTAAGCTGTTGCTCTCTCTCATCATCTCTGACATAGGGTGACTGTATGAATGAATGTCTTCCAAAATGTCCTACCTTCAACAGCCCTGCTAAGCAATTATAAAACAGACTGTGGCTTGCTTTATGAAACTGTTCCATCTCATATTTGGTCATCATCTTCTTCTTCTCTGCTTGACTTAAGGACAACATCATTGTCCTCATTGCCTTCTCGTCCTTTGATGGTGTGCCCGACCTGGCTACTGAATCATTCACTGGGATAGGATCTCCTGGTTGGGGCGTTGCTACAGAAAAGGCCCAGTCTCACGTAACCACCAATCCTAGCCTCTTGGCAGTGGTAGGACATACAGGGTCTCCAGTGAAAATCACAAAGCAGTCATATCAGAGGAGGTGCCCTTTCTGATATCCTGTCCTCAAACCATTTGTATCTTTAAAACAAAACAGGTAAAAACTAGCTAACTCAGGAGTAGTAAAACTGGTAGCCCAGCCTATCTTGAAATTGAAACCAGAAGAAACATTACTTGCCTGGTTGGTCTTGTACAAGAGTTCCTAGTTCACAAGCTGATCCAAACGTATATGGTTTGCAGATACATAGGCACTGTGTTCCTACAATGACTGGTTGGCCGCCATTTTGACATGGGCGGCATCTGCAGGGATCATTTTCACTCAAGTATTCTTCAATAGCGTGTTTCAGGTGTAGCCTTTTGACTGAGGCACATGGTACTTCCTTCACCAACTCATACAGTGGTGTGAGCTGCATATAATCGATATGTTCAGCTTTGAAAAACCATCCACCCTGCTGCAGTTTATTTGCTTTTTATATCCCACTTCACCCCGAGGAGTCAAGAGCCATTTTCATGGAGCACAACCCAGCCAAACACTTTTATGTCCAGTTAGAGAGGGTCAAGCATGTGCCTGACATCAGTGGGAGTTAAATGATCTTTACTTTGGTTGCACGATGTGCACAGAGCTTACCAGAGGTCTCCGGGACAAGTGCTGGCAACCCACAGACAACCCTTGAGTGTGTGTTATCATGCTGTCTGAACTCAGCCTTCAAATCAATTCACCCTAAAAAACAGACTAGGATGCCCTGAACGATGAGTCCTGTGAAGAGGTGGTATGATTGGTTCAGGATACATGCAGGGAAGCGCCACATGCAGAGAAGACTGCACCTGCTGTGCCAGCTCCCAGCCTCCGTCCACTGACCGTTCCTCCGTGAACAGAGTCCATGCACATACATGTGCTATGGCTGGAAACCCTGAGCTGTGCAGAGCACCAGGTCACCAGTGCCAGGGGGACATGGACGTGTGCTGGCTTGACCCAGGGGATTGAACCGATACCCGGAGGCTGGAAGTGGGCCAGGCAACCACTGCTCCACCAGCCCCCTTTGAAGCCCTGAGAATCCCTGGGCTCCAGCTGGGCGAAAAGGACTTGTTGAACCCCAGGAAGAAATCCGTCTCTTACCTTCCGCTTAATTACTTTAGGGAAAAGGGTCACGGACCGAGCCCAACGGGAATATCGTTCAGAATTTGCCACAGGATTCTGTACGTCCAAGTAGACTAGGCCAGACACTTCTCCTGGGCCCCCTCCCTCTACAAAGGGGTCCGCCTTAATCTGAGTGCTGGCGGTCCCTGAAAGAACATGTGGAGTACAGCATATACACATATTAAAACATTTCATATTGCCTAATAGTCTGGGTTATTCATGTTCAGTCAGTCTAAATGATCTCTTCAGTGGTCCTTCATAGCTCAGTGATTACAAAGAGATTCAATATGTCATTCTTGATTCTAAGGTTTCTGTAAAAGATAGTCAGTACCAAAACGAGAAATGAAAGGACGCAGAGAACTGAGCTGACTTTGCTCCTTGTGAGAAATGCTGTGGCACTGTCAGTTCCCCTAGACCAGGGAACAAGAATGTCTTGCCCACAGGCCTAATCTGGCCCATGGGGCAGCCCAACCCAAACTGTGCAGCTTCTTGGGGTTCCTGCTGCAGCAAGACTTGGGCTCCAAGCCCTGCTGGCCCGAGAAATCTCTTCCTACAGCATCCTGCCCCTGCATTCTCCAACCCAAGGCCAGGCATAACAGCAGGGGTTCCCCTGCTAGTGCCCAGTGAGGGGTGGTGGGCATCTGGGACTCACCAGGCCCAAGGAGAGCGGTCACTCCTGTCTGTGTAAACAAGTTCCGTGACTCTCGTCCCTGCAGCTGCCCCCAGTCTCAGGGTCCCTTTGTCTGTCCTGGGAAAACTGTGCCTCCTTCCAGCGTGAACCCCTCACCCCCACCGCCCAAAACAAAGCAAAAACAGTGAGGGACGTCAGGGGATGGGGACACATCCCCTAATGTCATACAGGCCACTGTGGCCTGGTGGTGCGGTATCCTGCCCTAGACATCTGGTGAGGAGCAGGAATTTATTAATGCAGTGAACCCTTGTTTAATGCTCACTTGTGATCAAATGAATCTTGTGTCACAGAAACTGCCTAAGTCAAGGGTCCAGCATAGCCAATAGTGAGGAATGCTGTGCTTGAAGGCCAAAACATCTGGAGATCAACTTTCTGTGTCCCCCCCTCCACCAAAATTTCAGAAGCTGTACCCTGGAACCTCTGGATCTTCTTGCTCCCTGGATGTTGGATGCACATCCAAGTATGACTGAGGACTTAATTATGCAACTCTTTCTCTGAGAGACATCTAGAGACAACACTCAATTTTACGATTAACATTTGTTGACTGAAGAGCTGAGCAGGGATGTCATGACCAGCGTTGCTGCAAGTCGGACACCACTTGATGCCAGGCAACAACAAATCTGTTGCAGAAAACAAGACAGTGCTGGCACCATGTGAAAAGGAAGATGAGAGTATAGAGCAGTGGTGGTGAACCTATGGCACACGCACCACAGCAGGCCCGCAGAGCCCTCTCTCTTAGCACACGAGCCAAGTCGCCCCAGCATCACCCCAGCATCGCCCCAGCAGCCAAGCATCGGATAGCAGCGCACAAAGCTACCCAAGGAAGGCTTTTTCAAAATCTCCCTATTTTCAAAGGAGTTTTAGCCCTATATTAGGGTTGGGGTGTGCACCAGGGTTACATAAACTTGGTGTGCAGGCATGATTTTGATGGTTGGAATGTGTTTAGAATGGGCCAAAATGATGAGCTGTGTGGAAAAAGCTACTCAAGGAAGGCTTTTTCAAAATCACCCTCTTTTCAAGGGCACTTTCACCATCTATTAGGGTTAGGGGTGTGCACCAGGGCAGGGTTAGGGTTGAAAAACGAGGTGTCCTGGCATGATTTTGATGGTTGGAATGTGTTTAGAATGGGCAGAAATGATGAGCTGTGCAGAAAAATCTACTCAAGGAAGGCTTTTTCAAAATCGCCCTCTTTTCAATGGAACTTGAGCCCTAAATTACGGTTGGGGAGTGCACCAGGGTAGGGTTAGGCCAGTGGTGGCAAATCTAATGGCACGCATGCCACAGCAGGCATGCAGAGCCTTCCCTGTCAACACACGAGCCAAGTCACCCCAGCATCGCCTCAGCAGCTGCGCATCGGATAACAGCGCACGTAGGGGCCATGCGCATGCTCGGAAAGGAGTAGCGGCACCAGATAATGACGTCAGGAGCCACAACTCATTAGTTGTGACTCGTCCGAGCTTTTGCATGGCTGGTCAGTGTGCTGCCATGGAGATATAGATATAGATAAAGATATATATATTCACTTGGACTGGGTGTGAGTTGTTTTTTCTAAACTAAAACCTCAGTTTTCAGGTTTTATTGCAGTGCTGGCACTTTGTGATAAATTAGTGGGTTTTGGTTTGCAGTTTGGGCACTCGGTCTCTAAAAGGTTCTCTATCACTGCTATAGAGGACCCTTCATTCTCTTAGCCTGCCCTTTCTTCTGTCTTGCCCTTCTTCTGCCATGGAGCTCAATGTGGTCTAAATAGTCTTCTGAGATCCAAGGGCTGACTAGCAATGGCACAGCGGCACTCACAGGGACATATCGTCAATACTTTTCCATTAGCAGGGATGCTGACAACATCAATCCATAGAATGTCTGGCAGTAGCTGGGATTAAATAAATGTTCCCAGGCTTAATATATTGTTTCATGCTGTCATCCAACATATTTTGTGGTACTTAGTCTGCAATGGACAATTATGGCTCTTCAGCTTTGCCAAACACCTACTCCTGGCAGAGATTAAAATGACTAGAACTGGTGATATGGATCAATACAGCTGCCTGAATTCTTGAAAGTTCCTTGTGGGCACACCTTGGGAGACTATCATGGTGAGCAACTGACCTTCACAATTTACCACCACACCACTCCTGATCAAACTCAGATTTGCTTACATTTAGCAAAATTTAGCAACTTCATCACAAGGATTCTGTCCTTTTTGGATTAATGGGTCCATTTGGAATTTTGAGAGACTGCTGTGGGTGCTTTCACAAAATGGCTGTTGGTGGGGGTGTTATAATATGGCAGTTGTGGTGCACAAGACCAGCCGCAAAACATGCATTTGCCAAAAGGCAAACTGGTGAGGTTAGAACAAAAAGTCATGTAAATAGCTCGGAGGCACTCTTTGGATCCCAGGAAGACATGGTGCAGGAAGACAGTGACAGTTTGCATGCTGGAGCCCATGCTGGAGAGTTCAGCCCAACCCAATCCTGCATGTGTTTCAAGAAATTTCAAGGCAGGAATTGACTTGACTGGCAACTCAGGAGGCAGGAGGGATGCAGATTTGGGATACAAATGAAGCGTGATGATCCCGGATGCAAAGGGGAGGAAATAAAAAGACCCAGGAGTCACTAAAATGTTGCTGTCCTACAACTGCAACAGGAAAATATTCAACATTCCTATACATTCTGCAACTATTTTTTCAACAAATGCATTAGTAAAATTACCTTCAAAACCTTTTATATTACCTTACAGACTAAAAATCTAGAGAAAAGAATGTTGTAATACCCCTAGGATCAGTTCATATTATTTTTATATGTATAAATTCACCACTCTTTCAACCACATGCCTCTGTTAGGTTAAAAGAAGAAAATATAACTGTTTACAATGAGAACATGTAATGCTAAGTAAAAGATGCAGATTTTATTACTAAATATACTGTTTATATAATAAACAGTATATTTATTATACATTTATTCAGATTTTATTCTAAACTGTGGTTATGCTATGTAATACGGTGTTGCTGCTTTTAACTATGCCAAGGCATTGGTCTGATCTAATATTTAATATTCCTGAAATCCATAGGGCAACAATAAAAAAATTTCACTGGCTTCAGGGACGTCTCTATTTTTTATCTCCCTTTGGCTACTCCCTTAAACCACACAGAAACTTGACTCTGCTTGATTTAGAGAAATATATAGTTTACCTGAGCAGGGTCAAAAATAAAAACACAATCATTTACCTGAAGATTGTCGGAGTAGTTCGTCCACTTTTTCACATTCTACTTTCTTTGTCTTTACGAATAAAAAATTTTTGCTTGATGAACTGCATTTGTGCATGTCGATTACACTCACACCTAGTGCAAGAAAAAACCATTAATTTTGACTATGCAAAGAAACGTAAATGGAGAAGATTCTAATGAGCCTAGTTGTCCCATGGTGGCTTGCTGGTTTTTACATTTTTTAAAAGTCTATTCCACCTTTGTGCCTAAATGTAAAGTTTGTAAGGCAGTTCAACCAGGTTTGTTTCTACTCTTGACATAATAAAATTAAACAGAATAAAGATAATTATTGAGTTTATAAAACCAACAGGATCCTTGAAGGGGGAAAGAATGTCTGCGACAAATCTTGGTAAGTAAATAAACTTCTTTTTTCTTTTTTCTTTTAAACAGAGCCCTAAATTTTCATGTTAGGGTATCTGCTGAATGAATCTGGGGAAGGTTTTCCATAATCTGGGCACTACTACAGAAAAGGCTTTGTCTACAATTAGGCCAGTGACATCCCTAAAAAAAACAGATATGGGAGAGACCATAGAACAGGCAAAGTGAATTTGGGGTAGGGGAGGAGTTTGCCCCACATTCTGAAAGAGAAATGGATATTTTAATTAAAGCAAGCTCTTGAAGCTACCACAGTATGTCAAAGGCATTCTGACTGCTGATCGTTACAGAACTATGAAGTTACTAAATGTATTTATAGAGTCGGATTCTGGTAATGCTACTTCACTTCCAACTGTTGTGCAAGAAGTAGCAGAAAGAATGCCTAATGCTTCACACACAGATTGCACAATTCCTTCTGCTAGCAGAAGAACATCTTTGGATTTCCATTCCTTTGACCTTCCAAGGACCTTGCCCTGTGTTGGCGATAAATTACAGACTATGCTAAATGTGCCGCTTATGTCCGATCCTAACCTTCCTTTTCACCTTAGTGTAAGCAGCGGGGTCCCTATCCACACTGGGCCTGTGGTGTGTGGGAAGAGGCGCTGAACCTCCCCATTCAGTCACTTCCCTCTCCCATCACTCACACAGAGGCTAAAGAAAGAAGAAAATCCCTCCACTGCTGACTATACGCAGGGTTTTTTCCCTCTACCCGGGGAAGGCATTTGATGTGGCAAAGCTGTGGGGGAAGGTCGAACAACGTGAAGGTTGTGTGGGGGTCCCACCAGTCTGGATTGAGCGCCCACGCTCTTATACGAAAGTCAAAAGGCATTCAGATCAGCCACATACTACACATTTAAACCCTGTCCCCACTCACACCTGCAACCTACATTTTGAGGCAATCCCATGAGCATTAAAGGGAGTAGCAGGCTAACGTTGGTTCCCAGCCTGCACAAGTGGCAACATGGGGTCAGGCTGATCTGGAGAAGTTTTGGCTCCAACACGCCATTTTCACCAGTTTCAGTTGCAGGATTTGCACAGGAGAACAGCTCCCCTGGATATTCAGTGGTTACCAGAATATTTCACTTTTCCTGCATTTTGTAACAATGCAGAATGCTAGCCTGGACATGTGCAGTTGTTTAGATGTATCTGCAAGAAGGAGGTTCATTCGTAAATCATCTCCTTCACTTTTTGGGAACAGGTGCTGCAAAACACTACCTTTAGCTTTGGCACTATCTGTAGAAACATGAAACAACAGTTTGTAATATCCTCCCAAAGATCCAGACTGCAGGAAGTGTGTTCCAAAATGTTCAATTAATCTTCGATATGCATTGTATTCATAGTAGGGCGGGAGGTTAGCAAGCTCCTTCCAGAAGGGCTCAGCAAGAGTTAGAAATTCTGGCCGATTGTTGATGAACTGCGCAACTTCCACACTATTTTCAATAACTATGAGGTGGTTACTCTGGGAAGACAAAAATAAAGATGTGAGCAGAGGAACATGGGAAGCTGTCTTCTCTGCAGGCCAGTGATCCTTCTACCCAGGGTTGTCAACAGACTGACAGTTGGCTCCATGGGGTTTCTGGCATGATTCTTTCCTAGCCCCATGTAGAGATACTGCAAACTGAACCTGGAGTTTTCTGCTTTTAAAACTTGTGCTCTGCACTGAGTTACAGCTTCTCCCTTTGCTGACTGCTTGCTTCAGCATGCTTTAAAATCTTAGTATCTGATTGACTGATTGATAGCATTTGTATGAAGCATCAGATTTAGGCAGATTCTGGAGTGGTGAAGAGTTTTAGCTAAAACAGCTCAAAGAATGAAAGCAATAAGCTAAAACCAGGATGACATGAAAACTGGGACTAGACATCAGGAGAGGCTTCCTAGAACAAAGGTGTCTTCATGGGCATCAAAAGAATACAGTGCTGGAGTCTGCCTGACCTCCAGAGGAAGGGAATCTGATAGAAATGGAGCTGCAGTGAAGACTCCTTTCCTGGCAGACTTCAAGTTAGGCCATAGGTCCATGTGGGATCATCAGGAAAATATTCCCCAGGTATCTCAGTGACAAGGTCGGTTGGTAAAGGAGACAACAGCAAACAACAGCAGGATGGGCATCTGTCTAGTGAATGCAGTACGGAGTGGTCTGTCCCTCTTCTGCCAGCCTACCTGCCACACTGAATTCCTGATGGCCCATGGCTATCAGCCATGGAGTCAGACACTACTTTAGAAACTAGATCCAGAAACTGAGCCACATGCTTCCTCTTGCCAATTAAGACGTTAAGTTTCTTTTTCTAACAGAAGAAATACTACAAACCGAATGTGCAACTCTCCTTACTTTTCTAAAGTCATTTGCCATTCAGCACTCATGAGAGCAAAAGGAAAGTGGGCAGAAGGCTCATGATCTAGGTCCAAAACTTTATTTTATTATATTTACATCTTGTTTTGTTCCCTTTCAAGGAACTCGAGGGAGCCTACATAATTCTCTTCCTCTCAATCTTATCCCATAACAACAGCCCTGTGAGGTAGGTTGGGCTAAGAGTCCATGACTGGAAGCCAGCTCACCTGAGTCCCAGTCCCACACTCTTAACCACTACACCACACTGTCTCCCACTTTAAAGCATTCTTGGGTGCCATGGAATTGGTGGATGGAGATTTCATTCCCAACCTAGTTTTTGTGCAGGTTTTTGTACATAGGCAGCTTATGCTAAATAATAGGTGCTTAATTACTGGGCTATGTGTGTTGTATGAATGGGCAGAAATTTGTTTGTTTTTTGGTCTAGCATTCACACATCCCCACCGCATTCATGCTCAGTCTATACATTTCTGACAACTCCAAGGAAATGTGTCTCTGTAAATGCTGTTTTGGTCTTTCTACTTGGATAGGGCAAGCAGAAAAGTGTATTTACCTTTGAATGGTTTTCTTTATAGTTTGATGGATGAAAGTTGTGGAAATCATTTGCAGTTACACGCGTCTCGGTATACTTCATATAAGCCCAGGAACTGTTATAAAATTCCGTGCTGAAGTCATTCTGAATTTTCACCTAGAAAAAGGAACAGCCCTCTTTTATTTATTTTTTTTTCACAGGTAAGAAACATTTTATAATTCTACTTCATGGTGCAGGCATGGGGTACTTCCACAGGAGGCCTTTTGCTAAGGAGAGCTACAATAATCACTGGCACTACCAAACATTAAGCGGGGCATTCAAACATTAATGCAAACCCCTCACAAATTATGCTGCAGTGCATGAATGAATGAATGAATGAATGAAAAGGTCTTGTGTCCCCACCAAGACTCGCTGTTGGGGGCTGCCACCTCAATCGGACCTCGTTTCCTTCAAAACTATCCACACAGCCCATGAAGCATGGGGGTCGGAGAAATTACTTGACGGGAGATTAAATGACTGTCAGATGGGCAGTGGGAGAAGACGCATGGCCTTATCGAGAGGTGAGGGCAGAAGCCGGCTGCCGATCCAGCATCCCTGGACCACTGAAGCCATTTCCTGTTGCTTATTGGTAAGGACAGCCCGTTCTCTTGGTCGCTGCTAGGAATGGATGAGTATCTTCACATTAGTTCTCTCCTTCTGAATATGTGAGGGTCAGAAGAAGACATGGGAGTACCACCAAAACCTCTTTCTAATCCACCAGTTTCATAGCCCTGGCATGGAGGCTAGAAAAGGAATGAGGAAAGGATGAATGAACTTAAATGCTTGGAGATTGGAAACCCTACTTGATCAGGGTTTCTAGATGTGCAGAGTCTCTGAAGCGAGTATATCCAAACACAAACAGAGCTCTCCTTTGGTTCTTCTTGCTAACCATGTGAAGTTTGGGGGCAGCGATGAGGACCCTGCTTATAATAACCCTGGAGGTGGAGTTAAGGTGTGCACCTGACTCTGTTTTCAGCTCCCAAGCACATAAACATGAGTGAGCACAATTGTGCTTTTATGCATTATTTAATTCTGTTTACAGATTTCTTCTTAACAATTCCTCTCAAAACAAGTAGCTAAATAGGATTCAGATATTGTAGGGAATATTTTAATGCACATTGAAATGTGTTTTCTTGCAAAACTTGTCTTTAAATGCAAATTTTCTATCAAATAGATAATGCCAAACAACCTACCTGAGGCTTGAAATAATAGTATTCAGGAAAAGTTTTCCTCTCCTCCCTCTCTCTCTCTCTCTGACTTTCTGAATGTCTAAACTGGTGACAATTTGTAACAATATTTTGCTGGATTATGGCCATTCAATCTTATCTCTTAACTCATCCTGAAACCTCAAGATCAGTCTTCTCCAGCCTAGTGGCCTTCAGAAGCATTTGGACGGCAACTTCCAGAATTCCCATCCAGCAGGGCCACTGACTGGGAATTCTGGGTGTTGTAGTCCAAACATGTCTGGAAAGCACAAGACTGGGGAAGGCTGCTCGAGATAAGGCAGATTCTACCTATACCTTATATGCACATCTTCTTTATTTTTATATTTTAAGGGAATCCTAGCAATGACACAGTGACTAAAATAAAATAAACCCACCTGGAATGTATAAGAAAGGACACTGTCACTCAGCCGATAAGGTCTTCTCTGGTCACCACTGTACACTTTTCTGCACTGACCACCAAAACTCTTAGTGTGAATGATTCCAGCTTTGGTCTCACCAGTAAGGGCATCAAAGCTACAACCAACCAGAGTTAGGTTACTGACTGTGACATTCAGCAGAGTTACGCACAGTCTTTTGTGTAAGTAGATAGCAGTACATCAGTAGACCATTTCAGAATTAAGTTATGCAGACAACAAGGTCATGTATAACGAAATGCTGTCATGGCAGAGCCATAACCCAAGTCCTCATCGTAGCATGCTGCATGAAGAAAAACAAAGCTGTTCCATCTGTTTGTATCAAGGGCAGAGAGCAAGTACCTGCTAATCCTAATGCATTCTATCTCTATGGCAACTGCCCTTGGTGCATTACATTTAGAGGTAAAATGTATGCAACTTGATCAACAACAATGGCCAATCCCCTCCCACCTTTTTTATGTGCTCAGTCTGAATTAAGGTCATCTGCCAGGCTGCAGGGATGCATAAAACCCGAAGTGGATTTGCTTCAAAGCCTTACACGTAGCCCTTTTGCTGATATTCCTTAAAGCCACAAAGAGGGGATCCACAAAGTTAAGTATCAGCAGTAGTGGCTAATGATTATCCCTTCAGGCCACCCTACTCAGACAGTGGATTCTAAGACCAGATGGTGGAGGGCCCACAAAAAATCTTGGAGGACAACTACTTTTCTCGTACCAACTCAGTAAGTCTAAGCAGGCCTAGGAATTACAAATGGAAGGCTGTGGCAGGGCTGGCCCAAGCTCTTTTGCTGCCCGAGATGAAAAACAAGATGGTGCCTGCACCCATTCAATGTACAAAAGTGTTTCCTCAAGACTGAACCTTTCCTCAACACTGGCAATGAGACAGCTCACATGAAGGTAGCGGACTAATCTAGTGTGTGCAGGAAAAGCACACATTTCTCTCCTACCACACCTTGTTGCCATCACACAGCATTTACCGCCTGAGACAAATGCTTCATTTTGACTAGTGGAAGGGCTGGCTCTGGACCTTAGCAACCAGAATCAAACCCATCCTGAGCATCGCTGCTGTGAAAGAGGAGGAGGAGGAGCTGCTGCCTCCCTTTTTGCTACACTTAAACACCAGCACGGCTGCAGCTCAGCAGGTGGTCTTGCAGGTAGTCTTAGAAGCCATCCACAGCTACATGGGACCTATATTGGGAACTGCCTGGTCTAAAACAAGTGTGGGCCTGGGCGCTCCACTGAAGCTCACCTGTTGCACAAGGCAAGACAGGGCTGCTCACAAACTGTGCTTGCCCACCTGGATATTTATCTGCTTGCTTTGCCTCCGGACCACCAGCTGTCACCTAACTGATGAAATTGTCCTTCCCCTTCCCTTGCATAGCCAGAAGGACTGGTTCACTGGATTAGCTCATAGCATTACATCCTGATCAAGTATTATATAATATAGCCTTTAACAGGGCTGGATTGACTCCAAACTAGGGTTGGCTCTTTATCTGAATGGCCACCAGAGACCTCTCCGACAGAAGGCATCCTCTATTTTCATGGTTGTTCTGTCAAGTCTGGCATAAAAACAAAGAACCCTCCACCTTCCGTACTGGGGTGAAATTACTGTAGTTCTATTCAGATTATAACAACTTCTAAATCTGCATTTGTGCATATATATTAGCATCTGTGATTTTTGTGCAAACAGGCATCCTCTTTTATCCTCCTTTTGAGGGGATGCGTGCTGTTTTTGTTGACAACTCACAAGTGGCCACTTATGTTAAGGACTCTACCTAGCTTAATTGTGGGAAGGGGTGCTATGCTTTGAATGTCAAGAAATCTCACCAGGCAAAAGAATAGCTAACTTCCTCCTACAATTAAAGTGGGATATGGAAAGCTATTTCCTTTCAAAAGCAGCAGATGGGGAAAAATGGTAGAATATTGTAAATTACTCTGTACTCATGGGATAGATATACAAAATGCAAATAAGACTTGCTTTCCTAATCCCTCCCTACCCATTTTCTGTTATGTACCATGCCTGTTTAATTGTACATTGATGTACAATGACTAGAAAACTTAAAGCATTATATCATTACCATTTCTTTCATTCATATTAATACTATTTCCACCCTGTTTCTCATCAGCTCTCATGCAAATAAGCAGGATCTGCACTGGTCACGCATGTTTAGCTCTTAATCCTAAGGAAAAGTCGAACTTCTCACATGCATGGCCACCACAACATAATGCATGTGAAACAGTCTGGCTGGTTGTTGAGCTAATGAGAATGGTACAGCAACATACCCTGTTCCTGTAAGCTCTACATTGGGAGGGGGCTTCAGAGGGGGCTTAATGTTCTCACACACTATCTTGACTTCCTCACATCGGTCTTCATCAGCACCATCCTCCTCACAGTCATGGTCTCCGTTGCACACCAAGTGCTTGCTGATGCACTGTCCTAAGGCGAGGAAGGAGCACAGTGAGGCGCGGCTAGAGAAAAAGAGGGGCCCTTCCAGAGGCATTGCTAGGAGGCGGCTCATCGCAGCTGGAGCCCAAGGCTCTCATGTGGAGCTTCAATCCTAGGGAGCCCTTTGCCCCATGGGCAAGTGCTGAAGTGAAGATACAGGAGCCTGATGGTTTTTGTGGTGTCCCATCCCTCTGGACTAGCTGGCGTTTTGCTTCCCCTTCCACTATGCTCACTGAACCTTTCAGCCTGAGGCTTTTCCCCCTGAAATCAAACACCCTCTGCCCCTGTCCAAACATCCCCTTTGCAACAGGAGTGTCCTGGGGAGATGGGGTCTTTACAGACACAGAAGGGCTTCCTCATCCATGGAAATTTGCACATACTTTGTCCCAAGTCCTGGATCTTTTTGGTGCCTGCTCTTCTCCATCATTTTAAACCCAGACCTGAGATGTCAAGAACAAGCAAAAAAGACCAAGGCTTTTTTTCTGATTCTTTTTAAATGTCATCATACCACATCTGTGACGTGAATAAACTCACTGATACCTGACTTATAAGACCTACGTTTGGATCTGACCTTTACAGGAGCGATACACTGGCTGTCAGGCTCGGAAAGCTGAGAATATCAAGGCTCCTCTGACTTGTTTCCATCCCCTCCTCAGGACCAGCACTAACACCAGGTGATGACCTGAGAAGGCAGGTGCTGGGTGGGTGGATGGGGGGAGAGGCAAACGCCCAGCTGTTTTTTGTGAACCCTGCAGCTGCTTCCCTCTGTCAGAAAATAGAGCTTTATGTGCAACCCAAATGTTCCAAGCCCAAAAATTAGCCCACTACTTCATCCATGGTGCAGGACTAGGGTTTGATCAAACATCTGCACATGCACAGGTGAGGAGGTGACACCTTCTCGTTCATCTCAGATAGCAATTGAGCCAGCCCTGTTCCTCCTGCAAGTGCCAAGCTTTGGATTTCGTCCCTCCTTGTGCTATTTCATCACAATTTGCCCTACCAAAGCCCCCGCAAACTCCCTAACTTTTCCAAATCTCTCTGCTTTGTTTTAAGCAGGTCCCATCAGCTTCTCCTGTGATACCACAAAGAAATCACGTGGGAAGCACCATACCTGATGAACACCTAAAACGATCACCGCAGCCTTCTTCTGTGGGGCACCCTCTTGTAGGAACACACGGACGAGTTTCAAATGATGCCCCTGAGCATGGAGGTCCTCCAAACTGTCCATAAGCTCCTATAGTTCGTCTACGAATCTAAATCCAAAAACAGTCCCTTAGAGCAGAGATGGATGACACGCATTCTGTACAGACATGCATTTCCTTCAGCAGGGTTTTTTCTGGGGGCAGGGGGACGGGTCCAGATGACCTTCACCCAGCCCTCAGGGGCTGTATGACACGAGGGGATCAGTCACGCTCTTGACATTAGCAACCATGGCCACGCCCACCTGATCCCATGGGCTTCCTGGTCCAAGAACTGGTTGGATCATCGCTGGCTTTGCAGCAGGGACCAGACTTCGCTCTGCAAGTACCTTCAAGTACCTTCTGCAAGTACCTTCCCGGTTAGCACGGCCCCATACATGGCACAGTCAGGCCATCTGAGGCTTTGCTGCTCCGGGGACAAGGAGTGCTGGGGACATCTGCATGCCCGGCCCCCTTCCCTCACTGGGGGCAAGGAGGATGGGCAAAGCAGTAGCAAACAGCTGCTTTCGCCAGTGTAGACGAGTCACATGGCCTGTGACTCCACATCCCTGCTGCTGCTGTCAGTCCATCTGAGATCAGAGAGAACAGAGGGCTTCTGTTGCTGATGCATGCTGGGAGGGGACCCCCTGCTGCTCTTCCCAGCCACAGATCAGAAACAGCCCTAGGGGGATTCTCCCAGGGGGTTCCTCCAAGAAACACAAGGGCTGGATGGACTTGATTAGTGCACCGCATGGCCTGGAGTTCCTACGCCCGTGCCTTAAGGGGAAGTGATAAATTATCCGGGTCCACATGCTGGCAATGGGCAGAGGCAGAGGCAAAGGGGGGCATGGAAACCATCTTTTCACTCTCTTTTCCCACCATCCTGTCCTCCCTCTCTGCCACCCCCTTCTCCCTCCCAAGGATACACACTTACACATTGCCAAAAAAGAGGAAAACATGAACTCCCCAGAAGAAGTGTTTGCATGGTTTGCCTAATATTTGCATATGCAAATTTAGGTACATAACTGCATATCAAGGACACAGCTGTTGTTTGAGCAGGAGAAGACATCTCACCATAGTAACAGAGACTGACCAGGTGAGGTGCGTGCCTGCGCACTTTGCTGCCCGGGCACTTGCTGCTGATGGTCCACGCCAAGGCCCCTCCCTGCTCCCCTTTCCGATGGCTCCTTATCCTTAAACTGGGCTTGGACTGGAACATTCTTCCAACAGAGGACACTAGCTCTTCAAAATAAAGGACTGCACTCTGTAAAATAGGACACCTGCCCCCGCAGCCTTCCTCCTCCCCCTTCACATCTGATGTTGATCAGAGGGGTACACCACTTTTGCCAGAGAGAGATTTCAGCTGGTCATTCATGAAGGGTTTTTGAAGCCAGGCCAAAGGTCACATCACATCAGGTTGCCCACTCCTGTTTTAGGGCAGATTCAGATGGAGCTCTTGGGCTGCAACCATCGTCTCCCTTGCAGCCTACTGAATTCAGTGGAACTTCCTTCTGAGTAAAGTCAGCAGGGCCACAGCCTCAAAACCTTGCCTAACATCTGCAATGAGGTGTCAGCTTTGTGTATCCAAATACACCTCACTTGAGCCCTCAACTTTGGGTCAGAGGGCCCAGGTCATAAATAGGTGGGGGATGTTTCTGGTACCTGAGTCTTGGTACAGCCATCACATTCTGACCATGGACCAAATGGATTCCAGCTGCAGTGGACTTGTGAAGAAGGCCTATTGGATTTTACGTGGGGAGAAGGAAAAGTATGGTCAAGGATTGCAACAGTGGAGGAAGAGATGTAGCTTGATCATGGAGCATGGGCTTTGCATTCTAAAGGATCTAGATGATCTTCATCAGTGTCCCCAAGCACTGTCTTCAGTGCCATCATGTTCTGGCCTTCACTCCCTAGCGAAGGGACCACTTGGGAATACCATGTGGTTGCTGGCATACTTCCCAACATTAGCAGGATAAGTAAGATAGGAAGTTTAAAGCATTTTGTGTGCACAGAAAGCACCATGAATGCAGTTTCTCCATGATTCTTAACCATCATAATATGAAACAATTTTTGCACAGGAATTGTACATTGCAGCTTTTCAGTTCTTTCACTAGCCTTTTCCTCTATTTTGGGCAGGCCTTTCATACTTTTAACAGATTCATTTTTGGCTCAACTGTTAAAGACACAGGAATCCTACCTGATAAAAGAGGTAAGTGAGGAAAAAAGTGGACTTCCTTCAAAGTAGTAGCCACATTGTCCTTCCCCTTGAATATGCATGCACCTCTCTGAATTAAGCTGATGAGTTGCAGTACAAATGGGCTCACAATGTGTTTACTGAGAAACAAGAGGGAGGTGTCAGCATATTTAAGAGGGACTTGAGTCTGTAGAAGTAAAATAAAATTTTAAAAGTCTTAGGAAAACCCCACACAAAGAATAGCCCAATGAGAACTGGGCTTGTTCAGTGAGCCCGGAAAGTTGCATGTCAGTTGAAAAAGAAAACTGGGCAGAGGGGAATGGTGGACCCTAGAAGAAAACATGTCTGGCTGGGAACCTGAACAGGAATGCTCCTGTCTGCTGGGGCAAATACACTAGGTCCCACATCTGCTGAATAAAGCACAGTATGCCCTTTTAAAACCCCCTTATGAGTGTCAGTGGACCACCTACCTTGAAAAAGCAGGAAAGGAGCCCACAATTTCCAACAGAAGGAAAATTTCAAGCATCTAAAATGAGGAAAGGAGAGGGAGTCGTTATTCTTCATAATTAAAATTTGCATATGTTTGGCCTGACTTTCTAAATGTTAATCAGGCAGACTTTTACTGCAAACAGGTGAATGTGGATGTATACATTTCTGTTCTCGCTGCCCCTGGCATCAATCACATTCCTTTTGTTCTTTTCCTTGACATTTCTGCCAACACACTGAACTTTTCTACCAAAGACCAGCCTTACACACGCACACACACACAACTTTTTCATTACCATTTGTTTCACGGGTAGAAACTGATTTGGTGACTGCCCTTACCTTCATGACTGGAGAACTACTCAGCTACGCAACAACTAGCTGTGAAAAATACATCCCTCCTTTGGGACAGGAATACAATCAGAAGCAGGAGGAGAAGTCGTCAGTCAGTCTGTCTCAGAACTTCTGGAGACTGACTCTGCCGCTGTTTCGCTTTTTCTTTTGCTAGGCAGTGGAATGTTCAGCCTAACCCATCTCTTCGCCTCTGGGGATGCAAACAGCCTGTTCCCGTAATCTCGCAAGTATCTCAGAGTACTAAAAAAGAACAACAAAAAGCCTTAGATTGGAAAAGAAAGTTTGGCTTTGTGCGCTGCGAAGTGCTGGCATGCAACTTGGAAAAAATGCTTCGAAAGAAAAGAGAACTTAGGAGGCTACCTTTCAGCAGGGGAACTGTTTCTCCATCTGGCTCAGTGTAATTTATTACAACAGATAGGAATGGGGCCCATTGAATACAGCAGGACCTGCTTCTCTCCAGGCGAAGTTGGCAGCGATTGCATTAAAAACAGAGCATGAAAGGAGCAGCAGGAGGAAGGTTAGGTTAGCCGTGCTGAATGAACATGCTCCTTGATGTGTGCTTGAATAATCCTTTTGCTTTTCAAGAAAGTAAATATGTCTCCATTTTATTTATGTCATAAACACAAAGTTTAGACAAAAGAGTGGGCCAAAATGGTGCATGTCAAAGTTGGTCAAGAATATACCTCAGGGTTGTGATTTATTTATTAGATTTATATGCTGCATTTTTCTTACAACAAACTCAAAGGATGGAACTACTTGCTTGTGTTGTTTTTTCACTTGTGCCTGTCTTTGTATTGTCATATTTCTTTTCAGAGATATGTGCATTGATTTCAATTGTACTACTGAAGCCTAGAGTTACTGGCTGAGGAAGGTCAACTTTTCAATGTAACCCTTGTCTGCATCCTCTTTGTTTCTTTATAATGCATGATCTTTCTTGAAGACTGACCTAGAGGAGATGCAACTCACAAAATTAGCCATTGCATNTAAAATACCTTGAAAGGTGTTCTGGAAGTTATTCCTATTATATTGTGGAACCAAAGCAGTCACATAGGCTGATATTCCAGTGCCAGGATAATAGTTTCTTACATGGAGACTAAAGTCTTGTACTGAACCCAAACAAACCTTATCACTTCTCCCTGACGTGCCAGAGGTCACTGGTGGTGAAGCAGTCAAATATTGATTAGGCTAGGAAGTTGAACTTTTCCAATAATGTGCTTAAGGTTTATTCAGTCTGTAGAAATCACTAAAAAGACACTGTAGCTATTCTTAATGTCACATATCTCTGTGGATGTGAAAAGAGGAAATGAAACCAGAAGTGATCCAAAGAGAAATCCAGAATGAATAATTCTCCACAGAATGCCAATGGAAGAAGTCAGTCTTCCATTGGTCAGGCATATCTACCCAAAGTTGCACTGAAGTCACAGAATTTTAGATACTTTAGTTTGTTCTTCTTCTAATTACATGTTCTCTGTTGTTCAGCTCAGGCC